GATTTTTCTGATATGATACGACATTTTAATACCAAGCATTCTCTCTTTCTTTTACATTTGGAATTTATTTGATTTTTATTTAGAATTAATCAGTTTCCAGAAAGAGCGATTTTCGGTATATTAAAAACAATTCTCGCTTTCATTCTCGTGTTTCCCTTCTAAAAATGCATGTTGGGAGTTTAATTTGTGCTACACATATTTAATTTAACCCAAAGAAATGCTTATTTAAATGTTTCATATTTATTTCAGGATATTCAGTCAGAAATGTTAAAATCCGAACCCGATCTTTTAAGCTTACAACAAAGCTATTTTCCAAAAATTCAGCATGCTCACAATATCGCTGAATCGGGCTACAGTCCATTAATACATTTTCATTAGGGAACAGTGTTAACGTTTTCTCACGCAGCCCGTCCCTTGTTATTTTAAATCCTGCTTGGAAGTTGAGGAACTATTTCCTTTTACGGAACTTCTTTCTTCCCCTACCGATTCTAAAAATACGCTTGTATTTATTCTATAGTCTTAATTAACTTACCCAATTTTATCGCAATGTGTAGCTCAGTGGTTAGCGCACCTGCCTTTCAAACCAAGGGTTTTGAGTTCGATCCCAGCTGGAGGAGCAATTTTTTTTTCCGCATTTTTTTTTCAGCCCAAATGACACGAAAACACTTAAAAAGGTGGAAAGGCGTCTAATTGTTCTCTGAACAATTAGTTTACTAGTTATTATTAAGGTCTTCCGATACATATGATAAGATATGAATATGAAACTTGCTGAGGTGATAGAGCATCAAATGTAGATATGTTGATCGACCATTATTTTTCGTCGTTCGTACTTCCGGTCGCGAACGGAAGTGAATTCAAAAATGTTAAATTTGTAACTTTTTTGTTTTTCAATATTTTTCTCTGGGATTTACAGGGTTAATAGAGAGTCTTCTAAGAGTTCAAAGTATGTTTTCATCATTTTGATTGATGCATTTATTGCAAAGATATGACCGATCCAAACTTTCTCGTATTGTTGCGGGTTCGAATCCTGCTGGGGCGGGAGATTGTTTCTCTCTTTTTTCAGTTGTAAATGATATTTTTCTCTGTGAAGACATGTATGATAGTTTTTGCTTATTTTTTAAAGCTTTTTTAACAGAGATTCTACAGAAATCCTTTGATAATCATGATCTATGTTGAAAGACTGTGATATATAAACGCAAACAAAAAAATACCTTCAATAAAGTGTTAAATGAAGTGAGGTAGCATAGCGATCTGGAGAAAAGTTCGGTCGGAAGACCACTTGTTGCCCTAGCAACAAGAAACGCATCTAGTTCTTCTTCTTCTTCTTCTTCCTGGGTACTTTTTTGTCCGCGAGTGATCTCGTCAACTACTCATCCGATTGAGGTGAAACCTTTCTAGGGTTAATAGGCATGTTATGTAGATTTGCGGAATCAAGGTCATTTTGCGCGCACGTGCATGCACGTGCGTGCGCGTGCAATGCGTAAAATGACCAATATACTTGATATAGCTGTAACTTATATATTTTTTGATGAAATGCTTTGATACTCAGAATATAAGGATATATTAAAAGTGTAAACAAGATGACATGGTCAACATGCATATGCATGCACGTGTGCGCACGCGCAAAGCGTAAAATGACAAATATACTTGAAATACTCGTAACTTTTATACTTTTTGATGAAATGCTTTGATACTCAAAATATTTATATATATTAAAAGTGTAGACAAGATGACATGGTCATCATGCACATGCATGCACGCATGCATATGCATGCACGTGCGCGCGCGTGCAATGTGTTAATTGACCAATATACTTAATATAGCCGTGATTTTTATATTTCTTTTATTAAAAATATACAGATATATTAAAAGTGTAGACAAGATGATTTGGACATCATGCTCATGAATGCACATGCGCGCGCGTGCAATGTGTTAAATGACCAATATACTTAACATAGCCATAACTTTTATATATTTTTTATGAAAAGCTTTCATACTAAGAATAAACAGAGATATTATAAGTGTAGACAAAATGGCATGGTCATTATGAACATGCATGCAGATGCGCATGCGTGCAATGCTAAGATGACCAATATACTTGATATAGCCAGAACTTATTTATTTTTTGATGAAATGTTTTGATACTCAGAATATAAAGATGCATTAATAGTATAGATGTGATGACATGGTCATCCTGCACATGCATGTACGTGCCTGGCGTGAAATGCAAAAAACGACCAATATACTTCATTGCCTTATTTAATGAAGCTTACAGGAAATAAGACACCAAAAGGGTGTTGGGGAGCGTTTGGGGAACATCTGTAACGGTCCCCGTTACAATTATAACTAGTTTCAATAGTGGTTTTATACATTTAACCGGTATTGAAACAACACCCGCTATTGTAATAATGCTCATACTAACTTTCCTTGAAGTTTTGTTTGTTTCTTTTAAGGTCTTGACAAATAGAAATGTTGGCTTTACTATCCATATTTGTAGTGTAGGCAAGCTCTTGAATATAAGAGAGAATTTAGTTCTATTCCATAACCTATTGATTAAGAATAGCCATATTTTCTTCAGAAAGTTTGTAGATACTAGTATTACATTTGCATACTTTGAATTTTAGGCACATCAATTAAATCAAAGGTGTCAGTGTATTAACGAGGCCAAGTCTAATTATTTCTACCCTAGAGATTTTGATACATTTTCTTGCATGAATTTTTAATATTATATCAATCATTTTAAGATAAAATAATTGAATGTTTAGCATCCCGATATCTTAGGGTGCCATCTCAAAAGTTGTCAATTTTTACTATTGGACCCTGTGGGACTTTAATGGAAAAGTGCCAAATTATCACATTTTCCCCATATTTTTTGTATTTCTGCCCTAGGGATTTCCATTTCAGTCAAATATATGAAAGCTATTATAAAAAGTCACCAAACTGTGAATTTTCAAAAAAGTTGACCATCTGGGTTGGTCTAGGAATTATTATGAAGTTTTTCCCCCAGTATACCCAATACCTCTAAATTTGCCATATTGCGGTATACATTTTGTATATATGGGAGCAGATGAATTAGTTTGGTAAAAAATATCAATGTTAGATACATTGTTGGTATGTTTCTTTTGATGTTCTGTCAACGGTTTTTAAAAAAATGTCCATAGACGTTTGAATACTTGAGCGAGTCATGCGTCATTCTTCAGCATCATGCATTGCTTACAAAACCGGAAGGCAGTGACGTCGTGAAAGCCATTTCAGTGTTTATTCCTCATTATTGTCTTAAAAGCACATTGTAAGACTCATAAACGTTACAGAAGATGTTATATAATGTTAATTTTATATTCAAATTACAATACTTAGGAAAGGTGTTATGTTGCACCTACGACTGCATGAAACTAAAAAGCTGCGCAAAGTCATGCGCACTCGAATTAGACTCGGCCTCATTAAAAGTAATTTCTAGAAAAGAAAGGAAAACATAAAATTCTAAACTCAATAAATTAATTTTTTTTGTTTGAAAACATAGTGAACAATTAATCCTTTTTTTTTCAATAGTGGAGTTATTTCAGTAAGGCTTGCAATGAGCTTTTGGTATTGAAAACATTGTCAGCAACTATTAAAATCATTATTTCAAACACTATTGAAATATTTATTTCAATAGTGAACGTTATTTCAATAATAGTTGCAACCTGGTTTAAGTTTTGAAATGCATTTAAAACCTCTATTAAAATCATTGTTTCTTAAGTGAACATTATTTCAATTGTGGTTGCAACTGAATTGTCGATGGATTTTTCCATCATTTCCTGATCATGACAAGGAGCACACGGTGGGTGTGACCATTCAGCAGGGGGTGCTCACTCCTCCATGGCATCTGATCCCACCTCTGATGTCTTGGAGGTCTGTGTTTGCTCTGCTTCTATTTTGTAATGTTAAATGGACTTTTGAGCTCCACATATTTCATCTCAATCACTATTGAAATAATTATTTCAATTGTGAGCGTTTTTAATAGTGGTTGCAACATGTGCTATCTCCTTAATGATTATATCATTATTGATCATTTTTAATTCAAAACAGTTAAATATAATTTTTGGTGATTGAAATTCCCAATTTTTCACAGAATTTTATGTAAAAGTGCCTGTCCGATAAATATTGGAAGTTATCTTTTTCGATACAATACATTCTTGAATATTGATACATATTGATATATCTATATATCGATACAGCCCTAATCAACTGAATATTATCTCCTATACTTCTTAAGAAAATCATGGGCATTTATCAATAATACAATATGTAATGTACTTAATCCTACTTTATATTTTAACAATAAAACGTCTGTCTATCTTTGTTAGTATGAAAATTAATGTTGCAGCTATTGCAGAAAAAAATTAAGGTCAAGATCTAGTAAATGATTTTAGACTGCCTTTTTGATGCTAGATCCATTATGACGTCATATTCAAATTAAACTTTCTTTTTCCCGTACTTTACAGCTGTAAAAGAATTATGTAGAAAATAAAGTACTTTTCTGGAATTCAATTTGAAATCATGTGAAAAGTAATCCCGAAACCTATTTTCAATTTAATATTATTTTAAAGAAGAGGCTAAGAACATACAAAATACCGTTTTCTGAGAGACTGTAGGCAATCTGGATACATTTAATTTGTGTGATATGGAAAAAACTCCCATATTCATGACTGATTTTCTTAATTTTTCTTTGAAAATGAAAGTTTAAGATATGATTTTTCGTCTTGTTTACCTACAAATTATGCCCCGAAACACCTTATTTGACCAAGCTATACTTATAAAGCTTCATTAAAGGAATCTATTTCTCAAATTTGAGAAATCTGTAGGCTCCTTTTATTTACTAGATCTTGACCTTAAATAACCCACTTACACAGGTAATACATACACAAATTCAATAAATAGTAGTTTCTGTCAGTGTAATCTTTGTTGACTCTTTTTATAACAATTATTCAGTAACCTCTTGCTTTGTTCAGAACTTTTACCTTTTGACCTCTGGGTCAAGGTCATCAATATCTGCAGTGGGTATATATGGTGGATTACTAATAATGAAGTCAAATGGACCTAACCGAGAGATAAGCTGAATATTCTCTGGAAGAAAAAAACAATCCTGATTTCATATTCAAATGTTTACAAATTTCATGAAACATAACATCATGATGATGTGCAGGTCAAGGTTATGATACAGCAACCAGAAGGTCAGAATATTGAGCTGTAATAATTTGTGTACAAACCCTGGCTTTTGAAGTCCACATTCAGGACATTAGCTCTCCCTTGTACTTTATATCTTGTTAAGTTCTCCACTGTGAGATGACAGGCAACATCATTGATATCACAGGCCACTGCTGCCATCTACAAAATAGAACTTAAAAGTGACATGATATCACAGGCCACTGATGTCATCTACAGAAATAGCATTTAAAAATGTCACTGATATCACAGGCCACTGCTGACATCTACAGAAATAGCATTTGAAAATGCTACTGATATCACAGGCCACTGCTGTCATCTACAGAAATAGCATTTGAAAATGCTACTGATATTACAGGCCACTGCTGTCATCTACAGAAATAGCATTTAAAAAGCGTCCCTGATATCACAGGTCACTGAATTCATCTACAGAAATAGCATTTAAAAAGCGTCCCTGATATCACAGGCCACTGATGTCATCTAAAGAAATAGCATTTAAAAACCTCACTGATATCACAGACCACTGATATCACAGGCCACTGATATCACAGTTCACTGCTGTCATCTACAGAAATAGCATTTAAAAAACATCACTGATATCACAGGCCACTGATATCACAGGTCACTGCTGTCATCTACAGAAATAGCATTTAAAACCTAGAGAATTCAAATCAAGGGATATCTGGCAGGAAAAAAGTCGGTTAAGAACCCTCTCTACACGGCATACTAAAGAGTTATGGTTCTATGGTACTTTTCTGCAGTTAGAGTGATCTGCCCTTTGATCTAAATTCCAATAAATTGAAATTTACAGTATATTACTCAATTTGTAACCAATGCAAGTATTCTTAACATTTTAAAAGGCCAAAATGAATTAACTGAACACTTTATTTACACACATTTTCTCCATGGAAGTAAACAACAGTGATATCTGTTCACTGATACTTGGTTGTGTTTGAACATTTTTCCTGGGGGTAAATGCCATGTACCATATATTGAAAATTAAATAGATAAGCTCAATATTTACACCTTTATTCAAAATAATTTTCTCAATGTCCCAAAATCATTTTGCACTGGTGTATTGAGGGTCCTTAAATATCAATTCTTAATATAAATTTCATATAAGATATGGGTTAGATCACTGTCATTTTCCAAAGCTAAAAACATAGGAAAAGATTGTGATATTAAACAGTTGTTTGAAATGGTTTTAAAGCAATATGTAAGTTCACAAAAAGTTTACAATGAAATGATGGCAAGAGTAAGAGATTTTATACCCAGGGAAGTTTGGCAAGTAAACACAGAGTTACTGCCCCTGATCCACAGCCAACCTCTAAGAACTTCTGACATGTCCTGCTTTCCTCCACATCTTGTATTACATACTGGACTAGTTCCTTCAAAAGTCACAAAGAAAGAAATTAAGTTTCTTATACATGTATTATGGTGGCATTTGACATTTAAAACTGATAACTATAATGAGTTGAAACAACTTATTTAAGGAATACTGGTCTTGTTTTGGGGGTCCAATGATAGATTAAATTGATTCAAGTGCATAGTTATTTTGTATAATTAATTTCAGAAAGCACTTGTACAAAAATCATCAGGTGTTTTAATTTGACTTGTAATCCCCCAAACTTCCAAACACTGCATGAACAGTTATGCTTTATATTTGCAACTTTTCTTTTTATCACAAATGAATAACCATATTTTGTTAGTATACCCTATATATTTCTCATACTTTTCTTTTTTCAAAAAGGCCCTGCCTATTGATCATTATGGCACAATAAGTTATAACGCATGCAAGCAAATGATTCTGTGAACAACCTTGTATATTGTGGAACTACACATGACTGGCTTAGGAATAGTAAGTCATGTCTGATATTAATTTTTTTTCTTTTTTTTTGTGTGTGTGTGTGGGGGGGGGGGGGGGGATTTAACAAGACCTTGAAATTGCTTAAATGACCTTGGATCAAGATCATGACATACTTTGCTAATAAGAAAGCAATTTATATAAAACAAGGTAAGGTAATGATACAAGAATATCAACAATCTTGTTTTTTCAAAGTCAAAATTTCGCAAATTCTATAGTCAATAAAATGACTTGTTAGCAAACTTAATATACACATGTATCTTTAAGTCCAATTTTGACCGAGGTTTTTCATACAAATTGTTAGGCCATTATTTTCACACTGAATTGTTTTTGGATTTTTCTGTTTACAAAATCATGACAAGGAGCACACACCAGGTGTGACCAGTTGACAGGGGATGCTTATTCCTTCACTGTTTTCAGAGGTAGACCTCACTTGTGTTGCCTTTGCTGACAACTTGTATTGTTTAGATGGACTTTTGAGCTCGATCACTGTTCCTTATCTTTAAGGGTGAAAAAAAATGTATCATTCAATTTTTACAAAAAATCAACAGAATGATTGAAATAAAATCCAGATTAAAATGTGTCAAAATGAGGAACATTGAACGGACAGTGTCAGGTATTTTGGCGATTTAACAAAATATTCAATGCAAAAAAATTAAAAGAATCAGTAGATGATGTCACAATATTTGACCTTTGACCTCCAAACATGACCTCGACCGTTATTGTGTATAAAGAATGGAGACTCCTTATGAATATTTCCAAATATCAGGTATCTACTAAAAGTGGATCAAAAGTTACTTTGCATTTAATAACAGACTGTCATATTGCATGTAGATGTCATAAACACATCCTTTAATGTAGGCTCTGGAATGACCAATATACAGGATTCTCTAATTTTTTTTTACAAAATATGGTGAAAAAAAATGTCACAACTTTTCTTACAAAGATCATTAATTATTCACATTATAGTGATATTATTCTTTTTTTCTCTTGTTCTTATAAGAAATGAGTTAAAACAGATTTCATGGGTGTTTTGTACTACCTTAATAGTAACATTACAACTGATCAGAAATAAAATTTTGCATGTTTCCATAGTGGAAAGGCTCTTATTATATACAACTGTACATGTATACATACCTCTGTTTCTGGTCTTGGAATGAGGACTGGTGGACATAATTTAATGGTAAACTCATGGAAATCCCACTCCTGAATCACATATTGTATTGGCATTCTTCAATTGAAAGATATACAATTAATAATTTCTCAGATTTAATTCAAATAACTTGTCATGTTTATAAACACCATATTAAATTAACAAATCCTGGGTCAATACAGGTACCAATTTTGTGCACCTTTCCAATCGCCTCATTGCAAGTTGTTTAATTCTTGCTAACTGTGTTTCAGTAATTATCTGTTTCTTTGAAACTTGATGAAACTGCAAAAATAATATGAATGCTCTTAATATTGAACATTGAATGAATTTAATACAAATGACTGCATATTTAAAATTATCCATGATATACGTGTTAATCTGTTTAATCACTTTATCAAAAAAACTTATCACATGTTTTTCCATAAACTGTAGTCTTACTTCTGAAATAGTATTTCCCTGTACAAAAATATATTGCCAGAATCATGATAACAAACATATGACACACCCAAAACAAAGGCCTAACTTTTATTTAAAGCTAAATGTTTGCTTCATGAAAACTATTAATTAATCAAATAACACAAATCTCCCTGAAAACGGAAAAAACGAACATCTTCGTTGAACTCTTTTATATTTTTTCGAGAAAGGGTGAAACATTTTAAAAAGTAGACCTATATACCATCTTTTTGCCCAGAACATGTGCAATGATATATTCTGCAGACAAATTCGATTCCTCTCTTTCAATCCCAACATTTTGGAGCTTTCTGCTCAATTCAGAGCACACACTATTTACATCACTGGAATTTGCACTGCAAGAATGGTGCCGATTAAGATTTCTTCTTACGATGTGAAAATCTTTCTTTCTTAATTTCAATAACCATCGCATTATTTTTTTTGGAAGTTAATTAATTAAAGCAATGTCCTATGTCATTATGATTATGAGCTAACAACAACAATAGTGAAAGTAGAACCACGTGAAAATAAGAAATGGCAAGTCGGTCAAAATTTGTTCTTAAAAATCATATAAAGTTACATATTTTCGTTTTTATCTGAACAACTTTAAAACTGCTTCAAAGTGTGACTAACTATGTTAAACACAACAGTTTTATTTTTTCATAACGTTTTCCTAATGATTTACGCGTGAACGAGTTAATCATATAATTTGTAAACTGAAAGTAGATCACAAAGCACTTACAATCACAAGGCATTCAAAAAAGACAAGTTCACAAACCGTGATGATGACGTTTTCATAAAGTTTATCGCACTTCACCTGAGATTATATTGGGTAAGGGATTTTTAATAGAATGAAGTGTTAAGATATGACGTGTATTTTTTTACTTTAAGTGCTTCCAGGATTTACATGTATGCTAGCTAGTAGGTGAGTAGCTGACTAGTACAGACCAAATCGAAAAAACGTAATTTGTTGAATATGATACAGATTTTTTGCCGAAGAGGATAAAATTATTGCCATCAATTTTTATAGCGTTTCTAACCCTCCCAAATCTGAACCTTAAATGGAGAAATTTGTCGTCTGTTTATTTCTACTTTCACTCTTCGTGAGCTCTTCATGTCAGACTTGTGAACGAGATTCAGACAAGTGTGCTGGTGATTCTAAAGGAGAGGGTTGTGGCTGCTCAGTGAGTAGAGATGCTTCAAAATACTCAAAAAATGAACCTTCCATTGATAACACTGAGGAACAAATTATTGACATAGATGATCTTCCGAGGACCAATGAGATGGTATTTATAGAGCGAGGGACATTTACCATGGGGACCAATGAGCCTATCTTCCCTGTGGATGGAGAGAATCCAGCCAGAAAGGTCACCGTAGATTCGTTTTATCTTGATAAACATGAAGTAAGCAATGCCGAGTTCCAGAGATTTGTGGAGGAAACAAATTACGTGACAGAGGTACATGCCAGCTGAGGGTGTATAATTTGAATGTATAATCTGTAAGAAATTATAATGTTCTGCTTAAAGTTATATCTGAGAAATGATTACACTTATTTGATGCAAACTTACTTCACCAATGAATCCCTGCCTGATCTTTTGATTACTGAACTTGTATGCTACGCTTGATTTAGAAAAAATTAAACTTTTTTTCTGTAGGCAGAAAACTTTGGAAATTCCTTCTGTCTGGAGAATTATGTTAGTGAAGAAACTCTAAGGAATATAACACAATCAGTGAGTAGTTTTTACATGAGAAAGTCTTGTTTTCATTTCTACTGTTTTCTTTCTTTTCCATGGATGATATAAAATCCCTCCCAGATTTTTTTTCTTGTCAAGTTAGAATCTTTAAAACTTAAAATTTAATCCTTCTCCTAGCCATATAAGGCTCATAAGGCTGGTGCTTATACTTAGTTTCTGTGATGCTAAGCAGATGAGAGTCATTCATTGACTCCCTGTGGATGGGTTTCCTGTCCAGCACAAGTTAACCCCCAGCGTAAGCCAATACACTTTACATCTGTATGAAATGAGACAATGCAGATAAACTCCCTTGTCAAAGGACACAACACACAACATTAAGAGCCCACAGCGTTGCTTGAACTAGCGAAATTCTTCAAACCTGTGTTCATGGTGTTTTCAACAAACAGATAATAGGAATATAATATCTATTACCTAAGGATATACGGTAGTGATGTAAATTACCTTGCAAGATCAGTATAAAACAGTGAGTAGAAAACAAAGCAATTGTAAATAAATGTCCTCTATTCTGCGTAGGTTGCTGCAGCCCCCTGGTGGGTCCCTGTGAATGGTGCAGATTGGCGACATCCCCAAGGTCCAGATTCATCTATTGAAGACAAGTAATCTCTTAATATTTTACAAAAATTTGTGGAATTTAAATTACTTGAGATCTAGGAGGGGTGTAATTAAACTTTTACATTGATTATTTTATGAATTTAAGGGATTTACTCACCTGTAAAGATTCAGTGGGCTTTTGATTAATTCTTCGATGGAAAAATTTGAACATCCATTTAATGTACGTTATGTATTCTTATGAACTCCCCAATGTAATATCTCAGTACATGTTTAAGCAGAGAAACTCTGGAGAGTTATTACCCTGGATCATAACAATAATCATCATGGCCACATTTTGATAAAACTGATTGTAAGGCATTTGTAACTGATTTTTCTATCGCTTAAATCATGTGTTGATCCTTATCTGCTAAGTTATATAAGTATTATCTATTTACCTGTAGAATGGACCATCCAGTTGTGCATGTGTCATGGAATGATGCTGTCAAATATTGTGAGTGGGCGGGGAAAAGACTGCCCACAGAGGCAGAGTTTGAGCGTGCTTGCAAAGGCAATCTTCAGTCAAGGTCAGACCTTCTACTGCTGATGTTAGTTTAATAAAAATAAAGATGTAGAAATTCTTCCATCAGTTCTTTATTTTTTACACATGTATCAGATACATTCGTTGAAATCTAAGGTGTCTTGGTTAAATAAGTTTCTGCAAAGAAAAAAAAGTAATAATTTAGCTCCAAAGGACAATGTGTGTTCCAGGCTTTTTCCCTGGGGAAATAAAGAGGAACCTAAAGGGAAACACTGGATGAACATCTGGCATGGAAAATTTCCCTCAGAAAACACCGCCAATGATGGCTATCACACCACAGCTCCAGTAAGTACTGCAGATTAAGTTATCCATAAATCAATTCATTCCATGCCTCAAATTTACAAAAACAGTGTCATTTGAGAGTTGTTCACCAATGATAAGATCAATATAAGTATTTTCGGTATTTATGCAATTTTTTTTAACTGAAAAGCATTAAAGGGGATGATTTTGAATTATAAGGCGTAATGTTTAAAATTTTCTTAATGTGATAAAGGTTGAGAGCTTTCGCATATTGTTCTCTCTCTCTCTCTTTCTTTCTTTTTCTCTCTCTTTTCCACTTACATGTACATAAGAATTTTATTATTGTATTTTTTCTGCAAAACATAATATACTTTCAGGTAACAGAATTTCCAGAGCAAAATATTTTTGGGGTTAAAAATATCATAGGAAATGTTTGGGAATGGACACAAGATTGGTGGGAGACCAAATTTACTCCAACTCCCAAGAAAAATCCAGTAAGTTCACCCAACATAAAAAAAACACTGTAAATATTTACTTATATCCAAGAATTTAATCCCACCCCCATCCTAGCCAAGAAAAAACAAATATGTTTATCCAGGTAAAGTCCTGTAACTGCTCTCCTCCCTTCCAACCTCAAAGAAGAACCAAGTGTGTTAAGTACACTTCAAGGAAATCATATTTTATTTACATTTTTTTATCTTTCCAACATTGTTAGAAAAAAAAAACAACCTGATAATCATGACATGAAAATTTGATTGCCTCCCCTGTTCATTATAGAAGGGTCCAAGGATTGGAACAGATAAAGTGAAAAAGGGAGGATCCTTCATGTGTCATAAAGTAAGTTATTTGTCAGAAATGTTATAAAAATCATCAAAATTTAATTAAAAAACAGTACATGTATTTAAAAATTGGCTCACTGTATTTGAGATATGTGTGTATGGCAGCATTTATGGAGATGATGATTATAAAGGCTCTATTGTCTGGTTCTGTGAGTCTGTGAATATCAGCATCAGTGGTGAAGATTTCAGTGATCCATAATCAGATTCTCTGAGTCACTGTAAAATCAGAATTATTCCAGAGCTCCGTTGTCTTTGTAGAATTACTGTTACCGCTATAGATGTTATCTTTTCAGAATTACTGTTACTGCTATAGATGTAGATGTTGTCTTTTCAGAATTCCTGTTACCGCTATAGATGTGATGTTGTCTTTTCAGAATTACTGTTACCGCTATAGTTGTGATGTTGTCTTTATAGAGTTACTGTTATTGCTATAGATGTGATGTTGTCTTTTCAGAATTACTGTTACGGCTATAGATGTGGTGTTGTCACTACAGAATTACTGTTACCACTATAGATGTGATGTTGTCTTTTCAAAAATACTGTTACTGCTATAGATGTGATGTTGTCTTTTCAGAATTACTGTTACCACTATAGATGTGATGTTGTCTTTTCAGAATTACTGTTACTGCTATAGATGTGATGTCTTTACAGAATTACTGTTACCACTATAGATATGTTGTTTCTTTTCAGAATTACTGTTACCGCTAAAGATGTGATGTTATCTTTACAGAATTACTGTTACCTCTATAGATGTGATGTTGTCTTTTCAGAATTACTTTTACCACTATAGATGTGATGTTGTCTATACAGAATTACTGTTACCGCTATAGATGTGATGTTGTGTTTACAGAATTACTGTTACCACTATAGATGTGATGTTGTCTTTTCAAAATTACTGTTACTGCTATAGATGTTATGTTATTTTTTCAGAATAACTGTTACCGCTATAGATGTGATGTTGTCATTACAGAATTACTGTTACCACTATAGATGTGATGTTGTCTTTTCAGAATTACTGTTACCGCTATAGATGTGTTGGTTGTCTTTTCAGAATTACTGTTACCGCTATAGATGTGATGTTGTCTTTTCAGAATTACTGTTACCACTATAGATGTGTTGGTTGTCTTTTCAGAATTACTGTTACCACTATAGATGTGATGTTGTCTTTACAGAATTATTGTTACCACTATAGATGTAGATGTTGTCTTTTCAGAATTACTGTTACCGCCATAGATGTGATGTTGTCTTTTCAGAATTACTGTTACCACTTTAGTTGTGTTGTTGTCTTTTCAGAATTACTGTTACCGCTATAGATGTGATGCCAGGAGTCAGAATACACCAGACAGTTCTGCAGTGAATTTAGGATTCCGTTGTGCCAGTGATAAACTGCCAGCTTATTTAGAGGACATTACTGAGGAAGTGTTAATTGACCAGGATGACTTACTAAGAGAAGAACTTTAATAGTGTTTCAAGTGCAATTAAAAATAATTTAAAAGTTACACTGCCTTTCTATAGTATTTTACATCTTTTGTACTTTCCAATCATTCATAAAATTGATTTTTAAAATAAACACTACCAGAAAAAGCATATCAGACTGTTGTTTTGTTTTGTTTTCTTTTTCTAAAGAGGGGGGATAAGATTTTTTCTTTTTAAATTTTACAGTATACAAAGGACAAGGTATGGTAACAGCCGAATTTGGCCCCTTGTTTGATTTAAAAATCAAAACACAGTTAAAATTTTGATAGTTTGCAGAACTTTTAAACGATGTTTGTTTTAAAACCAGCATCAATTTTGATTCAAAGCATACACAGAGGCCACAAGAGGTGCCAAAGTGGGACACTTTACCGAATTGTCTCAATTCTGGCGGATTTTCATTAAATCTGAGATACTTTTCACTTCAGGAAACATAGAGCACAAGCTTGCCTATCTGAGATTTTTATACATAAGATGCATCTGATACTAGTGTATGAAATATATAAATTTGGTAGATAGGCAAGCTTGTGCTCTAAGTTTTCTGAAACAAAATGTGCTTTGAAATTGATAGAAATTTGCATAAAAATGAGAAAATTCGGAAATTGACATATTTTGTGACCTTTGTGTGTCCCATAACTTAGAATCAATACTTATTTTGTAACAATGATGACAACATGTTTTTAATAATAAAGTATTGCATCCTACATAGAGACTTCCAAAACTAGGGGCCAAAAAGGGGTCGTAACCTATCTTGTCCTTTATCCTACATGAGCAGGTTATAGTCATTGCAGTGAATACACTAACCTGCATAAACGGTTTAATAAATAATATTTTTAATGCTGCAATATAGCTTCATCCATCAGTTTGTTTTATTTTATAGGAGCCTTTAAAGTGTTATATACTCAGGTGACCGTTAAGGCCCTTGGGCCCCTTGTTCCTTAAAATTAATATGCAGAGAAACATAGGCGAATAAAATGCTTCAAACTTCGATCGACTGTGTAAAAAATTAAAAACAAAGTTTAATGCATGCTTTTATCATTAATATAAGAAATTGTGCCAATGGCAAAAATGGGAAAAAATGCATTTATAAATGATTTGTTCGAGGATTGAACCCAAACGTGTAAACCTCTTATCAGTTATGGCAGTCAGTCTAATATCGACACTTTAACCACCGAGCCGACAAATATTAAAAGTTGGGACATTTTATCCCATTAAATTTTGTGCTGTATGAACGGACACATGACCCTTGAACAACTGGACATAATTTTTTCCCAAAAAGTTTTTATTTTAAATGTATACATGTTGCTAGTGGGTCTTCGTTGTTCGCTTCGTGTTTATCTACGTTTCAGTTGATATTGCCAATGAAAAGAAGCAAGGGTCCTATCAGGCGGAGACATTACATTAAGGAAATTCCACCCTCGTGTGATAGCATAGGTTTTTGCAAAATCTTTCATTAACTTAATGTCCTGTAGAAACTAATCTTTTGGAAGAATGCTTTTAAATAGATGAAATTAAAAATATTATTTCAATCATAAAAGAATTTCTAAAAAGAAATATTTACTATATTTTCGTTGCAAAAATGTGCATAGGGCAATAACTTCAACCCAATTATCTTTTACTTTTATTGTGAATTGGTTTCCCTGATATCCATGATTGATATATATCTATAAAGTTACAATTAAGTTAAAGATTATGTCATTTGAACAAGTTTTAGCTCATGCACCTGAGCTGAGCATTAAAGTTTGATCTCTTATATTCTGACCCCACCCTACCCCAGGGGCCATGATTTGAACAAACTCTAATCTGTACTACCTGAGGATACTTCTAAGTAAATATGAATATTCCTGTCTTTGCTGTTCTTAAGAAAAAGATTTTTTAAAGATTTTTTCCGTATATATTCATTTGTAAAACTTTGATCGCCTAATGTGGCCAAACCCTATTTCTGGGGGTCATGATTTGAACAAACTTTATTTACGCTTTCTTAGGATGCTTCATATTAATATGACTAATTACAGCTTTGTTGTTCCTGAGAGAAGGATTTTTAAAGATTTTTAACATATATCCCTATGCAAAACTTTGATCAACTACTGGGGCTCACCCTATTCCCGGGTGTCATGACTTAAACAAACTAAAATTTACACTGTGTTTTAAAGCTTTCACGTAAGATTCATATTTTATGGCTCAGTTGTTGTTGAGAAGAAGATTTTTGAAAGATGCCACAAAATTTTCAATTATTTTTAAGTCGAAAATGTCAAAAGTTTACAGACGGACGAACAGACAGCTAGACAGAAGCCGGACAAAATGTGATCAGAAAAAAACTCGAGAGCTTTCAGCTCAGGTGAGCTGACACGGTGGCGACATATACATTTTTTTCAATTATTAGTTATTTTAATCTATGTTCACTGGAAGTTTGTAAACTTTGAACCCATGAAGGTGTGTGGAAGAAATTTTCGTTAATGTTATATTATGGTTGATTTTTTTTCTTATTTTTTGTTTAATTCCCCTTTTTCTTAGTGTATCATAACCCATTGATATCGACAATTAATTCACAGACACTTGATGTTTTAACATTTTTCCTCGTAAAAAAAAATCCATACGAAATTTATAATGATTATTATATAACTAGTATGGGAATCTATGTTCTTTATCTTTATCCTTTATAAGTTGTACTATTTTATTTTTTAAGTCTTTAATTTGGGAAAATATGTTTAAGTATTTAGTAATATAATTTATACTTATAACAAGCCCGTAGGAAGCAATTTCAGTTTGGGGGGGGGGGGGGGCACAGCCATACATTTTTCAGTGGACAGTTGAGGGGGCAGTCCAAAAATTTCCTGACAAGCAAAAAAAAAAAAAAATAGGACATCAACTACCAAAAATTCCTTGACAAGCAAAAAAAAAAAAAAAAAGGTCATCAGACGTTTTTATTGAGGGGGCACAAGCATATAGTATCAATGTTTACTATAGTAATCTATATATCGGCAAAATTATTGGGGGGGGGGCACGTCCCCCCCCCCCGTGCCCCCCCCCCGGTTCCTACGGCCATGAATTATATACCTAATGTCTATGCAATTGCAAAAAAATTTAAACTACATTATAGAGATTGGTGACCGTCCGCCATATTTAAAGTCTTCCATTAATTGATTGTTCCTTGTCTACATATAAATAAAAACAGTACAAACTTAGAGACAAACTGAAGACAACTCGAGCTTCTATCTTGTTTTGTTCATTCTCTGTTTATTTACTACAGGTAAGCAATTTTTCAGTAGAAAAAAAATAGTCATTTAACAGAGTGATGCCTAGCTCGTATTCGTGTATTGAAGTATATATAGTTACACGATATATGCAATGATATGTAAATATTTAAATGAAAACATTAGCCGTGATCGAAACACCGTGTTGTGATCTATCTCAGTGGAAATAATTTAAGCCCGTTCCTATGAATGCACTCCTAAGTAATACTTGGACGTTTTAACACCCTGCAGTACTAACTCTGCCAGGTGCTATAGTTTTAATGTTTCTTGTTTCGAATTCCGATGTGACACTTCACTATCTTATAGCATCACTTTAAATCTAAGTTCAGAATGATTTTTTTTCTCAATGTTAGATTTTAAAATAAATCACTACTTTCCACCCACCCTGCTTTGAACAAATTTGATCATGAATCCGCATACTTATCTCAATTTCATTGGTCAATTTTTCTTGTGCATTTCTAAGAAATACACCCTCCCCCGTTAGTGACCCTTCCCTAGCCCTCATTTACAGAAGCTCAACATCCTCTTTCAAGTCTAATGATTCTAAAGTAGGACTTAACTGATTTTTTTAATATCATTTTTTGCAATTTTGTAAAGTACACGGCTCCATTCGGAGCATAGGAGTGTATGTCCTATATTTAAAAAACACATGCACCATTGCCAACTCTTTATTACCACCCGAGATTCTTCGGCAATTGCTACAAGTATAACTACATGTATGAATATATTTAAAAATTTTGTTTGTTATTATTTAATAACACATGAATGTCCTTTTTTCAGCATTCCTCATAAATCATGGCTTCGTTTGACGAACTGATTTGTCGCGTTTTCTTGCTGTTTTTGGTCGAGATGGGTATGATTGCAATAGCTTAATTACATGTAGTTGATTATATACACATTGATAAAGTAGATTTGATTAAGACTGTAGTTTATATGCAAGTTTATAAAAATGAGATATTGAATAACTTTAATTTGAAAATTGCTTTATCATAGAATAACATGCCAACTTTCATAGAAACCGGTGTTAGCATGCATGTTAATTCGGGGATAGTGATATTTCACTTTTAAAAAAAAAAAAAAGAAAAGAATTCTATGTTTCTTCATACGAAATATGGGCACTCGTAATGGATGATGGTAATCATGTTTTTTGTGATAATTTACAGTATTTTTTTTTGACAGTAAATCTCTCGGCGGCTAGACGAGGAGGTTTCTCCAGGGGTTACAGGTCAAGATACTCATACTATAGCGCAAGTACAGGGTAAGCTCCTTCATCTGTTAACTCAAACTTTGTCAAAGTTAACAGATTTTGCTGTTAAACAATTGAGACCATTTTTTATATTAGTATGTATATCATTTTATTGTTAGAACTAAGTGAATTCAGTTTGAATAAAACGAGACCCTCTTTTTTATCGTCCTCTAAAAAGGGGCGTTTGACGGGGGGGGGGGGATAGATCAAACTATTAGTGAATTATTTGCAGGCGTACTAGATGGTAAAGCAACGGTAACAGGCGCGTAGCCAGAATAGAAATGATGTGTACGCAGAGAACGGCAGGGGGTTGGGTGGGTGGGTGGGTGGGGGGTCTTGAGCCTCCCCCCCCCCCCCGTGTTTAAGTGCTCTGGTCAGGCACGTAATATAGCTTTTGCCAGCCAGGAAAAAATTACAACTTTAAAAATTTTGTCAAGCAAGGACGAAATAGGAAGATTGTCAAAATTCGAAGTCCTATTTCTTGTGTGTGTTTGTTGAAGGGGGGGGGGGTCCATCTTTCACAAACCAAATTTTTAGTAATACGTTACCAAATTACCATGATTTAACAATGGTGCAGCAAACAGTGGGGGTCCACCCTTTCAATATACATTTTTTCAATAGTAAAAGGTTAGGTTTTGGGAATAAATAGTGGGGAGGCTCGCCTGATACTACGTGCCTGCTGGTGAGGGCCCAGAAGCTCCGGAGTTTTATCATTCAATTTCTTGAAATATAAAAATTATGCCATTTAATTTTTGTTTAGGAAATAAAAGACATAGTAAAATTTATTGTTTTAACGAAAATTAATATTCCATGGAAACTTATTGTACATATAATTCAGGCTAAAATTTAACTTATATATTAACTGGTATCATATAATCATTCTTAACGTTTAAAAACACGTATACAAAATTTTAATTATGAACAAAAAAATATCGTATTGTAAATCATACTAGTAGATCATAGCATTCAACGATGTGGCTGAAATTTATTTTTTTCAAAGATCTTTAAAAAAAAATCAATGTATGATAGAACAATGACAAAATAATGAATGATTTATTTGGTACGAAAGCCTATTAGGATCAAACTACGTAATAACGCCTTTTGGAAAGGCGTAATAACGCCTTTTAGAAAGGCGTTATAACGCCTTTTAGAAAGGCGTAATAACGCCTTTTCAAATTTTTTTTTACCGTAGTTTGATTCTAATAGGCTTTCGTAATTTGGATTTGTCAGTTATTAAATAAAAGATTTCAAATCTTATCACACAGCCATGATAATTTAAAATTTAAATCGACACAGTATGACACAGAATAATTTGAAACATGAATATTTGTTGGATGGTACTGAGATTTTTTTTCTCCGAATAATTCTCTCTTTTTTTTTTATTTTTTTCTTCTGGAAATGATGTGTACGCACTTGCGCATTTGCGTAGAGGCAGCTATACGCGCCTGGGTAATATTGGAAAGTCATAACTGCATAGTTTGGATGGTGTTTTTAAGATAATAAGAGCCATTCTCTGTAATGACTTGAACTTTTATAAAAGATCTGTTGCACGCATAGTCTAAGAATTTTTCCAAACTCTCTATGATAAAAGTCTTTGATACCGTAAACTCAAATCAGGCAAAAATTAGTTTCTGTGTATCAGGTAGCCATGGCAATATACTTTAACGTTTGAAAAATGGCATTTTTGAACATGCTCAGAGTCCTGTGGTTAACATTTGCAGCAATGCAGGCAAGTAACAATGACTGATTCTAAAAGAAGTTTTGGTGTCTTGAATGCAAAATAAACATGTTAAACATATTTGGAAATTCAGTTACAAACGTTACTGTGGAAACAATGTATTCAAATGAAATAATTTTATTCATTTATTTTTAAAGTCATATACACTAAAAAATAATTAAGGGTTGTAATGCAACCACATTATAGAGAAAGATCCTTGTAGCATGTTCCAAGAAGGGAATGTGACATTTCTTATTGGTTGGCAATGGTTACTATGGCTTTAATACAGCAAAGGGATTTGGAATTTAATCTCTAGATGTTTTAATCTGAATCTATCTTTTTAAGAGCACATTTTATTTAACTGGTGATCAATTTTTAAAGCCAATAGTGTGGTCCTAATTTCCACATTTCAAAAAAATTCAAATTCTTAAAATAGAGCGTTGCTATGGAAGTTATAGGAAAAATTATGTATAAAAAGCTGACAAATATTTTGTTTCCTTGGATACGTACCCATGAATGTAGATTTCAAAAACTTTTATGATTGATTTTTATGAACAACTAACTTGACTGTCAATTTTGACTATCATACAATCTCTAACTGGAAGCAAGAAGCTAGCACATAGGGTTTAATATTGCTAAAATTGAACATTTCCCAAATTGGTAACCATAGCAAGAGAGTTAATTATTTTCTTCATCAAACTTTATCAATATATGATATTCTACTTCAGCTCTATCAGATAAGAACAATGCAAGGTGAGTCAAACATTATGTCTCTTGATTAAAAAGTAACTAAATTCCTAAAGCAACAAAAGATTATCACTATAAACCACTGGTACGTTGTTTCCATGGTTCTTATGTTATCTGTGTTACAAGAACCTAACGATGTACATTTGCCAGTCTTGAATTTCCATGATTTTTCCTTAAGATAGCAGCATTAACCAAAACTTAGCAACAAATTTTGTGTGGCTACCCTTTCCATGGCAACCATGAAAGTTATTTTTGGAATTTTGTTTTACCTTATTACATAAGGATAAAATATTTTTATTGCTTTTTTTAGTGTTGTTTAATGAGTTTGATTATGTAACACCCATCATTAGTGAGTTTTTCAGCATATTTCAGCATTTAAAATATAACTATGGTTACCACTTACTTAGATATATTCTTAATAGTTTCTTTGTGGACCCGATTTTAGCAAGAGTTATTTCCCGTTGGTGGCCATATTGGAACTCAACAAACCCAGATTCCTTCATTATCCAGTCAATTTAAACTTGTAAAACAGGGCAATGAATTGGAGATAACACAGTTTTCCTTACGAATATGTTAACAAAAGATTCCTTTAATTCTTAATTTTAGAATTTTAAAGTTTTTTGGTCTTATATTTCTGCCATACTTTTAAAATTAGTTGCTCAGAGAGGAAAATTCACTACTTGACCTCCAAGATAGCCCCCAAGGGAAATTACTCGATGGAAGATACGTCATACGAAAACAATCTATAGCATAAGTGGCAATGTAATGTATAATGTTTTTGTAAAAGTGGTTTGTTTGATTTTCTTAGTCTTTATTAAGGCTTAATCTCGGTGGAGATTCGGCTGGCCTAGATATTTGGTCTGACGCAGAAAGGAACACGACATGAATTTTATTGGCAAATAGCAACAATTAAATTCTGGTATTAGGTAAACACTGACAGGGCTGTATATTTTTGTTATAGGGATCAAACAGGAGCGTATATCGCCACTGGAGTTATTTTAGGCCTCATGATTCTGATCGTGACGGTGATTCTTCTGAGGAGGTCGTGCTGTCCCTACTGGAGACCTTCAGATCTCGTCACTGACTGCAAATACAAATGCCAGCAGTGTCAAAAGGGAGACAGTAAAGTTAAAATTGAACCATCCTCGGTTGAAAGGGAGAAACGGAAGAATACCTGGGCTCCCGTCAAAAGACATATGGCGGAGTTGAGGCTTGTTATGCACACTCCAAAACCAGGTAAAACGACAGGAGTGATTTATTTAATAGGAATTAAGAATAAAACATGTAGTTAATTTTAATATACATGCTTTGGGAGTGCCTATATCATATACATGTATACTTTTTTTCAAAAAAAAAAAGATCTGCATCATTTAAAAGACTTAATATTGCAATTGATATGGTTTTCACACATTTTTTGCAGTGTTAGAGAAAAGAGAGTCCAAAAATTTAGAAAAGAAGATTTCTTTGTACGAGTCGAATCCAATGCATTACCGCGCCTTTATGGAGCCCCCGCCGGCGTATGAATACGTAGAAGTGAAAGAGACCGACAATAAAAACAAGTCTGGATTTCTTCAAAATCGACAGCGAATAAGCAGAGTAGTCTCACAGATGAACCTTCTCAAAGAAAAGGCAGCTCAATCTCGTCAAGAAAATAGTATGACGTCATCAGATAGGAAGACAGACGACAAATCGTTACCAAAACATTCTAGTAAAAAGTTTGACAAATCTGAAACATCTTGCGGAAGTAAAAGACTTGCAAGGACTCACAGTGTACCGCAAATGGCACGGACAGCTTATTGATTCAGGAAATGTAGCCTGTTATCATTAAATACTGAGATGTGGCCAAATAAATGAGACTGGGTCTTAAATTCATATCACGAAATAGGCCTACCTGAAACGGTTAAAGAATTCGAAGACGCGCATAGTACCTACTTTATAGTTAACTTAACACCTTCCACACTAATTGAAATAACAAGTTTTAACTTAAAAAAAAAAACAATAATCATAACTTGTTTAATAGTATTTTCTTGAGGTTTCCTTTTATACAATATTTGATAAGTTAGTCTCTTATTGATTTTGTCATTTATACACTCAGTAGATATACTAACAAGACATGGCAGTAGTGGGCAGGGTACAATGGCAATTATGTCAAGGAGGATAGCCTACGTTTAAGAAATAGATATACGTTTTTTGAAGTCCAAAATACAATATATTCATTCTATGGGATGTGTTATTTTGTATTTCTGTGAAATAAGATTGCACAAATAAATCATTCATTTAATGAAATTGTCCACCATGTCCGTGAGCAAATGTTCACTCCGCATGTATTCTGCATATTTACCTTGTTTATATATGTTTTATTGTAAATACATGTATTATACCACAACACCCCCACCCCACCCCACCCCCCCTCTGACTAAATATCTACAAATATTTAATACTTGGAATGTATTTCTGAAGTGAGTTTTGTCTGAATTTAGTCATGTTGATTCAAGTTTTACAAAAGTCACAGGAATCATTCATTACTTAAATGTGGAAGTGTTATTCCTATATACTGGGGACGTATTGGAACAAAATTAAGTCACTTGACTGAAAATATGAATTAATTTATAGTTCTTTTGAAGGACTTTTAATGAACATATTTTCTAATGCAGGAAGCTTCTTTTAATTCTATGGAGGTCCATTAATTCGTACCAATTCATATATATGTCTGGTATTTTTACTACGTAAATTATTGTGTTAAAACGCCATGAATGTTTTGCGTTTAAACACTAAACATATTGTGTTGAGACGCAATACACTTGCATTAAATATATATAAATTTTATCTATCTATCTATCTATCTATCTATATACAATTATATATTGCTATTATAATAAGCTTGAATGGTCTTCAGTATATTTTTAGTCATTGTTTTGAAAGCATGTTATATTGAATAACTTTCGATAACTAAAAATCAGATTCTTTTTAAGTCCTTTAATTCCGGCCTTGCATCTTACACACATGTGCAAGTAAAGATAGAATGCGTCATGCAAGTAATAAAATATACATAGCCTGAAAATTTCTTCCACAGCAGCGAACACATAAATTACTCCTTATAAACATAAAACTCGTATGATATATCACAGAAAAAAAATCGTCTGACGGATAGTACAGCGTAAGCATCCGTCACTCACAGGGAAATAATTGGATGGACAGTATTAGCCTAAAAATACAGTACACGGCATCATTGAGACTGTGCACTTAAAAAAACGATCAGGTGCTAATTAATGCTGTAAAATAATGCTGGAATTATCCATATCCACTCTAAGTATAAAGTGTAGAAAATCTCGTTAGTACCACGTTGAAGATTGGTATAGGTAATAATACTGATAGATGAGTATCAAGATAAGTAGTCAATGGTGTAGATTTATTTCGGAACATATCCCGGAGGGTAAGCCGGATCAGCCGGAGGGGGGTAGGCTGAGGCTTGGTATGAGAAGGCTCCTGGGGGTGGCTGCCCGGGTCCTGGGGGAGGAGGCTGTCCGTACAGATTATTATAAGCAGGGGGCTGCTGATGGAAATATTCCGGACCCTTCCTTTCATACAATTCCTGTCTCTTTTCAATAACTGAAAATACATATCAAAGAAATATAAACTCTCGATTTATATCTCTTCTGGTATGATTAGTTATTGGATCTGCTAGGGTAAACGCGAGAGAGAGAGAGAGAGAGAGTTTACCTGACTGGGGCGTGTTTAACGTAACATGAGCAGCTTCCTTTTTAACTTTACGTTGTTGAGTATTTCTTTTTAGGGAATAATGCCTCACAAGTAGAATACAGGCACCAATAAGCACCAATCCAAAAAGACTGCCGACTACAGCCCCAGCAATTATTCCGGCATCTCTGTAAAATAACAGAAATTCTGGTAACGGCACCAATTTTGAGGTCAATTGTTGTCCTTTTCGTCTGACAATATTAGCTGCTGGTTATTTTAAATGATCAATTTGCTTTGATACGTGCGAGGCGTTTATAATTTGGTTTGTTACGCACACGATGACAGAGTTATAAATGATAAATTTGGTTTGATACGTGCGATGATTTTTTAATTAAAATGATTTGATAAGTACGATGAGTCTTGATGACTTTGGTATGATACGTACGATGAGCTTCCAGTGGTACTATAGCCGTAGTATCTGTAGTAGTAATATCGTGAGTAATAGGAATACCGGTAGGACCTGTAGTATCTAGATCCGCCCCTTCGATATGCATCTACATTGTTCGCTAAAAAGAATTAAAAAAAAAACATTAGCAAACTTGTGAATAATTTAAGTAGATGTTAAAATTTAGCTCATGTACCTGTCAGTGAGTGGATGTCAGTATGTCTTAAAATACATAAATGATTATGTATTTTATACTGGTGTTACACTTTATAACATGTACATCTACAAATATCAAACCACATTTAGGTCTTCTTGCATCATATTTCAAGTATATGGAAAATCATCTTTTATTTAAGTTGAACTGAAATGATTGAAAAAGGAAGAGAGGAAAGGAGAAAGGGTTGGATACTCCGACAGCCCCCACATAAACATACGTATTTCTCAAACGGGGAAAAAATCTGACTTCTGATTCTTAGTTTTATTTAATACATTCATTTCATCAATAACAGGCTCGTAGCAAGGTTTTAAAAGTGGGGGCTAACCTCCAAAAAAAAAATCTGACAAGCAATACAAAAATGGGCAAAAGGTGGGGATCCTTCCAAAAAAAAAAAAAAAAAAAAAAAAAAAAAAAAAAAAAAAAAAAGGTAAAAAAGACTTAAACTGTCCGAAATTGAAAAATCCTGTTTCGTGGGGGAGTGGGAAGGGGTAGACCTTTTTCTTGCTCCTTGGTATATTTCATTTTAGATACTAGAATTTACCATTGGTCGACCTTACAGCATCAAAATGTGTGTGTGTGGGGGGGGGGGGGCAACTAGCATATAAATGAAAATTTACTAGCAAAATACTAAACTAAAAAAAAGTGGGATGTGTGTGGGCGGAGCCCCCTGGCTCTCCCACCCTTCGCACTCTACGGGCCTAAATTATTTCAATATTATGAAACACCCTGTTTGATAAATACAATATATTCTTAATTAACTTTTCTTCAGAAATATTAAGTAAATCCATAAAAAGCAGTATATATACATACCAGTATTATTTTGATATCGAGTCATTGTCAAAATAATTAGAATTGAACATTTCGAACCAATTCATCAAAGAAACCTGGAAATTCCTTTAAAATTTCTGAAGATCAAGTTTTTAATTTCACACCCCTCCACTCAAAATTCTATCATAAATTCAACCCGGTAAAGTTGGAAAAAAGGGCTAAAGCTCTACCAGATCCCTTCCTCTTTCACCTCTGACCTCAAGCCCCACACCTAGCCCCCCCCCCCCCATTGGCAAATTATGAAGAATTGAATATTTTAGCTTGCTTGGAAATGTATGGTTTATAAGTTATAAAATTTAATGATGATCATTTCTTCAATGAACTGCATTGTATAAATATATAAGGTTGAAGCAAATAGCAAATTTCAAAAAGATGGTAATTTTTTTTGTAAGATTATTCACAATACTTTTAAGACCTTTTGGGGCAAATTATAAGAAAATATTGACATATTCAGGCTGGGTAGAAATCAATATTGCTAATGGTAAAAAGGTATTTCATTAATCTATAGATCTGCAGATTCTCATTTTACAAGCAGCTTCTAAATCGATTTATATATTGCCAAGTAAAATCGTTGACCTTTAACCTTGCCTACACATTCTTACCTGAAAGCAACACAATTCCCAGTATCACTGATATAATGACTACAACTAGACTGGTCAGTCCTCGGGCTAAGTACCCCATGACTCAGACTGTTAGACGGACAGACAGATATACAATGTCTACCCGGCGAATATCCGCGGCGTGACGCTGCGTTCCTTTATTTTGGAGATATTGGTCTATTGCTATGCGCTGACCTATCCATTGCGAAATGGTCTTGATTTCAGTTAACCATTGTTCGTTATTTAAATCCCCATTCCAGGCTGCTGCGTGACGTATACTTATTAAATATACCCTGTTTTGATACACGTCACACAGTACATTGCCCTCGGAAGTCTTTTAAAGTATGTACATACATGTACAAATGTATATACATTATATACTCCAATGGCGCCAATTGTTTCTATAATCATTATACATGTATTGATTGTCAATTTAAATGCAAAACATTTTTTAAAAAATCTATTTCCAGTAAAAGTGGAATACTGGTAGGAATACGTAAAAAAAAAAAGAAGAGAGAACACACACACACACACACACACACACACACACACACACACACACAAACACACACACATATATAACAGCATATGGACTTGTGTTACTATTTAAAGATTCTGAAATGCATATCGACCTGATGTTTCTAAATATGGAAATAATCTTCTATAAAACAATAATAGTGTTGACTTAACATAGCTAGTATGACTTGATAATTCTGGGGGGGGGGGGGGGGGGGAAACCCAGATATACTAGAGTTACTAAATATTGTAATTGTGATGCTCTATAATAATTGTTAAAAAGGTAAATGCCTTGAATACTGATCTACATGAACTTTATGTTAAAACAAATTGATATATTTTTCGTTAATTGATAAAAAAAAATAGTAAAACAAATGTAGCCATATCAATTAGTACATTCCCTAAAATATTCTATTATAAGAAAGTAACACAATGACGTAAACAGTTTCTCTGTATGAAAACTTAAGAAAACTTGTTTTTATTAATTTCAAATTTTGTCTTGTCCATCTGTCTAAAAAATAATATAACAAATGTCTCCCTTTCATTCGGTCAATCCATAGATATATTGACTTCACAAAAAAGCATATCGACCTCGCACTTCGTTTTCATACTAATTGTTAGGCCATTATTTTTCATCTTTATCAACATTTAGATTTCTTGATTGTCTTTGTTGTCTTACGACTTGTGGTTGATGTTTTTGAACATTTTCTTAACATTTGAATATGTCACGCATAACCACGTTTTACTAGTACTTTTTCCTCTATCAGTGATTTATTCTCAAAAGATGTCGCCATATCAACATTTATCAGAAATTTGTTATTTCTTTACAGCCTAATCTATTGTTTAATCTGGTGTTTCTTCTGTTTCATAAATATTCTTTATCCTAATATCACTGTCGATGTAATTTTTATTTTCATCAGCATTGATCATAATGCTTTTGGAAAGAGTCAGCATTAGTTTTATTTATTTTCTAAACACATTGCAATTCAATTTTAAGCCGGCTTTTATCGAAACAATTTAAGAAAAGTGATACAATAGTGATTTTTATCAGAGATCCTTTTTATGTATTTATTTGATCATTTCAAAATGTTTTTATCATAATTTATTTTTTGCAAAATTTTCGTGGCATCCCCTCTTCCGTTTTCCCCTAAGCATATTTATTTTATATTTTATATCATTTAGCAAAGAATTATTTATATAGGGACCGCCCCTTTCCCCCTTATTCGTTGTTGTAGTAGGAGGTTAGAATCTCCCATGATACCAGTATCTATACCCCCCCCCCCCCCCCAAAGATGGGTTCTCTTTTTTAGATTGAATTTTTACCGATTGTTTTTTATTCGGAGATTTTTTTTATAATTTTATTTTTTGCTTTTCAATGATCCCCCCCCCCCCCCACACACACACACACATTTGGATATCGACGCTTCACCCTGAGCTGGTCTATTTGCACTTATCGATATGATTAACTATGGATCAGAATTAAAATGGCTTAATACATTTTATTTTTATATGAAGCTATTATTTTAGAATAAAGAAGCGAATATTTGCATTGATCCCTCTCTCTCTCTGAAAAAAAAAACATACGTGTATTTAGAATACCATTTAATATTAAGACTTAGTCTACTTAATATGAGTCAAAAAACATTTGCAAATTGCTCAGAAAACAAATATACAGTATCTTTATCCATGCATAATATATACAGATCGCTATAAATCGTCGTTCAATGTCGCGTTTAGATTAATAATATGATATCAAGTTAAATACTTAAACAGAATAATTAATAAATGCATTTATTATATACCTAACTGTTTTCACCCAGTTTTACTGTTGAATTTATGCAATCACGTGACGGTGTGATCCGACGTTCCGGATCACCACACTGTGGTTTTCTGAGTCCATATCACCCCTCTCTGAAACTGATGACGTAGTACACAGATAAATGACGTTTTTATTCTGGCGCATCAAAAATTTCCTTGACAAAATGGTTTGTTTAATGGATAAAAGTTATTTAATTGATCCAAAAAGTTTTCTTTTATTATATTTTGCTAGTTGTAAAGGGGTATATAATAAATTTATCATTTTAACAGTAACTTGATCCGAAGAGCCGTATCACGTCTCGTTGACAGGCGCGGATCATCAGATCAAACTCGACGCTTCGCGTCTCGTTTGATCTGATGATCCGCGCCTGTCAACTTGACGTGATACGGCTCTTCGGATCAAGTTACTGTTATAATAATATATATTTATTATAAACCCAACTGTTTGTCACTCAGTTTTACTTTTGAATTCACGCAATCACGTGACGATGTGATCCGACGTTCCGGATCACCACACTGTGGTTTTCCATATCACCCCTCTCTGAAACTGATGACGTAGTACACAGATAAATGACGTTTTTATTCTCGCGCATCAAAATGTTCCTTGACAAAATGGTTTGTTTAAGTTCTGTAATTGATCCAAAAAGTTTCCTTTTATTATATTTTGCTAGTTGTAAAGGGGTAATATGTTGACGGTGCGACCGTTGGGGCGAGCGCATTGTTCACTTCTTTTTAAGATCCGCCTCTTCAAACCGCACGAGACACTTGGAACGTCTAGACTGTGACGTCACATGACGTCGTATGTTAGCTGCATTTCCATAAACAAAGTTTAAAAAGTGCAAATATTTTAACAAAGAACGTTTAATCTACTATCTGCATGCAATAGCCATTAATTAAAGTGAGTTTATTTTTTGTGAAATTTTAGTTGTTGTCACCGCGTGAACGAAGTTAGCAGCGAGAACAAGAAGCGATGCATTGTGGGTCAGAATTACTGCGGAAAAAAATTCTATTGAATGAATGTGCAGTAGTCCGAATTTTCTCTTCGCCCAGGCGTTGTCGTTAGAGCTCGCAGTGACGAGCGGCGCTTCGCGCCGCTCGCTGCGCTCGCTATTAATATCTATTGAGTAAGTTACTTGTACCAGAGGACCAATGAGAGAAAAGCATGTTGATAATTAGCACCGCCTACTACGAGGTGTCAAGCCACGGTCCGGAGTCTGTATAAATAGCTGTCTCCATCTGCAAGGATCATAGTTAGCTGCGTCACTGCTACTGCGAATTGGCGATAAAAAATTCGGAATCGATACGTTTGAAGATATTGTACCTTTGGAATGTTGAAGACGCAGAAAACATGATTTTTGTCAGGTACAGGGTAGCGATTGTAGGCTTTTATATTCAATCCGTGAACTCTGACAGAAAATTTATCTTCCTAGATCGTTTTTTTTTTTTGAAAAAAGGGGGATGGGTATGGGAAACATCGCCATTGAACTTTCTCTATATGGCAATTGGCGTACAGAAAAAAATGAAATGATTTGTGACATTTTCATGAAAGTTTGAAATGGTATTGGAATTAAAAAAAAAAACGCGGGGACTTCTGATGTGATATTGCTATTTGTACCATAGGACTGGCGGTAAATTTAGATTTTGCTTTGATGTTGCTGTGGTGTATTTGCCAGAAGAATCACAGTTGTTTTAAGTCACGCCCACCTTTTGGCATCAAGCCATACTGTGACAAGACCTTGACTGATGAATAAATGATGTCAATTTCCAGAGCTGGCTGATGAATAAATTAAGTCAACATTTGTAATTTAAAAAATACTAACATTAGCTTGTCGATGTTCGTTTCTTTAATGTTTCTGTATGTTTTCTCCGCGTATCCTTAATCAGTAAATGATACGTCCTATCTCGAGTTCTCGTCATTCTCTTTCCCGTCTCCAAATACAAATAGCAATATCACATCAGAAGTCACCCCGCGTTTTTTTTTTAATTCCAATACCATTTCAAACTTTCATTAAAATGTCACAAATCATTTCATTTTTTTTTCTGTACGCCGATTGCCATTTAGAGAAAGTTCAATGGCGATGTTTCCCATACCCATCCCCCTTTTTTCAAAAAAAAAAAAAAAAAAAAAAAAAAAAAAAAAAAAAAAAAACCGATCTAGAATTTTCTGTCAGAGTTCACGGATTAAATATAAAAGCCTACAATCGCTACCCTGTACCTGACAAAAATCATGTTTTCTGCGTCTTCAACATTCCAAGGGAACAATATCTTCACACGTATCAATTCCGAATTTGTTTATCAACAATTCGCAGTAGCAGTGACGCAGCTAACTATGATCCTTGCAGATGGAGACAGCTATTTATACAGACTCCGGACCGTGGCTTGACACCTCGTAGTAGGCGGCGCTAATTATCAACATGCTTTTCTCTCATTGGTCCTCTGGTACAAGTAACTTACACAATAGATATTAATTGGTTAGCAGTAAATACACTCACAGTTTTTATTCACTCGGGGCTCCGCCCCTCGTGAATGAAAAACTGTGAGTGTATTTACTGCTAACCAATTAATATCTATAGTGTAACTATAACTAATACTTTTTTCTTGAAAAAAGTTAAATCAAATATCAAGTTCAATATCGGAAAGTCTGTAAGCCCAGTACCATGGATGGTTTATTAGCATGCAATACACATACTAGATATCAAACTTTGCCATAATTTTTTGTAATCTAACAATAAGTAGAAACATTTCTGAAAAAAATAGGTCAAAGGTCAGGTTCAAGACAAGAATAATAATGATTATGACCTTGACCACACAAGTTTTTGGGACAAGCATGCTCCTATCAAAATATTATTGCTCTATACTCTCGGTTGTAATCGATACTAGTATACAGACTGAAACATATTAAAAATTACCCCAAAGATCAACTTTAAGGTCACGAGGTCAATAACCTAGTACTACGAAAAGGCATACATTTTCAATATCATATCACCGCCTATTTCGTTTTAAAAAAGTTGATTCGGCCAGACATGCAGATAGTCTAAACTGAAGACATGTCAATTAGTTTCACTGTGTTTGCAGGCGACACAATGAAAATTAGATCCACCTATAAAAAAAAAAAATAGTGTATCAATGGTCAGAAAGATACTGTCAAAATTAACAAACTCTTGCCAGCTTGTCAAACGAAGCGTGTCTTTGATCAGTACATTCTTTACAAAATCACAGTCTGTAGATAAGTTCATATTGTTTGTTCCTTATTGTCCTAATTAAATCCCAAATTAAAAAAAAAAGATCAGGCAGTCGTGATGTGTAAGTACCGAAATAAACCCCCAGTATTGTATTGACCATGGACACTATGTGCTGGAGTTTAAGATTGGGTGTCTTTCTCACTCTCATTTCAGGTAAAAATGATTCGTATGTTTTATCGATAATCTTCAGTATTTTATGCTTTTTGTAAAATGTCTAAGAATATTTTATAGTATAGGCGGTGAATTTTGCCGGTGTAACGAAGAATTTTAACCCGGGTTGAAAAACTGACCCCGGGTGGTCAATATTTCAACGTTGAATATTGAGACCAATGGTGTGGAATTCAGACCCCAGCCCGTTGAAAATTGAGCCGCATCGTTGAATTCTGATCACGAAACCGGCTCTAAATTCAACAGCATTAAAACAGATAATATTGAATTGACGTTCACAGTTATGATTTATTCATTTAAGAATTATATACATTTGGATAAATATATTTCACCAGGCAAGTAGGAACCGAGAGGGGGTGGGGTGGGGGATAGGCCGTGGCCCTCTTATAATTTTGCCAAAATATACCATACAAAAACAAATTTACAGCCCATGCCCCTTTATAAAGAACGTCCGATGGCCTTTTTTTGTTTTGTTTCCTGTGTTTTGGCTGGTCAAAAACGACCCCTCTCCTTCCCCCAAACTTAAATTTATTTCTAAGGGGTTGTCTTACGAATTTATTCTTATTCTTTAGATTATTATCAACACTTAAATATGTTAAATTACAAATGGAGAATTTGTACCAAAAACAGCACTGTTAAGAGTAAGGTCTTTAATTTTCCAAAGACCGATCACGAAAAATATACATTATTCTTTTTACAAAGAACTCTTCCATATGCAATAACTTTCGTACTATAGTTTCACTTTTAAATTATAAATTGTGAACATTTCGCGAATTATCGTAATGTTTTGAGTATCTATTTACAATATATATTGGAACAAGAGGCCCAAGGGCCTTAACGGTCACCTGAGTATAAAACAACACTTTAAAGGATCCACAGAAGTATGAAGCAAAATTAACTTCCTTGCTTATAATTAATATCCTTGCTTATTGCACCATGCGAGACCTGAGCAATCTCCTTGGGATCGTACTTGGTTTGCACTAGTCTTACAAGGATGATAATGAATGCAGAATATACAAATACAACGGACACTTGCCTAGTGTGAAAGGTATTTTGCCACTTGCTTAGTGCTACCATTAAGTACAAAAATAGAAATCTCTAATGCCTGTATATTCACTCGAAATGATGACCTACTTTTTGATAAATCTGTTTTAAGGCCCCTAGGTGCATCCACTTAAAAGGTTTGATGATTCTAAACCTCTTAGTATCTGAAATAATGACTTTTAATGTTTAGAAAATGATTAGCCATAGAATTCAGAAAGTAGGTCACGATGACCTACTTTTTGATTTACACACTTCAAGGTTTAATGATGCATAAACTGACAAGTTTTGATGATCATAGGCTTCAAAGTATCCAAGTTATGCATCAGAATTAAAATGAAAATATATACCTGCAAAATTCAACAAGTGGGTCACCGTGACCTACTTTTGAATCAACATGATATGAGGTCCGAAGATGCATCAACTGAAAAGATTTGATGATCCTAGGCTTTATAGAAAGCACAATATCAACGTTTTAATAAAATGTAATTTTTGGTCAACTTTGAAGTGACATTGGGACCATGCCTTTTGCCCCACGGTGATGCCTTGAACAATTTTAAATCTACAACATATCCTCATCCTTGTTTTTAAGTTTGGTGATAATCTGCCCAGTGGTTCTTGAGAAGAAGATTTTTTAGCAACCAGTGCTTTTGTTTTTATTTTCCGAATTATCTCCCCTTGTTTAAGGGTTCCATCCCTTTTTAGTATAAATAAGAGTCCTTTGGTCAAGGATACTCTGTGACAAATTTGACAAAAATTGGTCAAGGGATTCTTGAGTTATAACCCATATTCCAAAAAGTTGACGCACACCGCACACCTCACAAATTACCATAGCATTAGCTCTCTGAGCCTTCAATATATATTCAACAGAGTCCCGCACTAGCACCAGGGGGTCGTTACATAAAGCTTGCTAAGTTTTTGACTTAAGTAGGGTCATAAGTATGTTTTAGGTGCAATCTTAAGACCTGCCTAAGTACTACTTAAGTATGTCTTAAATCGTAACATAAAACGGACTTAGCTAAGTCAAACTTATGTTCAAAATGTTTTATTAATCATCCTAGTTTTTCAATTTATTTATATATGTATTTGTAAAAATGATTTAGTTACGTTTTTAATCACATGCATATTAAAGTTGACTTCCTTACTTATCGGTTTTAGCTAGGTTAGATTAGAGTTCGTATTTAATTACAGTTAATTCTGTTTAAATAATTTTGAATATTTGAAAACAATTATTGCACGGTCACAAAATGGCACTAGTGGTTCATTGTAAATGCGTGAATATTGTTTATCACTCCAGACTGCGATGTTTTCAGTTTACCGTTTGTTGTTATTCTTCCGTTTGACAAATGTTCACTTGCTTTCAAATTGTCATTCTCGCATACATGGCACGACAACCGAACGTCTACGTACTTGAAATTGAAACTCTTAATAAAAAAGTGAAGAAAAAAAACAATAGGGGCATTTTGAATTTTTGTCTCTACCATATCAGCAAGCAGAGACTGCAGACGTTTAATGAAGGGTGGAAAAGAATTGTTTTCAGAAAACAATTTTTCGTATATCTCCAACTTATCAACGAGAGAGAGAGAGAGAGAGTTAACGGTAGTGAACCCCTTTCTGAATCCTCGCTTGTTGCGTTCTACATTCAATCTAATTTACAGAAAATCTTTATTAAATAGTTTTACTACGCATCATCCTTTACTTCACCTACAGTTTTTAAAACCATTTCATCTCATTTTTTTTCTCAGTGAACGAACATGATTACTATATACAATTTACATATAAGGATTAGTGTTTATAACCTAGGTCCCACTAATATTTTCAAACGTATCCCAAAAATAATATTTTGCATCTACATGTATGTCATTTAGAGAGTGATATTGGTATAATTGATGTATAATCCCCCCCCCCCCCCCCGGTACGAAAAACTAAAATTCTTATACCAGTATATCAAATAGAGAAAATTATCTTTTAATGCATAATATTAATAAAGGAATGTTTTAACATAGTAAGTCAATCTTAAATAGTTCTAAATATGTGTTTAAGAAAGTTAAGACATACTTAAAGCTGAACACGCTTCGTAAAAAGAATCTGTCCGCCATATTCGGTTGGACTCATGCTATATCTGAGGGCCCCTATATATAGAGCCGCTCACTTGGTCACTGTTCAGTGTAATCAATTGTCACCGGTGTAGACGGACGTATGCTATACAGCACTTGGTAGCGACAAAAATAACTGTGTGCTTCTAATGCAGGAGAGTAAGATCCCAAAGAGATTTACAACAGTTGCACAGGTCAGTGCAGTATACAAACAAACACAATTACACGTCAGTAACTGCAATAAAATGTAAACGAAGATAATGCAAGATAACCAGCACGAACACGGGTCGCCATTCCACGCCGATACCCGTGACAATAAAGCAGTCAGGTGTAACGAATGCGAAGAGTATACCCTGGTGCTGATATCTTAGACAGTAATATCGAAAATGGCGTATGCCTATTTACGAGTCGTGTTCAGCTTTAAGTCACCTCTACCGGCCGCCTAAGTTTTGCTAAGATTGTCAAATCTTAGCACGCTTCTAGTTACGGTCTTTAGTTTAAGACTGTACTTAAGTCCTACTTAAGCATGGTCCTAGACTTAAGTACCCTTTATGTTACGACCCCCAGAACCCTTAACCCTGGGGTCATGAATTTCACAAATATGGTAGAGAGCTCAATGCTTATTACAATCATGCCAATAGTTCGACTTCTTGACGTAAAATTTGTTATGCATGGTGTAGACAGACACATGGATTTGGGAGTAAGAAGATTTTTAAAGATTGTATTAAGGAGGCTGGGGGTCAACAAATTAACCACAAATTAACCACCAGATTTAACTTAATTTTTTAGATATGATATTTTAAGCTGTCAACTATCATTTGGCAAAGAAAAATTTCAAAAATTTTAGTTTTAAAATTTGATCATTTTCTATATCTTCATATGGAGCTCTTCTTCTAAAGGATATCAATATAGTCTAAAAATGGCCACAACCCCCCAGCCTCTTTAATTTTGATGGTTTTAGCCCCACCCTTCAGGCCCCAGGAGGGCAGGGGTCATAAATTTCATAATTTTTGTTCCCCTTCACCCAGATGATATATGCCAAAATTGGGTGAAATTGGTTCAGTGGTTCCAGAGAAGAAACTGAAAATGTTCAAAAGTTTACGACCGACGGACGAAAACAGATAGCAATAGGTCACCTGAGTGACTCAGGTGACCTAATAAAACGAGATCTAGGGTTTTCATTTTTTTTTTTTTTTTTTTTTTTTGTACAGATGTACAAGTTTAATTTTACCTATCAGTTACATCATGAACATGTGATTCTTGTTGAATGTATTGTAAACCCTGAAAAATGTAATACTGTTGCGAGTAACGTAAACTCTTGAGACATGTAAACCATGTTGCGTTTATAATGTAAACCCTGAAACATTAATCCCTATTGCGTGTAATGTATTCCTGTTGTGTGCACTTGTACATGTAATTACTGTGGTGTTTTTGCATGGTAATTTCTATGTAATGTATAATATAAGGTTATGCACTTGTTTTTGGTGAGGTGGTCTCCATTATACCGTTAAAAGTTCTTTGGATTTTTATGTATCTTTTTCTCTTTGAATTAGTGCGTTGCACTAGGTTGTTATAGTCATATTGTAAAATACGTATTATATTCTTTATTCCAGAATGCATCTGTAAATATTGTTATACGACTAGTACAGGGGCGTATACTTGCCAGAACTCTTATGGAGGACAGTAAGCCATTTACTTATACATATATTTATTCTCTACAAATCTCTCTATGGAAATGAAAAATATTTTGAATATCAGTTTTGTACATGTAATCAAGTTTAGAAATTAACGAATAGTTTAAGGTATTCCGTCCCTAATAGCAACAGATTCAATGAAATTGAAGATGTGTAGGGGTTGAATACTTCGTATATTTAGACGTAATTATTACTATTAGCATTTAATAGTGGGATGTGTCCTAATTTATGACCTTGAATTTTGGTAAGAGTTATCTCCCTCTGTTTTTAATTAATAAAAAATCAATTTTAAAAACTTATCTGGTAAAAAAAAAAAATGTTTTCAATTGTCATTCTATTTCTAATGTTTTAATGCATCTTTCCATCACAGTATTTATTGACATTCTTATTATATGAATTTTCATTTTAAAATAATTGCTTGTTCCCATAGACTTCAGTGCGATCTTTGTTAATTAATTACTGATTAGTTAATTACATTTTTGAAACTTTCCCTTGGTAAATCCTTTTCTACTGTAAAATGCTTTAAATTAATATCATAGTATTTTGTACGAGATGGACATTAAGAGGATAGAGAATCTGGTCCTATTAGGGATGGAAAACCTTAAGTTCACGAGAATTGTGATGCTAATTAATGTCACCTAAATGCTGAAAATGTACTTTTTTCCAACCCCAGGGAGACAGGACAGATAGCGGGTATCGCTATCGGAGCTACAGTGGCACTGGCCTTACTGATCGGGGTCTTAGTTTGCTGTATCACAAAATGTAACAAAAAGAAGAAGTCCCGGTCCCAGGCAACGAGGGTGCAAGTCAACGAAGCTAACAGACACAGTAAAACTGAACAAAAAACACAATTTTATAATAAATGCACATATAAATATATACATAATATAAACGAATGACTGAATTTTACAAACTTTAATTAATCTGTTGATTTCTGCTACTCTTAGACTTACTCTCCACAGACAGTGAAAATCGAAAAACTTGAAAATACTAAACAACAAATCTTCTGAAGAAGAGATTTATTTTATTTTCAGATCAAATGCCAATGAACAGTATCCCAATGTATCCAGCACTTCCCAGAGCTCCGCTCCCGGAGTACGCCCCTCCGTCTTACGATTCCCACAACTTCAACCAGCCCCCTCCAACCGTTTCAGCCACGGTTACGGGCCCTGGTCTCCATAGCAATGGCATCGGTGTCCATGGCAACGACGATTTACCTCCGGCGTATTAATCTGTGTTATCTCCGCGCCCAAGTGTAGCTATTCCAAAAAAGACTTTCATTTCTCAATTTATGAATGCCAGAGAGATAATTCATGGTCATTTGGTCATGAAGGTTTCATTTGATCATTTCTTTTTTTTCTTTGACTTTAAATAATATTTGTTGACACTTATTTGAAATCAATCAATTACAGCCATCATTGTTTTTTGTTATACTCATTTATTTGTTGATCTTGTGTTCTTTCTTTTATAAAACTTACTCTTATTTGTTGTTTTTTTTCACAATTTCTCAATATTAAATGGGGGCTATTTTACACATTTTCACATTAATTCTGATATCACCACTTACTCTGCCTATATGAATGCTTGCTTACATACAATTATATATATATATATATATATATATATATATATATATATATATATATATATATATATATATATATATATATATATAATGTATGTATATTACAAAATCATGTATCTGTTCAATATTCATAAATACACGTACTCTTCTGTTTAATCACTTCCTTAAAAATTTTAAGAATTTTAAGATATAGAGAATACATGTAGTTTACCACCATGTGCCAAATGAACAGTCTACAAATATTTTATACATAACTATAACTGCGTATGAAAATCTTGGGTAGACCTGATGCTCGGTGTGTTTTTCAACAAAAAGTACATGTATATGAATGTTGAAATTTCAATGGAAATGAACAAAATTATAATCTTATTGTTACATACATGTGTGTTGTTTATTTAAATTGATGTTGATTTCACTATATGGACATCATGAATTGTTAATAACAACCTATTACAAGTTTAGACTATCTTTTGTTTTCCCTGCCAGATGAATGCCAAAATTCTACATGTATATCACTTTTTGTCATACAAAAGTATTGAGCTGAACTGATTTGAGAACAATTGAGTATAATCATGTAGATATGAAATAATTCTGTTGATCCTCATTATGTACAAAACTTATTTATTTATAAAATTTCAAAAAAAAAATTGGAGAGGTCTGATGACAAGTTCCCGTGAAACAATGGGCTGGATTTTCATTATGATAATCTTTAATCTGTTCCCATTTTATCTCAGTTTCAAAGATCAAAAATTATATCTTAGTACATTTAATATTCCAAGAAGATGGGCAAATAAGCCAAGAAATATATGCCTATTGTTCTGTAACGGGAAAGGAGCAAAGGGAATCAAACCCAGAACCCCCTTCATCACTAGTCAGGTTCTTTAACCACTGAGCTACCCAGACTGATATGCAGAGCCCAAACCATTTCACTTTAAATTAAATCTCAATACATGTATTACTATAACACAATTTTCTTTGATATTTCAGTTAAAATTAATGTACAGTATACTTCATATAAAATCTCGAAACATTTCAATAACAACACAACAATCTCACACATGTCAAAATTATTTGTACATAAAATATCATGTACACCAAAGAAGGCAAAAAGGATCATTTCTTCATATATAACACAAGTTTTCTATATAATTGGGTTTTCCCTCCATTCTTTGAAAGAACTTTTCTGCAGAAAAGTTTTATTTGCCATAATTTCAAACCTTTCAATAATCAGAACTTAGTTCTAAATATTTATGTTCACGAATTGAAGTTGATTTTTATACATTTGAAGCTATAGGCATTTTGCACCCCTTGTTCGCCATCTTCTTTATAAAAGAGGTTGGAATATTGCATATCTGTCAAAAGTAACACAAGCAACAGAGATGATATACAATGAAAGGTGGTTTCTCTCATTGTGTTAAAATAATTTGCATGTACTGAAAACTCAACAGCAGTTAATCTCAAAAGTATCACTTTAATAGGTCTAGTACAATGTGAACTTTTTTTTCTTCCAACAACAGTACATTTTCCAATTGACTTTGACTAAAAAAAACATCACCTTATAAAAAGAAATAAAATTGTACACCAATTCTTTGCAAAAATCGTATTTTCTTTCTTCTACACATACATGTATAACATTTATTCAATTAGAAACAGGTATTCTTAACTCAAACAAGAGGCCCATGGACACATTGCTCACCTGAGCACAATGGCTAAAAAAAAGCAAAAATCAGCTCAGTATTAAAAAGCTTAAATGCATAAGTGGTTCTGACCTACCCCTAAAAGGGGGGGGGGGTATTTTGAACAAAATTGAATCTGCGCTAACTAAGGATGCTTACATATTTTTTTGACTAACTGTAGCTTTTTTCATACAAGTTTGAACTTTCATTGTGGCCCAAACCTATTCCCAGGGGGTCATGATTTGAACAAACTTGAATCTACACTATCTGAGGATGCTTCCATATAAATATGACCGTTCATGGCTTTGCTGTTCTTGAGAAGAAGATATTAAAAGTTTTTTCCTATATTTTCCTATGTAAAAATTTGATTGTCCATTGTGGCCCAAATCTACCCCCGGGGATCATGATTTGAACAAATTTGAATCTACCTCACCTGAGGATGCTTCCATATAAACATGACCAATCATGGCTTTGCTGTTCTTGAGAAGAAGATTTTTAAAGATTTTTCCTACATATTCCTTTGTAAAAATTGATCATCCATTGAAGCCCCATCCTACCCGGGGGGTCATGATTTAAACAAACTTGAATCTATACCACCTGAGGATGCTTTTACATAAATATGATCAATCTTGAGAAGAAGATTTTTGAAGATTTTTTTCTATATATTCTTATGTAAAACTTTGTGACCCCACCCTACATGGGGGTCATGATTAGAACAAACAGAAATCTACAGCACCTGAAGATGATACCACACGAGTTTCATCTTTCCTGGCCCATTGGTTCCTGAGAAGAAGATTTTTAAAAGATGTCATTAATTTTTCACTGTTTTGTACTATCTCCCCCTGGAAGAGGGCATGGCCCTTCATTTGAACAAAATTGAATCCCCTTCACCCAAGGATAATCTGTGCCAATTTTGGTTGAAATTGGCCCAGTGGTTCTTGAGAAGAAGATGAAATTGTGAAAAGTTAACGACGACGACAATGATGACAGACAACGGACAAATTTCGATCAGAAAAGCTCACTTGAGCCTTCGGCTCAGGTGAGCTTAAACTACAGATTTGTTCATGAAATCACCATAAAACTAAATCATCTTCTTAGTCAGTCAGTGATAAAGGTACAAAATATGTACAGTATATATATCAGTTTAATCATGCAGTAAATACCATATTTAACTTGACCAATGCCGTATTCCTGCAGTTCTCTTCTTTAAACTAGATTCTCCAACATGCATTATCTTTTTTTTTTTTTCAATTCAATAATTATTATCACAGTAAATCAGTTATTTGGCTAATAAATATGTGTTCAATATAGTCAACAGAGGGTTTGTAAACAGTATGATGATAATAAAAAACATTTTATGTACAGCTTGTCCTGGAATGTGTTTCTGACACTGAGAGTATTACATACGGTACTTAATATTGGAAGTTTAATGTCATACAAATACACCACAAGATCTACGAGTCAAGACAAGTTTGTTTGTGGATCAAGTATACGTTTTGTTGAATCTAAAGGAAGAAATGATACCAAAGGTCCCATCCAAACAAGAAGCTCAAGAACTTTGACCAAAAAAATGCATTGTGTACATCTTTGAACTAGGGATGGCAATTTGAAACCATTATCTTGTTTGTTACGTTGGTCGAAATGATGGTAATTAGTAAGAAAATCTGTAATCAGTTAGTCAAAAAAAAAAAAAAAAATTAAAATATGAGTAAAGCTGAACACAATTTTCTTAAGATTCAATTTACAATGTAATATGTAATAAAAAAGCTCTGAATGTTGTTAAGATAGGGTTTTCATGTATTTATTTCAGCTAATTTGGAGGTAATTAATTATGGCACTCCAGATTGAGATCGTTTGTCTAATTGGTCAGTTTTAGAAGCGTTTATTACTGTTTAAACACCATATCTTCACCCATCCTGTCTTATTTCTTCAATGATATTTTTGAAATCACCGCTGAGTACTGTGAACTAATTACAATGTGTATCTTACCCTGTCTATCCTTTGCAGTTATCTGTCAAATTACGTGTGTATTTTGTAATTTACGGTGTAAATTAAATGACAGTCCAGACTCTGGTCTAATTATGGTGACAATGCAGAATGACCTTGGTCGAAAAATTTCAATGTCATTGATATCTCAGGTATGTTTTAAGATTTTCTCAATGTTTCCTTGCTTATGAAAAAAAATATACTAGTGCATGTATATAGAATTCTGATCAAGCATAAACAGAATATTGCTAATGTCTTTAAAGTCATCTTGTGTATTTAAATGGAACTTACTTGAAGAAAAAAAAAACATAAATGTATTAGGAAAACGTTTATGGAACCTCTTGCGATAAAATGATTAGCAATTCCATATTCAATTGCCATCCCTAATTTTAACATATTTAAATCACTGGTCTTGAACTAATTTACAATCAGTTATCATGATTATGCTAAATTACATGTATTAATTTCTCCAAAATTAAAAATTACTCATGAAATTTTGCTCTGCACTCCACAATGTAAATACAGTATATTCTGTGAAATTGTATAGGTTTAACAACCTTGGTAGTTAAGATATGAATATAACTCCTTCCTGGTTTATTGGAACACGCTAAATGTACTGTAGATTTTCAGTAATGCAACGTAATTTAAGTGAAAATATCCTGTCCAGAATGTTTTGAGCAAACATCTTATATGAATTATCAATTATTACTAATATTTTATAGTGCTAACAAATCAAATCCTTGTATGAAGGACTCCCTTCCCTAAATTCCTATAAATAAAATACATTCGAAGTTTTAAAACCATGATTTAAAATTGCCACTGAGAAACAAATGTTCATTTTAAATATATTCCACACAAAAATTCTTCTAATTCTACACCAAGACATTTTATTCTAAAAACTAGTTTCTATCAAAAAGTGACAGAGCTTAAAATAAATAACCGTTCCTCCTCTTTCTTGATCCACCGTAGAAGTTTGTTAATGGCTGCTATGGCAACAGGTTTTGTAACCAGAGGTCCAAATACTGCATAGAGTTCAAACCCTTGAGTTAGCTGCAATTAAATATTCAATACTTAAGATGTTATATAAATATGATTTGAGAGGTTAAATCTATTCTATTGTAAAAATCTTAAAATTGGAATTGAGACACAAAATAATCCTGGTGCACCTAACTTACATGTCAAGCTACAACACTATATCCTATGACAGCAGATCAATTTGTTTTTTAAAAAGAACTTTTCAACTTTGCATACAGTCAGAGTACTACATGTACACAGTAATAAAGAACCTGAACCCACCCATCCTAGTGATGTTTCATGCTGCCGTACGCTGTACAGTAATAAAGAACTAAACACCCAACCAGCCTAATCATGTTTCATGCTGCCCTATGTGGTACAGAGAACTAAACACCCACCCAGTCTAGTCATGTTTCATGCTGCCATAAGCTGTACAGTAATAAAAATCTAAGCACCAACCCAGCCTAGTAATGTTTCATGCTGCCTTATATGTGGTACAGTTATAAAGAACTTAACATCAACCCATCCTAGTGATGTTTCATGCTGCCCTAAGTGGTACAGTAATAAAGAATTAAACACCCGTCTAGCCTTAAAGTTTGATGTTTTTATGTTGCCCTATTCTGTACAGAGAACTAAACACCCACCCATTTTAGTAATGTTTCATGCTGCCTTATGTGGTACAGTGATAAAGAACTAAACACCCACCCAGCCTAGTAATGTTTCATGCTGCCCTACGTGGTACAGTAATAAAGAACTAAACACCCATCTATCCTAGTAATGTTTCATGCTGCCTTACATGGTACAGTAATAAAGAACTAAACACCAACCCAGCCCACTATTGTTTCATGCTGCCCTATTTGGTACATTAATAAAAAATTAAACACCCACTCAGCTTTTAATGTTTCATATTGCCCTATGCAGTACAGAGAACTAAAACTCACCCAGTCTAGTCATGTTTCATGCTGCTTACATGGTACAGTAATAAAGAACTAAACAACCACCCATTTTAGTAATGTTTCGTGCTGCCTTATGTGGAACAGTGATAAAGAACTAAACATCCACCCATCCTAGTCATGTTTCATGCTGCCTACATGGTACAGTAATAAAGAACTAAACACCCACCCAGTCTAGTCATGTTCCGTGCTGCCCTATATGGTACAGTAATAAAGAACTAAACACCCACCCAGTCTAGTCATGTTCCGTGCTGCCCTATATGGTACAGTAATAAAGAACTAAACACCCACCCATCCTAGTCATGTTCCGTGCTGCCCTATATGGTACAGTAATAAAGAACTAAACACCCACCCAGTCTAGTCATGTTCCGTGCTGCCCTATATGGTACAGTAATAAAGAACTAAACACCCACCCATCCTAGTCATGTTCCGTGCTGCCCTATATGGTACAGTAATAAAGAACTAAACACCCACCCATCCTAGTCATGTTTCATGCTGCCCTACGTGGTACAGTAATAAAGAACTAAACACTCACCCATCCTAGTAATGTTTCATGCTGCCCTACGTGGTACAGTATTTTCAGTGGACGGTCAGTCATGTGGATCCTGTGATGGAGATACAGGTACAGACCAAACAGTCTTTCCTGTTCCTCAGGTTTGAGGTATGGAGCCTCGATCTCGGGACTAGTGAACTGAGCGGTGGAGCGTGACTTATACAGGAAATGCCGTAAATCCGATATGCCACACTGCCGAATACTATAACTGGTGTTGGCAACAGAATCACTGATTGCTTTAAGACCATTGTATTTATCTAATTTCTGAAAATTGAAATGTTACTCCATTAATATTTAAGGATGTTTTTTTCAGTCCCAAAATAATTACTGCTGTTCACATATACAAAATATAAATGTCAGACATTTACATAATATAAAAAAAAAGAAAACTCTAATCATATATTCAAAAAGAAAAATTAAAGAATCCATTTTACAGTTGAAAAAATTATTAGCAATGTTCATCATAAAGGATAATTTGCAACAGAAAATCAAGAACCCTATTATCTTGAAACAGATTTTCAACCTGACTGTTGGATTATTTCATACCTCCAGTATTTTGTTCTTGCATTCAGAAAGAGTGAAGAAAGACTCCCTGTCCACCGACAAAAGGAGTAGGCAAGTCTGACACCCCTCGTCCAGGTACGATATGTGTGCCTGAAGGTACCCACTGAAAAAGCATCACAACTGCTAATGCCTTATACTCATAAATAAAAGGAAAATATCTCCATCTATATTACCCGAAAATATCTGCAAATGTATTATGTATGCCTGTTTCACACTTAATAGGACAGGTACACTGTACTTGAACTTATTACAGCAGGATTTATATTTTGTTGCCTTTGGGGCCATTGTGTACACTGCTGTGCCAATTCATAAACACAGCCTAAATTTGACTGATTTACATTGTAACATGTATATAAGACAATAATAAATTTACCTGAATTATCATAGATATAATACAATACATAGAAATACTGAGGTAATTAATTCTTGGTTGCACCAAGAAGATTCTGGCCTTTTTAGGGCTAAATTCTGTATAAGCTAAAGTAAGTACTCTTACAGTATACACTGTTCAAAGTCTTTAGTCAACGGAATGAAAAATTTCCTGCTTAATTTGAAATATACATATATAAGCTGGTGAGTTCAAGATAAAATATACAGCTTATTATATTTCATTACTTATGACAATGTAATAACGAACTCTTAATAAAATTTGCACATACCCTCTTTCTCCTACAAACATTAATTACCTGGAGTCAAACTTGGGAAGACATATTGGTATCCAGGATTCCGCGGCCTTGAAGGACTCAGAAGAGTTGACTAGGTTAATGATTAGATGTAGATCCATTGGATGTAGGTAGTATTTCTTCATGCGGACAAGTGTTACAAGCTGATTGTCGGCCAGTATCAGTGCAAACACCAAGTCCTAAAATCACATTAAACTGTCAATATCAACTTATCATCTAGTTTGTAAGGTCTTACACCCAAAATGAAAATATACTTATTTAAGCATATGATCATAAAAAATAATAACCTAAAAACATTTCTCCCTAGCAGCTGATAAGTAACATTTCTACGCATTTCTTAATTGTACAAAATCATGTGAAATCATATAAGCTAACTCGAATTATACCCTCTGAATTAAACCATACTTTAATAACCAATTGATTATTAAGCATTGCTAAGACATTTCAGACCCAGTTAGCAATATACGCAATTCAATTTTTTATTCTACATGAACTTGATGAATCACAAATATATATAAAAAAAGAATGTTTCTCTGACCTTGACCCTGGCTTGTTGTACTACAGTCTGTGCTATCTGGTCCCTGACATGAAAGTCTAGAGGTAAACACCTCACAGCTCCCAATAAAAAACTAGCATCACTATCAATCATATTTAACAAGTTATCCAGGAATTTTTCTGCTCCACTTAACAGTCTCCGAAGATCGTAATTACGTCTCTGTTTAAATATCTTATTTAAAGTTGAGTGAGTCAGTACACTGAGTATCTGGTTGTATAAATAAGAGAGCTGATGTAGAAGCTGATGTTGGGAGTCCTCACTGCAGCACACCGCCACTAGAATCAGGTGATCTCGAACAAGGAACACGAATTTGTGATCACCAGCAATGACACATCGGATATTATCTTTGTTTGAATCGTGAACAAATGAAACTAAAGCTTGTAAAAGTCCCATAATAGTTACAAGTTTGTCCTCATTTCCATATCTGTGAAAGAAATAAGAAATCAATCAAAGAAGTGGAATATTTAAATAAATCAATATTCATAATTATCATTCAAATTAAACTTTGAAGTTCATGATGTGTATATCAAGCCCCATAATTACATTGTAGCACTGTAAATATTAATGAATTCGGCATTGAAAAACAAAGTTTTTGCAATATTTTTGTTTCATATTATTTTTTCTTTACAACTATCTGTAATCATGTAAAACAGAATATCTAAATATTATAATTCTTTTTGCTTCAAACAAGGAGTAGAAACACACTTTTAAAATTCTAAAGATTGAGTAATCTTTTTTGTCAAAGAAAAAAAATAGATTGTGTATAACTGAACATAATTAGGACCATAGGTAACCTTGAGTAGACAGGTTTTCCAGATTCACTCAAGATAAAGATATGCTTCTTCCTTTGTCTCCACTCTGCTGTCTGTGTCTCGTCCAGCTCCTCCTCTGGGATTTCCTGAGGTACCAATTTCACCTTCTCAACATCACTACTAAGCTAAAGAAATAGAAATACACTGACTTCAAGTGCATGGTTTTCAAAACTGAAAAAAAAAATGATGGATAGTATCTGTTAGTGCAAATATAAAAATTAAGTACTGATCTCATTATATCATCATTTAAAAAGGGTAAAACTCCTGTTTGATAGAGAAACATCTGACAATGCATAATTTACACCCCACCCCTTTCCAGAACATGATTTCATACAAGATAACATTCTAAAAAAATTTACATGTGAAAAACTTAGGGTTGGATACCATTAAGAATATGAAACTTACCAGCATTTTAAAAAATGATTTGTTACGTTTTAACAATGTCTGGATCTATGGATCTATTGATTATTTGTTCATAACAAATGTGGTTTCAGTACAAATCTCATGCATGGATCTGGGGGGTCCAGACTCCCCTCGTGGGATTTTCAGAATTATCATTTTAATTTATAAAATTTCTATGCAAAGTAACAAGGAAATTACCTTGGAATCCCCCCCCCCCCCTCTTTTTAGGGAACATGAATTCCTTGTAATATTGTAAGAAGAACAATGTATCTGAAGGGAATCGACTTATTCAGGAAAGTGCCTTTTCTTAACTCCCATCCCACAAAATGGAACTTTAAGGTTTGGGAAGTTTAACCCCCATTTTTTTTTGGGGGGGGGGGGGTGTTCAAAAATATTTGAGTCCAACATTTGTTTGAGTTGGGGTGCCCCTGGAAAAAATTTCCTGGATACGCACCCTTTGATATGAAATCATCCAAAAAAAAAAAAAAAAAAAAAAAAAAAAAACCACAAATTCAGGAAATTACAAGTAAACATAATCATGAATAGTAATGTACAATTTGACTATATGCACATGTAGATTCACAATACAACAAACTTACTTAAAACTTACAACAATTACAAGTTTGACATAAACCGCTTCAAGTGGTTGCCAGGATGTTGTTTACAGTGACACAAAAACAAAAAAAACAAAAGAGAGCTTGGAGAATACATATACAGAATAAACTAGAGAATGATCAGTCTCATTTATTTGATAGATCCATAATCATTTATCGTTTATAATTATAACAAAACAGGGTTAGCAATGTTTACTTTACTGAAAACTATTCACTGAAAAGTTAGACAACTCATGAAGCAATGCCTTTTTTTCTTACATGTAAGCAGCATAACCTTATGCACAGGAGTCGGCAGTTTTATCCATAAAGCAATGTAAACAACAACCAGTGAGCTTCGCGAGCGTAGCGTTAGAAGCTCACTGGTTGTTGTTTATGTTGTTTTATGGATAAAACTGCCGACTCCTGTGCCTTATGAGACACATTGAACAAATTTAATCTTGTGGTTATAACCTATATTTTGAAAGTAATCAAAGTATTCAAACAATTCTGTTTTGCTCAATTAGCTTGAATGCATTACAAATATTGGTACTGGTATTAAAACGGTTTTTACTAGTAATTTTGGAATTACTGAGGACTGGTACATGCTGGTGTCCAATCATACAGAGATTCAAGTGCAGGGTTTACGAATAGACACTTCATACGTTTTATTTGAATTAACCATTTTAGACACTATCTCTAAAAAAAAAAATCAAAGGAAGACATTACAACTATCAATTTTGTGCTATATAATTCTACTAACTTGTTCGCTTTCAGACCGACCCTCTTCGCCGCCTGAGATTTCGTCATTGGACGACTGATTTTTAGTGTCGTCATGCGAGCTTTGTCGAACTAGTTCGTGGATAACCCCGCTTGGCTGACTGTCATATTCCTCAAGTGCCTCGTAGTCGACATTAATGAAAGGTTCCTCGATATCCTTGCGTCTTATTTCTGGCTCTATGAAGTCACTCTGCTCCGATTCTGAGGTGGAAACATGTTCCGCCTCTCTATTTTCTGCCATTTTGATCCATCGATTATTACCTCCAAGACCAAAGAGTCTACTTTCACTTTGTCCGCATAAAAAGGCGCCAAATTACAAATAAATACGAATAAGACTTAAAGCAAAGATTGTGCTTAAGCACTGTCGTATTTCTCCCTTTCTGATTAATTTCTTGATCAAAACAAAAAATTGGCTTCTGATAATACCTGTGCCTGGTTTTACTGAAACACGCTTTAAAAGTAAATAGTTTTGATATTGGCACTATTCACCTCTGCATGGAAATATGAACTCTTCATGGTAAAACTAGAACCAAAATCTTGATCATCTTCCTCTGCACAGCTTCTTTGCCAGATGTCAAACATAATAAATGAAAATTTTCAAGGACTGCATTTTTGGTAGAGGGTAATCATTGAAATTTACAACCCTTAATTTTTCTTACCAAAAGATTCTACATACATGTATGTATCAAAATTGGCTATACCATTATGAGAAATTAACCTTAAAAAAAAAACTTTATGGAAGTCACAAAATTTGATAATTTTAAGAAATCAATAAATATGGTGAAAGTGCATTCATGAATGTATATTAAAGTACATGTATTAAAACTAGTATTGAAAATTTTTAAACTTTAAAATTTTGAACTGATTCAGTCTGAATTGTGGAAAAAATGCCTAATGTGATTCAAAATCCCAGTATTGAGAAAACCTACATATAAATACATATATACCTTTAGTTTGATTTATTGTGTTGTTAAGTTCCTACAAAATATGTGCATCCATACCTAAAAGACCCACAGGATAAAGTGAATTTGGAGGGGGGGGGGGCTGCATGCATATACTTTGAAGATTTTGTAATTGTTCATTGTGACAGAATATATACTGGACAAAAAAAGTTAGGGATCATGATTTTGAATTGTTTTCCAAAAACAATTATAATATATTTTTTACGTTATGGTTCAACCATACTTTCTTTAACATGTTATTGATAAGAAAATGCTACCTGTAGGGTCGTGCAATTCTTGCCCAATTCATGCTTTACTGAATGCCGACACAGGGTGAAAAACAAGGTGATTCAGGGTATACACAAAGTTAACGAAATTGTTTATTTGAATACGTGTTTGAAGTTGTGGATATTTTTTGATGACCCTGTGACATTTCAAGCCATGAGACGTCACTTAACCGGGTTTGAGGTAGATAGAACGTTCTATCGTTAAAATGATATTGTCCTACGGACCCGGTTTAACGATAGAATTCGTTCCATGTATTGGCAATGTTGCAAAATAAACACGGGCGATAACTCGTACTCTTTGCATTTTCTATGAACAATCCAGAGAGTTCCGATGTCAACATGGCGTTAAATTTGAAGTGAGGAAATAACGTTGAGAAAATGAGTTGAATTTTCGTACTTATGTAACAGGGTTTTCTTATGGTGTTAAAGAAGAACTCCTGCGTCTAAGGTTCGATCATTTTATTTTGTCATGTTGAATAAATAAATACATCAATAAAGCCCTGAAAATATCAATAACAAATTATAAGTATTTAGAAAACAAACATATTACATTTATAATGATATTCATGAATTTAGGCATGAATTACTTTATAATAATCGATCATAAAAGTATTACACATTATACTGAGCATTGAAATAAATACATGGAAAAGTAAGAGTTATTTCCCTTACATCGACGTCTTGAAAACGAGAATATAAATCGAACTATTCCAAATAGAACTATTACAAATAAAATGAATAGTTCACAAATCTATTTGCAATAATATATACACAATAAATAGAAAATAATTGTAGGTATATATACCTGATTGTGGATCAAGGCTCAAACAATGGCCACCCGATAAAAATAACGGGTCTTGATATATAGACTCCTATTAAACAATAATTATATTCTATATACACTTCTGCATAATTGATATTTTATTTACATACTCAAAGAATTTATACTTTAAGCTTCATTTAATAATGATAAAGTTGAACTCAGTATATCTTCACAGAATTACATTAAAAATCAAAGACGATGAATTATTGGAAAGTATAGAATAAGAATTAGTATAGATAAAAGAAATAGAAGTCAACTTACAGTCTCTGTCCTGAGGTCTCGTCTCAAAATTAATATTGTATATAATGATGACCAAAAATACTCATCTCACTTTCTCAATGGTCTATAGATGACTGACCGATACACAAAGAGATCGGCGGGAAAAAACGTCCCTAACCAATCGCAAGCTTGGTTATTAAAACTGACCAATAACATTATATACCCTCAGGATAAGTAAGAACTTCTAGAACATAAGTAAAGATTAAAACCAAATGAAGTTGTAATATTTTATTAATTTTATTAACGGTGAGCGCAAAACTCCGTGAAAACGAAAGCTGCGCGATGCTAAAAATAAAATATATACACGTGAATATTAAGTCACTGAACTATATAATATAATATTCACTTAATAAAATAAATTAAAATATCACTCTATCACACTTAAATGAATTATTTTTAGGTAAAAGACATATGCCATCTCAAAAAGGTTTGTTATGATTAATTTGGTAGTTATTTTCAGTGCAACTCCTTTTGTATTCTTCAAAATCATTTCGGAGTGAATCCACTCCGATTTGCTACATTGCAAGTATAAGGGACGTATTCTAACTGTGGTGAGGGCTTGTCCACAGTTAGATTATTCTAACTAGGTTTGAGGCAGCCCAAGCTATAGGTATGCTTCAATCTGGCAATACTTAAAGAACTGTTGCTGCACACTTTAATGTGTCCCAAAGTGTCATTTCACGATTATGGAATCGATTCCAACATACTGGTGCCGTTGCTGAGAGACCACGTTCTGGTCGTCCGAGGTCAACCACGGCTCGTCAGGACCGCTATCTGGTCAATATGGCAAACCGGCAAAGGTTCCAGAGTGCTGTTAGGCTAAATACAGACTTTCAAACAGCAACAAGAGTGCGAATAACACCACAGACAGTTCGAAACAGACTCCATGCGGCTAATATCCGAGCATTCCGACCAGCAGTCCGGCCCAAACTGACCCCAAGACACAGAACAGCCAGACTCCAATGGGCACGATACCATGTCAATTGGCAACTGCGTCACTGGACCCCTGTTCTTTTTACAGATGAGTCGCGCTTTTGTGTAGACTTTCATGACGGTCGTAGACGAGTTTGGCGTACGACCGGTGAACGTTATGCAGATTGCTGTGTTGCTGAGCATGATCGTTTCGGGGGTGGTTCTGTGATGGTTTGGGGTGGTATCAGTATAACCGGAAAGACTGACTTGCACGTTATCGCAGGAAATCTTACAGGGATAAGATACCAAGATGAGATACTGCACCCTATTGTCGGGCTGTATGCAGGTGCTATCGGTGATGATTTTATTTTAATGGACGATAATGCTAGACCTCACAGGGCTCGCGTCGTAACAGACTACCTGGAAAATGAAACCATTGAGCGAATGGACTGGCCGAGTCTTTCGCCTGATTTGAATCCCATAGAACATGCTTGGGACAAACTACAGCAAGCCATTTCAGCGCGCCCAGTACTCCCTAGGAACCGTGAGGAGCTTTCTGCAGCACTCGTCGAGGAATAGCTAGGCTAGATTGCCGCAAATCTTCTTCCGGAGACTTATCCGCAGTATGCAGAGGCGTTGTCGCGCGATTATTCAGGCACGGGGTGGTCATACAGCATATTGAACACATCAAATCACTGCGCAAACGTTTACGTCTGAATTTTCCATCCTTTACCAAGGCTGTTTTTTTATTCTGTTTTGGGGGTTGTGTGACAATTAATCCCAATGCACGTTAACGCTTCATTGATTTGTGACAAACACAATAAAAATTGTTTGTTTACTTGTTAAAGATTTATATTATATAATTATAATGGAATATATTGTTATTTGTTGTAAATTAAATAATTTATAAATCATGATCCTTAACTTATTTTGTCCAGTGTATAAAGAAATGTGACAGAAATTTGGGCAAAACAATACTGATTTTAACATTTCATTATGCATCAAGAACTCTCCTTAACTGGGGTTACTAAAGGGATAAATGAAGGTAGGAGAAATAAGAAACAAGAGATTAACAATTACAGCAATTGTTAGGAATCTGTATTATATGTATAGTCAAGGACATGATTAGAAAATGACTTGAATATGACAAGGCAAATAATCTTGCTCATTTGCATTTTTTTTGACGTGACATAAATGTAATCAATACATGTAATAGATGAAATATGGAAGGTTCAACTGAATTGATGTATAAATAAGAGGTAATACTGCATTATTAGTCATTCTTTTGATTAAAAAAAAATCAAAGTACATAGGAAGAAATTTCAATAGCACATGTTTTGTTATATATCTCCATTTGAAGAAGGGTTCCTACCTGTCTTGTTCACATTTTAAATTTCTATTTTTATTAAGAAAATAACCTCAGTTTAATGAGTTGAATTTACAAGAAAATTTTAAAAATTCAATGACAAAAACATTCTTCATAACATCACATTAAACATCTGTGTTTGTAAACATGGGCACGAGCTCTGATATTGTTAATGTTTACATTTTCCAGGTGTTTAAATTGTTTACTTAATTTGCATACATCACTGAGCACGTACTGACAATAATGGTTGGTTCGCTTTCTACTCTGAATTTTCTGGATTTAGTTTTAACATTTTTCATAAATACACAAATTTTCCACTTTTCTTAAATATTAAGGATAAAATTTACTGAGTGAAAGTGCAAGGATTTGTGTCAATCAAATGCATCCCGAAATTTGTAGTTTTAATAATTTCCAGATAAAACAAGTTTCTAAACATGCATTTATAATACTTTGGTGAGAAATGCTCTTGGACATATACTCCAGTAAGTTATTATATTATACTGAAAATTTGATATTAACTTCAAATCTTTGTCCAGGTCCCTTTAAAATTAAAATGTAGACAAAAGATACATGTAACTAAATTCTTAATAATTGTACACTGTATTATGTTAAAGTTAAAAAAAAAATCATGTAAAACTAAAGTCTTTTTATATTTATTTACTAAGAACAATGAACTTGAAGAATTTCAAATTTACAAGCAACTCAATGCAAAAAATTCATATTGAACACAATAATTCCTGAATTGCACCAAAATAAATCATCCTATCAAAACTCACAAATTTTATCAAAAACAAAAAAAATCTTAAATTCCATTAGTACTTACACTCAACCTGATTCAAATTACAAACATTATACATAGACATAATTAGAAAAACATTCAAATCAATGTACAAATGGCCCTTATTTCACTAAAAATTTACACTCCCCCCCCCCCCCCCCCCCCAAAAAAGAAAAAAAAATGTGAAAAAAAATCTCACATGCAATACAACTTTGAAACATTTTGAAGAGCAAGATTTTTCATTTTTCAATATTTGATGCAGTTTTGCCTATAAAAGTCTATATACATAAAGTCACATCTTTTTTCACTAATCCTTTCACCAGAAGAAGAATGTGTAAGTCACTGATGGCAGCTGCTTCATGGCCAGTATTGTGCTGTCATTTCTTCCCAGATTTCTTGATACCTCCACCCGCTGTTTTGGAAGATAAGAAAAACAAGATAAATGTATTTGTGAAACCTTATTTATAAAACTGTCACTCATAGACGACAGCTTTTATTCACAAGTTATATACTCCTTTTCATCTAAAGGAACATTTAAGAAAAAGGATATTATGGTTGATCATGTAAGTATTTTGGATCAATGGCAGAATAAATGACTGATAATGAAGACACTTAGAATATAAGACTGGATGCTTGATATTAAATTTGAAATGAATCTGATTGTTATAAATTTTACATTAACAGCAACATTTTCAAAATAGTTGTTATTGTCTAACAAACATCATGAGATTAATGCTATGTCCAGTCATTTTTACAACCAAAATTTGAATGGGTGATCTATTTATCTGTATAACATATTTAATGTTTAAGAGTGAAAAATCTTTAAACATACATGATGGAAAATTCTAGGCTTTATCACCCCTTTTATACAGTTTGAATATTTCACTCTCAGTGGGTCTTTTCTAGGTTTTATTACCCCTTTTATACAGTTTGAATATTTCACTCTCAGTGGGTCTTTTCTAGGCTTTATCGCCCCTTTTATACAATCTGAATATTTCACTCTCAGTGGGTCTTTTCTAGGCTTTATCGCCCCTTTTATACAATCTGAATATTTCACTCTCAGTGGGTCTTTTCTAGGCTTTATCGCCCCTTTTATACAATCTGAATATTTCACTCTCAGTGGGTCTTTTCTAGGCTTTATCGCCCCTTTTATACAATCTGAATATTTCACTCTCAGTGGGTCTTTTCTAGGCTTTATCACCCCTTTTATACAATCTGAATATTTCACTCTCAGTGGGTCTTTTCTAGGCTTTATCACCCCTTTTATACAATCTGAATATTTCACTCTCAGTGGGTCTTTTCTAGACTCTATCATCCCCTTTTATACAATCTGTATATTTCATACTCGGTGAGTCTTTTCTAGACTCTATCATCCCCTTTTATACAATCTGTATATTTCATACTCGGTGAGTCTTTTCTAGACTCTATCACCCCCTTTTATACAGTCTGAATATTTCATACTTAGAGGGCCTTTTCCAGCAGCTTTTGCCTGCATTTCTTTCATTGCTTTCTGTTGCTCCTTCTGCTTCTGCTTATATGCCACATCTTCCTACAAAATCATAACATATATTTTCAATAATTTCTATCAAATTTATAAAAGAAAAAAAAAACAGAAATAAAAAACAGACATACATTTTACATGTTAGGAATGACAGTTTTAATCACCATACTGCTGTTTGCGACTTTGAATTTTTGATATTACTACATGTATTTAAAGACTAAATATTTGCAAAATTACACCCACTCAATTTTTTTATGCTTACACTTCAACTTTACAGTAATTTACAGTAATTGAATTTTAAATTTATCAAAAACATTACATCGTCTAACTCAGCCTGTTGTTTTTTGGGGTTCTTCAGGGGTTTCTTTTTGCCACCTGCAACAAAATGAGAGTTACATGTAGTACACTGTAGAGTCTTTTTATTATTTTATTTATCTTTTTTTCTCTTTTCCTTCATTTTCATTTTCTACATAAGTATTTCATGTACACTATGTAATGTATCTCTGGCCTGAATGTATGTACTGCAAATAATCTACATTGCCCTCATGTACCATATGTTTAAATGATTTTGAGTGAATAAATGAACTGGAACTTGGACGACCCCCCCCCCCCCCAGTCGTACACATGACTTTTTTTCTAGAAGACCCATCAACAATTTAGTTCTAATCTTCAATAACTCACTTCAATTTACTTTTTTGTTATTACTGTTGTCATGTGATTTATTTAAAACAATACTTTGAAATATCCTGTGAAATATTTTTAGGTGCATGTCGTGTCTTTCCCAGGTGTAGAAGTTGCCAATTTGGTATCGGGTCATTATCAGCTGCAGCAGCAGCCAATATCCCACGTTATGAAGGGCACATGGGGAAATGAGGAATATTATTTTTTTTTTTTCTCTTTGTTTTGATAGAATAATTCGTTAATGACAATATATAATATTTCAAAGTTAAGAATAAATTGTTAAAAAAAAATTTTTACTATGTCTTAATGACTGTTATTAATTCATTTCAAATTTTTCGTTAATTTTAATCAGATATCAATTTATAATTTTACAACAAAAAAAAAAAATTACGAGAAGTGCTCTCCAGCATGGAAGTGTTTAATTAATGTATAAAAGTATCATGATCCAGAAAATAACATCTAATAATGAACATGCAGATATGCATTTTACAGGTCCGGCACAATCTCTTGATTTAGCTATTTAGCTTGATTTAGCTATATAGCTTTATCAAGCTATTCAGAATAGCTTGATTTAGCTATTTTATGACACTTTTTTCTTAAATGTGTCATTTTCTCAGCATGCACAAAACGGCGCACCTTGGTGCAGTGATAATATTCAACCTTAAACTCTTCTGAAAATAATGCATGTAAAAATCACTCATCAAATTGTGTCTCCTTAAGAGACTTTCATGTACTCAGAGTTCTAAAAGTTTTGGTGCTATATAAAGCAATTGATACAGTTACTTCTTCAATGAAATTATAAAGGAGGCCAATTATGGTCAACAAGATAATTGATTGGTAATAATTCAGTACAATGAGAAGCAATCATACTTATCCACACCTCAACGCACACAAGGTAGTGTACAGTTACCGGTACTCAAACAATGGAAATACATCTTTTGCTTAAAAGTATTCAAATGCTGCAATGTTAAAACTTTCTTTGATTTTGGCTGTTGTTTTGATAGCCCATGGTACATTAGTTAGAATAATCTAACCGTGTCTCGGGACAAGCCCTCACCACAGTTAGAATACGTCCCATATACTTGCAATGTAGCAAATCGGAGTGGATCCACTCCGAAATGATTTTGAAGAATACAAAAGGAGTTGCACTGAAAATAACTACCAAATCAATCATAACAAACCTTTTTGAGATTGTATATGTCTTTTAGCCTTAAAAATAATCCATATAAATACGAAAATTCAACTCATTTTCTCAGCGTTTTTCCCTAGCTTCAAATTTAACGCCATGTTGACATTCAGAACTCTCTGGATTGTTCATAGAATATGCACAGAGTTCGAGTTATTTCGAGTTATCGCCCCTGTTTATTTTGCAACATTGCCAATACACGGAACGAATTCTATCGTTAAACCGGGTCCGAAGGACAATATCATTTTAACGATAGCACGTTTTATTATACCTCTGTGAATTTTTTCTATATAAAAATATGACGATTAAACCTGCTATTTTTTTAAACCGTGGAATAGTTTTTGTGCTATTAGCCCATGGTGAAATAGTCATCAAACTGTGACCGTGTAGATTTGGACGGTACTTAGGAATTCGTCTGGAACAGCATCTGTTGTTTGCAGAACGAACGGGGTGAGGGAACGTTGGCGTAGGGGGGTACGAGGTATAGGTAGAGGCGCTGTGTGGCCGTGAGGTAAAAACAAAATATAGGTGTGCCGTATTCCCGAAGGTCCACCAATATGCAATTCCAGAGATAAAACAAATGATGAAGGATTCCGTATTTATTAGATGAGTCTCAACGATGGCAACAGTTTACATGAATCAACAAACAGACATATTATAAATGATCGAGTCGGATCTGGCCGAAGTGGCCCCGGACTCAGAGTCCTCACGAGTCGGACGTGGCCGAGACTGGCCTTCGTATATTCCAGACTAATGATTGAAATTATACATGACTATTTATAAGAATGTACATAATGAGTAAGTAAATGACAGGTGTTGACATTTAGTAAAATGAGTGAAAGATTCACAGGTATGGATTAATTAAATAAACTCAATGACGCTTTGATGTTTGGACATAAAAAAAACAGATACTTAATAGTGTTGTTTTTAGAGATTAACAGTTCTTGAGACATAGCACTCTGTCTCTTTGTAACAATAGATCAAGAGTCCGAAAAGTGTCACTGGTCAATTAAACAATTAGATTCGCGAAACATATCGTAAGAAATAAAATATGACACAACTTAAAAATTGAAAAGTAAAGTCCAAAATAAAGTTCTTTCTTGAACAGTGAATTTTTCACTGTGATAAAACTATTCACCGGCAGCATTCCGTTTCCCTCGCTTTTCATTTCGAAGCTCTTCTGGTTTTATCCAGATTGTGACGTAACACAAGTAAAGTCGGCTTCAATATAATAAAACACCTATTTACTGACTATTCGGACAATAGCAAGTTTATCGTCCCCCTCGACAGCAACTCTTTCCCTCGGCTGCGCCTCGGGAAATAGTTGCTGTCTTGGGGGATGATAAACTTGCTACTGTCCTCATAGCCAGTAAATAGGTGTATACTATCTAATGGTACATATATGAATAGTCAAATACTTGCGACTTTTGGTCTATTTCTCACAAAAAACATTTTTCTGAAAAACTGCACATAAATAGCTTTATCAAGCTATTTTGAATAGCTTAACAAAGCTATATAGCTATTTCAAGCTAAATAGCTAAATCAAGAGATAGTGCTCGACCTGTTTTAGTCTTTAAAAAATTAAATCTACACTGATCTTTTAATATTTGTTTGTCGTTTATGTTATTAATTTGGGTCTTTCTTTTCTACTTTTCCTTTTTTTGTTCGTTTTCTTTTATTTTACTTTTTTTAAAAACATTTTCTTTCATAATCTGTTTCCTTGGGTTCGTTTGGGTAATTAACGCATCTCCATAAACATGCACGTGTGAAATTCACACGTATTTCTTCTCTCTTTGAATTTTTAAAGCTCTTAACAAATCAAGTTTTTTTTTATTTATATTTTCAAATAAAAATGAATGTTTTGATTCAGTAAAATACCTTCTCTGCCAGACATTTTCTTGTTGGTAATTCCAAGACAGTCGAGACGACACTATATTTTGAAAACAAACTTTTCAATGAGGAAAACACTGGAGGAGTTCCGAAAATATTGCAATAAAATGTATATCGATCCCGATAATAGTTAGTACAAATATTGAAACAAAAGAATTTAGACAATTTTACTTACAAATCTCTTAAACCAATATACTGTAATACAAATATTGTAATATAGGTTTACTTTTTTTGATTTGATTAAATATAATATTAAAAAATTGCAGAAAAGTTACTTATTTTTTCCCCACTTTTAACATGTTTAAGGAAGCTCTAAACACTAACACAAAGTGCTTTTTGGACTTGGAGAAAAAAATCACATAAAGGTGTGCATGTTGAGATTATTTAGTTCATTTTCAGCATAAGGTACCTACCTTATTTCTGCAGGAAAAATTTTCAAAGACAACGGACTATCCGTGAACAGAAATCACTGTTGTTTACTTACATTGTGAAAATTAATGGAAATAATGAATTAAATTACTTATTTTTGGTCTAATATAATGTTAAAAATATTTAAATCTATTACAAATTATGTAATTAACTGAAAAAAAAAAACAACATTTTTTCTATCTTACTTCTAAGGGCAGATCACTCTAACTGCATAAAACTACCCTACAAGTATATCTCTTCAGTATGCAGTGTTTAGAGCTTCCTTAATTAGCATATTGAATACTTTAGCAATGTTTATCCGACTAACTTAAATTGATTAAACGTTATAATAAATATATTATATAAATCATATACTTTATAACGCAAAAAGTACGCGTCATATCGGGAAAGTTGGGCGTTTGATTATTCGAGAAAACGCACCATATCATTATAAAAATCTTTATATTGTCATTTTGATCTTAATATACACAAGAGACATAAATATTTACAGGGACAGGAGAAGATGCTTTCCTTATTATGGTATTTCAATGTATAATGAAGGGATATTAAACAATTTTGAATCATTTTAAACTAGTTAAATGTATGCATTTTATGTCCCAGAAGTATGAGCATATGCAACTCAAGACAAAAAGGCTTGCAAAGGAAGCAGCAAAGATAGGTCTACAGGTGAACATCGACAAGACAGAGGTAATGCGGCTCCAAAACAAACAGCAAACACCAATTACGCTTGGAGAGCACAAACTGAAAGATGTAGACTCCTTTACATACTTAGGCAGCATCGTCACAATCACTGGTGGAACAGATGAAGACATAAAAGCAAGAATTAAAGCGAGACACGTCTTCATCACCCTCAAGCCTGTGTGGAAATCAACAGCACTGTCCACACCCATAAAACTTCGCATCTATAACACCAATGTCAAGTCTGTGCTCCTCTACGGGTCTGAAACATGGAGAGTCACCAACACCACCTCCAACAAACTACAAACCTTCGCAAACAGATGTCTGCGCCACATACTAAACATCAGATGGCCAGAAAATATAAACAACAAGAACCTGTGGGAAACAACAAACCAAGACCCAATCACTAAACAAATAACCCGTAGAAAGTGGCGGTGGATTGGACATACCCTCCGAAAACCATCGGGAGACATTACACGCCACGCACTCGAGTGGAACCCCCAAGGCAAATGGCGAGTTGGGCGTCCCAGGACAACTTGGCGAAGGTCATGTGAAGAGGAAATCAGACAGTGTGGACATAGCTGGGAACAATTGAAAAAGGCTGCTCAAAACAGAGTGCGATGGAGGACTGTTGCCGAGGCCCTATGTTCCACCAGGAACCAAAAGGAACCATGATGATAAATGTATGCATTGCTAGATGACGATGAAAGTGAAATGAACCAAATTAACAACTGATAACATATAAGTAGCCGACCATTTTGCACCTTAAACCAGGGACCTATATACTATATAGGTCCTTGAAGAGTTACTAGTATCTGACCTTGATGAAAAAGAAGAAAATTTAAATTTTGTCAAAATATCTGTGGTAAATGATTCATTTTATTTCAAATTTTAAGAAAGTGAGAGTTAATGCATATTTTCACCAAGAGATTTGTATGAAGTTCAAATTACTTTTTACAATATCTTAATAACACATGTGCTGCCCATAGACTTCAAATCAAAAAGTTTTAAATTCCTTTGGTGGAGTATTTTTTTACTTGATAACATATATGACGTCATAATTAATTTAAACTTACTTTTTCCCGTAGCCTTCTTTACCAGTGGCGGGTCCAGGAATTTCATAACGGGGGGGGGGGGCAGTAGAAGGCGGGGGTTGGGGTGGGGTCTGGGGGCTGCATTGAAGCCCCCAGTAGTCTAGGGCAAAGCCCTGGTGGGGATCCGGCGGCGAAGCCCCCCGGAAGCTGACGAATTCTTACAAATAAGAGATGCTTTTTCCTTGATTTTAGGATATTGGACATATAAGTTCTATATACAAAAAATTCAAACGGGGGGGGGGGGGGGGAGGGAGGGAGGGAGGGAGGAGGTAGGGGAGCTGCGCCCGGCGCGCCGGCCCTAGATCCGCCTTTGCTTTACAGCATTAACAGAATGATGTCAAAAGTAATCCCTATACCTTTATTCAATATTGAATATCATTTAAAGAAAAGGTCAAGAAGATATGGAAAAAAAATTCTGAGAGACTGTAGGCAATCAGGATACTACGGAAGCGTAATAGGGCCGCAGCAGTATCTTTTATTAATTTGTTTTAACAAATTACTAATTTGTTATAACAAATTATCAATTTGTTATAATAAATTATCAATTTGTTAAAACAGATTACTAATTTGTTATTACAGATTATTAATTTGTTATAACAAATTACTAATTTGTTATAACAAATTATCAATTTGTTATAACAAATTATTAATCTGTTATAACAAATTACTAATTTGTTATAACAAATTATCAATTTGTTAAAACAGATTACTAATTTGTTATAACAGATTACTAATTTGTTATAACAACTTACTAATTTGTTATAACAAATTATCAATTTGTTATAACAAATTATCAATTTGTTATAACAAATTATTAATTTGTTATAACAGATTACTAATTTGTTATAACAGATTACTAATTTGTTATAACAAATTACTAATTTTAATTGATATAACAAATTAGTAATTTGATATAACAAATTAGTAATTTGTTATAACAAATTAGTAATTTGTTATAACAAATTAGTAATTTGTTATAACAAATTAGTAATTTGTTATAACAAATTAGTAATTTGTTATAACAAATTAGTAATTTGATTTAAAAAATTATTATTTTTTACAAAATATGAATGTGAATACAGATCTATGGAAGCCAGATCAGATCAGATCAGAAATCTTATTTTAAATCGGTTTTATGAAAAGTTAAGCATAAGCTTTGGAGAGCTTTTGATCAATATAGTTAATGTGGATTTAGATGAATTAGCAATTTAGATTAAAGCACTTTAATTTTTGTTTAATTGCAGGTTTTTTTTTTTTTAATTTTGTTTTGTTTTGTTGTTGTTTGTTTGTTGTTGTTGTTTTTTTGAGTCAGTTCCTTGGAATAGATTTCTCTGTTAGACAATTAAAAGAATAGCTGCATCCCAGGGATTATGTAGAAGAAATACAGAATGTTGGATCCTTCGAGAAAAATTCGAAGTTCCGGACAATTAATATGATTTCAACGTCGTCCATTCAAATCAACACTTTTTTCAATGTCAACACAGGGGTCAAAAGGGGAGAAGACCTATTTTTCCTTCTTTACACATGTGTAATATTTTGTGTGTATTGTTATAACAAATTATATTGCTTAACGATTTCTTGTAAAATATATGAGTAGTCCTATATGAGACAACCAGGATACAAATTACAAATGAATTTGAAGAAACAACTGTCGAAGTTTTCAGCCAATAATAAGTTATGAAGGCTTTAGTGGGACTTCGAGGGCTTTTCCAAAAGGCACGTATTTTGATTATAAAAATTACATACATACATGAAAAAATTTCACAAGGTATCTAAATTCAAATTTTACGAAGTACTACCCACTCAAAAATATTGTTTATTTTCGTTTTCAGAAAAGGTTATTACAGAGTGTTTATCAATTTTTCTATGATAATTTATCTACAAATTCATTTTTTATCAATGTTGCCTTTATTGCCCCCAGCATAAATTGGGGCCAAGGAGGTTCACCAGAGGAGCAGATTCAGGTTTATGTATTAGGAACGGCGGTTTAGTTTAAAATATATTTTATTCATGATACATAAACTGGATTGAACAGTAGGCATAAATCATTTGGTACATGTATAGAATGAATCGAGAGAGGGGGGGGGGGGGTAAAATGAAATAAAATAAAAGACATATTGAAAAAAAAACATATTATAATGAACATGTTGATTCAGGGTGGGAAAAATTCCCTCTCCAAATAACATGTCTTTGATAAGATATTTTTTCCTAGCATACGAACGGGGATGCAATGACCTGGTAGATGGGAGTCAAGGACGGAGCCCTGGTGGGGGAGGAGGACAAAATTCAAATAGAGCTCCTAAGAATAAGTAAATAGGAACCAAAGAATTTGATGCATTGTATCTTTATAACAATAATGTTTGACAGTGAAAACTCTAAATGCTAAAAGATGTAAATCCAGATTAACATATTGGTCAAAAGCTGTAGCTGCAGAGCTTGTACATTTATTATTTTCACAAATCCAACTTATAAAAAATTTCTGATCTCATCTGGCTTCCATAGATCTGTATACACTTTCACTTTATCAAAATTATCAATTTGTTTGGCAAATTATTAATTTCTTATATCAAATTGATAATTTGTTATATCAAATTAGTAATCTGTTATAACAAATTACCAATTTGTTATAACAAATTATTAATTTGTTATATCAAATTGATAATTTGTTATATCAAATTAGTAATCTGTTATAACAAATTAGTGATCTGTTATAACAAATTAGTAATTTGTTTTAACAAATTAGTAATTTGTTTTAACAAATTGATAATCTGTTATAACAAATTAGTAATCTATTATAACAAATTATTAATCTGTTAAAACAAATTAATAAAAGATACTGCTGCGGCCCTATTACGCTTCCGTAGGATACATTTCCCTTCTCTGAGATGGAAAAAAAATATCTTATATATTTACATTGTATTATCCGATTTTCTTAATTTTTCATTGAAAAAGACCGTATAAAAATGTTTTTTCGTTGAGCTTACCTAAAATTATGTCCCGATACACCTTATTTTACAAAGCCATACTTATAAAGCATAATTAAAGGAATCCATTCAAGGCCGTAACTAGACTCAAATTTTTAGTGAGGCAAGGGATCTGGGGGCCGCGCGAGTCCAAAGCGGGCCCAGGGTAGTGTCCTGATCGGGATTCTCGGGGGAGGGGAGAGTTCCCGAAACCTGGGTTTTTAGCAAGTTAAAGACTAAATCTTTGAAAGTTTTCACGTTTTGAATTTTTTTTATATGCTTTCTTAACTACTATGAGGCATCAGGTGAGATGATCGATTTACAGAAGTTGAAACTAAAGTTGAAAGTACATATTGATTTAGTACAAAGACACACATACATGTAATTAATTAAAGTTCAAAGAAAACTTTTTCACTTTTCAGAAAACAACGAATTTCAGTTAAGTGAGGCATTTATCTCACTTGCCTCAGTGGTAGTTATACGGCCTTGCCATTTCTTGAATTTGAGAAATTTGTAGGCACCTTTCATTTGCTAGATCTTGACCTTTTAATTTACAATTTGGACACATTCTCTCCTCTCTTGGTTCATGTACATATATTCCATAATGTATACCTATTTTAATCAACATATTGTGAGAAGAAATTTGAAATTTAGTTAAAATTTTTCGATATTTCTCAGAATTTTCTTTCGTTAATAAATAAGGTTCTAGCTCAAAGTTTTATTTAATGTTCATGACAAATCGTTATAATTATAAACATATCATATGTGTAACGTGAAGCGGCCATGCACCCAACTAAGGGCTCTTCAGTCAGACTCGCCGCGGCTTACATCACCATGCAGAACAAGGTACGTAGTATAAGTTCCCATGCCAAGAAAAAGTACGCAGTCTAGTTTTAGAGCGAATTCAATAAAAGCGGAATTAGCGTTAATCTGTCATTTTTCTCCAGGGAGATGTGCGCGAGGCAATTAATGTCAGCAGTTTTGAGGGAAGGATCTTAAGTTTTACTGGTTTTAAATTAAAGCTAGAATACTTATTATTTAGAAGCCTTTGCACCTTTTTTCCCGTTTTTTTTTTTTTTTTTTTTTTTTTTTTTTTTTTTTTTGAATATTTTTTTTATTTCCTTCGATCCAGTCTATTTTTACAATTTTGGTACCTGTGTCTAGTGCATTTTACATAATTTGTAAATAAATAAAGGTTTTTGACAGGAACTATTTTTTTCAGGGCATAGGAGGCTACTTCCTGTGGTAGAAGTTAATTTTTCTTTTACTAAGAAAACGGAAAACTTAGGATCCACCCCCTCAAATCTGCTGCCGTTAATTGTCTCGCCAGCGTCAGGGGAATATGGGTGATTTGCATCAATTACACTTTTATTGACTCCATCGCTTTGGAAAAATGGACGGGATTTCTTGGCATGCTATACTGTCCACCAAACATCTGCATCTCTTTCTCTCTCTCTCCATGTATCACCATTTTCGAATGCAAATGATGTATAAAAAAGAACATAAAAATAATAGAGAGTAGGAAGCAAATAATATCTAAATTAAGTGAAAATAAATTACTCCTAGTTAAAATTTTATTTCGATTTTTTTTTTCATTTTCAATTCAATTTATTGACAATTACCATGTCGTCATACAGTCATGAACATTAATAACACAAAACAATTTAACACGATTAATACATACATATACAAAGTGACAAATGTGAGGTAAACAAAATACTGTAGAGTATATTCACATATTTTCTAAGAATTCATTGCTGACTTTCTTTTCTTGTCAAAGCACTTTTTCAAGAAACAACATATCCTTCTGGCAGTTGCAATATTTGTAGGATTGACAATTTTTCTGATGGGATTTTCACTAGTATATGTGTTTACATTAAATATATCAGTATATTTGCATCTATATTGGTCATACTTTGAACGGTATAGAACAAATTAAATGTTTTTCACCTTCAATAAGCAATTTGCATGAATAGCATAGACGTTTTTTCTCTAGGAATAGGGGGTTTACAGTATCTACCCGTTTCAATTTATAATAGATGGGCACTGATCCTTAATTTTGTTAATACAGATCTATTTAGTCTTGGTTGTATGTTTTAAGTCTATTTCTGAATCGGGCTTGATATTCTAAATTTGTAAAGTTAGAAGAGTTCCGAGAGTTTAAAATTTGTAAGCGCATCATTGATTGGACGAAATTCTTGACAGGCTCAGTAGCAACCAACATGGCTTCCATTTCTTATGTGACTTTTGAAAATTGTACAAAACTTGTGAAATAAACAATTAATTATCGGATAAGATGTGGTATTGCAACACGAAGCTTTTGGCGTTTTACAAGCATGTATAAAACTGATTATCAGGTAAACAAATAGCATATTCATACAAATGTACGTGTACTTCAGTCTTTACAAGTGAAAAAAAAATGCAGTGCAGTGTACAGTTAAGTTTAACATTTTTAAATATCGATGCATTTTTTTTTAAATATACAAACTTTTTAAAGAATGTCAGAAAGAATTACTTGCTGTTTAAATACTGTTAAATTGACTGATATATTCGTCCTACTATACCTGGTTTGCGCTATATTTTCTTCAGCTGTTCTTGGAACAATGCCACTTTTTCTGAGTCATTCGGAATTTCCTCTACACGGTTTGAACATCATAAATGTTTGCTTACTAAACTGAGCATTTCAATTAAAAAAAATATTGAAGTGTCATTCCATACATAAAATAGTAAAATAGGAATGCTGTTACAGTTAACAGGTAGAGAGATACTGACATTTTCATTAAAAACTTGGTCTGCAAACACAGCTGGAAGAGAGTAGATTCACCACACTAAAATTTATTGCAATGTAGCTGAGTGAATATTATCTGAACCAACAGTAGTGTGAGAGAAATCATCTAGATTGCAATTGAAAGCAATGGCCTTTTTTTTGCTTTTGAATGCATAATTATTGGGAGGGGGGGGGGGCAAAATTATTATTTTTTAAATTTTATCTTGCATCCCTTTTGAAACTGATTTTAAAACCTCACTCAGATTTTTTTTAAGGTGGATTTTGATGGCATGTACCTGAATTTTTAGTCAGTTGATGCAAGTAAATTATTAAACATTCAATGTTATATTGAAATTAATAAAAAAAACTTTTGCATAAGACTTGTGCAGATTGCATTTTTAAAGTAGACATAAAGCTTTTTCTCTCCTTGGCTTTTTTTCTTGGTCAAAACCTGAAAAATTGTTCAATATAAAATATGTAAATGTTAGGGGAAAAAAAGAAGTAAACTAATAAGGATTTATAGTATGGTTTATATTTTTAATTATCTCCTTTAGTTCATAAATATATGGTATAAGTGGAAATTAAAATGTTTAATCTCACAATATGATCGAAATTGAAATGAATTTTGAACAGGATGGTCTCTTTTTGATGGACAGTCAGGGGTGATACTGAAATCCGTCATTTTTAAAATGACGATTTTTAGTCATAAAATAAAATTTTTATTATGACTTAAACTCGTCATTTTTAAGAAAATGACGAAAAACAGTCATAAAAATTTAGAGTGTTTCTAGAATACCGAGTTACCTCTCTTTGAAAAATGTTAGATCCACCAACCGAAAAAAGGACAAAAAACATCGTAAACAAACTTCATTTCTCTAATACAGTTGAATACAATACTGGTTATGTCGACAGTACAAATTTCCCAAGCAAAAATAAGAGTGGAAGAGTTATTTGTCAATTTATTTGCATTAAATAGGAAAGAAGACGAAAATGACGATATGCCGTCTTTTTTCAAAATGGAGGGTCCGGGCGCACTGAAATATCTCGCTTGTTTTATGGGGCGCACTACTTTTTTATGGCTTTAACTTTTTGTCGAGACTTTTCTCTACAAGTACGTATTCTTCCAGACGGTGTACTATATGTTTTTATAGGTTTAAAAGCCATGTAAAAATGGCGAATTAGTTCTACCAAAATTCGACATTTTACTGCTAAATAATAACTTTCACCTTCCATGTTGATGTTCTAACGCACATGGTCGGCAGTAATTAGTGACCCGGATGAAATGAAACTTGCGTAAACTCTTCTTTCAGCAGTGAATTCAAATTTCGCTTTTATGTAACCAGGATAGAAGAATTAAGTTGAAAAGAAAATATGACGATAGTAAGTCATATTGACAAAAATGACGAAAATACGTAGTTAGTAAATATGACGATTATCCATCATTTTTCAGAAATGACGGATTTCAGTCTCACCCCTGACTGATGGACTAAAATTATTTTCCTTGATTTTTTTTTTTTTTTTTGAGTTAGTGTGAAAAAACCCCATAATTTGTTTTTTGCATAATTGTCTGTATAATTCTTGAAAGAAGACATTTTAGTGTTCAGTGCTATATATAATCATTTACTTCAACATTTAACACATTAGCTTTTGAAATGCCTCCTTCTAGGGTGGACCCTTTGTTGAGATTTTTTCTGCCCAAGGCAAAGACCCCTTACATGGCTGGAAACATGGTGGAGGGATTAGAAGAGAGTATGAGAAAGACGTCAAAGGCTACCTGTACTGTCTGGAAGGTTCCACCACCACCACAAAGATACAGCTTCCTAAAGGTAAGATGTCAAAGGCTATCTGTACTGTCTGGAAGGTTCCACCACCACCACCACAAAGATACAGCTTCCTGAAGGTAAGATGTCAAAGGCTATCTATACTGTCTGGAAGGTTCCACCACCACCACAAAGATACAGCTTCCTAGAGGTAAGATGTCAAAGGCTATCTGTACTACAATGTATGTGGAAAGTTCCACCACCACCACAAAGATACAGCTTTCTAAAGGTAAGATGTCAAAGGCTATCTGTGCTGTCTGGAGAGTTCTACCACCACCACAAAGATACAGCTTTCCAAGGTAAGATGTCAAAGGCTATCTGTACTGTGTGGAGGGTTCTACCACCACCGCAAAGATACAGATTCCTAAAGGTAAGATGTCAAAGGCTATCTGTACTGTGTGGAGGGATCTACCACCACCACAAAGATACAGCTTACTAAAGGTAAGATGTCAAAGGCTATCTGTACTGTGTGGAGGGATCTACCACCACTACAAAGATACAGCTTCCTAAAGGTAAGATGTCAAAGGCTATCTGTACTGTGTGGAGGGATCTACCACCACCACAAAGATACAGCTTACTAAAGGTAAGATGTCAAAGGCTATCTGTACTATGTGGAGGGTTCTATAACCACTACAAAGATACAGCTTACTAAAGGTAAGATGTCAAAGGCTATCTGTACTGTGTGGAGGGATCCACCACCACCACAAAGATGCAGCTTACTAAAGGTAAGATGTCAAAGGCTGTTTGTACTGTGTGGAGGGTTCCACCACCACCACAAAGATGCAGCTTTATAAAGGTAAAAATTGTCATTGTGTGTCATTGTACATATATTTAAGACTGAGCTTAGTTTAGGATTCATACTTTAGGGATGAAACTGCATTTTCTGTCTCTAAAATATCATTGTTGGAAATCTATTGATGTAAAACGTGTACTCATATTCATTAGGCAAAGTTTACATAAAGAACAAAGAAAAGTTGAAGACTGTTACTAAATACTGTTTGTATATGGTAGTTTTCACTTGAATCTAAATACATTCACTTATTTATGTACCAGTATGTGTAACTACCCAGTCCATTTATTTGAAATCATTAAGTACTGATTAGTCGTTACTTTACACACCTTTATTTTTTTCAGCCAACCTTGTACAGAGATTCCTAGTCTTTCAGGTGTTTGTTCCAAGAGGAAAAGAATTTTCTTTTGAAATTGGGTATGTGATCATATACATGTATATAATATTTAATGGAGCTTTATGATTACATTTCTGTTACAAATGTTTTTGAGTTCATCTTGACATTTGTAAGACTCTTCTTAGCTCACCTGAACCAAAGGTTCAAGTGAACTTTTCTGATCATCTGTTGTCTGTCATCTGTGTGCCTGTCTGTTGACTTCAAATTTTCAACTTCTTCTCTGGAGCTGCTGGACTAATTCCAACCAAGCTTACTACAAAGCATCCTTGAGGGAAGAAGGTTTAAATTTATACAAAGAAAGGGACAAACCTTCTTAAAAGGGAGATAAGAAAAGGCAAAAATGGTGTGGTTGTGATTAAAAACAAATCCTCTCAACATGCTCAAGAACAATTGGATCAGAAATGATGCAACTAAAGTGAAAGCTTCCCAGCATAATGTAGATTCATGTTTGTTCAAATAATGCCCGGGGGGGGGGGGGGGGGGGGGGGGGGGGGGGGAATAGAGGATCAAAGTTGATGATCAGTGGTATTGATATGCAAGCATCCTCAGGTAGTGCAGATTCAAGTTAGTTAAAAATCATTGCCCCCAAGGGTAAGATGGGACGGCAGTAGGGGATCAAAGACTAGTTTTACATGGAAAAATATAGAGATTTCTAATTATTCATATGAACATGCAAGCAGCCTCAGAAAGTCCAGATTCAAGTTTGTTCAAATCATGACCCCTTGGATAGGTTTTGCCACAATAGAGAATCACAAGTTTTACTTTTCATATATAGGAAATAAAAAAAAATTCAAGAGTGTATAGGGTGGGTTTAAATTGGGATCAAAGTTTACAAAATGCATGTGTACAGGAAAAAGTCTTCTCCAGAAAAGCACGGCCATGTTGGTGATATTCATATTGAAGCATCAAAATTTTCCATGGGCTTAAAAAATGGGGAAATCTGATGATGAAGAACAGCAGGGCCAAGTATATCCAGGTGAGCATTGTGGCTATGGGCTGCTTATTTAAAATAGTGACCTGTTGTACTTCCATTCCTCCTATGAGGCTTTCCAAACTTTTAAGTGGTATGAAATTTGACTACTTAAGTTTTGAAAGGTTACATGCACAGTACTCAAGTAAAAGTCAAATAAAGGCACATTTCCTAACTGAACAATCTTTCTGCACTAAGCAGGAAAAGATTAATTCAATTCAATTCACTTTATTGACAATTACCATGTCAGCATACAGTCATGCTTAAAGAAAACTCTGTGAATCAGTTTGTTCGAACATTTTTACTTTTTCCAGAATCATTACATTGATTTTGCCTTTGCTCTTTCAGGGTTATAGATCAAAGGAAGAACAAGAGGAGACTGATGTTTTCCTCAGCACAGAAAGACATACAGGCAAACGAGCTCCACGCTCGTATACCCCTCACTATAGTCAGGAGACACATGGTAAGTATTACCTCCTAAACAGAAAAAGTACTGTATACGTGTAATTAGACACACAGACAAATGAGCTCCACGCTCGTATACCCCTCACTATAGTCAGGAGACACTTGGTAAGTATTACCTCCTAAACAGAAAAGTACTGTACACATGTAATTAGACATACAGGAAAACAAGCTCCACGCTAGTATACACACCATAGTTGGTAATGTTTAGTATTATTACATTTTCAGCAGTGAAATACTGTAATTTATTTACTGAATAAAAGTATATTTTGTCACAGTGTGAAAGAACATCAAAGTGATACATGTATTTTGTCACAGTGTGAAAGAATATCAGAAGTATAGCAAAACTAGAGATTTTCCTTCCCTTCAAGAAGAATGTTCAACTTGTAAAAAATACTTCCTGGCCTATTATAAGATAGAAAGAGTAAATAAAGCATCCTGACAGAGAATAAAACTGCCAAAGTTTCTCCAATTATGCTGTAGAAGTCCATGTTTACAATGTTTTCAATCTCACAATCGCTAAGTTGTGACGTCTCAACCGCTCAACAACATGTATGACATCACAGCTTATTAGACTTACAAAAAGATGGAGGCAAAGTGAAAATCAAAGGAAATGTAATAAACAGAAAATTCAATGTTTTGTAGTTGGATATGGAATTCATTTCACTTGTTAGTCAGGATTTTTTTGACATTTTTGCTTGTTTCACACTCGTGAAAATATATATAAAAAATTCCTGTCCCACTCATGAAATAAATTCCAATTTCCAACTGCAAACATTAAATATCCTCTATTTAAATAATAAACAGAAAAAGTGTAATACTGGTACATGTAATTAGAAATTTGAGCATGTCATTTCACTTTGGCATCATTAGAAGTTAGGTTTTAACATGTATTGTTAAACAATGAATTTTTTAACAAATATTGTACATACGCCAAGTAAAATACATTTACAGTAGTTAATTTTATCCAATTTATTTCTTGCACACACATGTACTTGTATATGGCTGTGTTTTCACATGATATGCATATAGGATTAAAAATTCTACTTTCCTTTAAAAAGTCCAAATATAGACCATATTTTATTGTGAGCTATTGTATTTCAGTGGCTTAATCTGTGTGTGGATCTAGTGTCTGTTGTGGGGGACACGTGGAGGGGTCAGACGTACCGCTGTGTTGAGTCTGTCTGTGTGTCTGCCAACTGTAAACTGCGAAGGATATTTACGTTGAAAACCCAGCCACCTGACACTGCAGAGGATGAAGGTATGGTGTTGAGTATTCTCTAGCTTTATATTTTTAGTGTTCATTATCAAGATTCTTCACCAACTCTGAGAGACAGCTCTACTACATGCATCTAAACATATTTTGAAACTATTATGTTTTGCTTGATGCATGTATATTTGTGAATCTATAATTGAAGGTCATTGAATCACATCGATGTTTGCATGCTTATGAATTTTTGGTGTTTGATTTGGTTACATATGTATGTTATAAATGATTTTACGATGGCTCGTAATTGTTAAAACTTTCAGTGAACTCTGATGTACATGTAGTTACTGGGTACAACAAGAAATATTACCACTGATTGTGATAAATGTATAAAAGTAGATATAAATTAGAATCATAAGAATGAATGGAGTGCATACATATGGATGAATTGATTGTGGTGAACCTGTTATAGAGATGTATGGCTGTGAACCTTGTAACACAGGAGAGCTGGAAATCATTCCTAAACAGTGTCAGTTTGCTACGGATGTACAGTTTGTTACTCAGGTGAGACTTTTATTCTTTATAACTGAAATTTATTATATTCAGTATTTAAAGTAGATGTGTGCTATTCTTTCAACAAGGCATTAAAAATTTTCAGATTGAATTTCTCTGTTTCCTTGATAAATAACTTCATGTGTATGAATTCTAAGAGTTGAAGATTTAAATGAATACATTATTAGGAGCATTTTCTTTGTAGGTTTTAAACATGGCCAAAATCAAGCATGCTGAAAGGTTAAAAGGAGGAGATAACTCTGTCAGATCATCCACTGAGATAGGTATAGCTTCAAATGAATTTTCTCATATGTTGCACACCATGTACCTTTGCATTTGGAATTTCTGCAGTTCAAAAGTTTGAGATTTAATTTTTCAAAGTTTTGACTCATACTTCTGCTATTTGCAGTTTTTGGTAAATTCAATTGATTCTGCATTGCAAATATACATGTTTATGCAACTGAAACATTATTTGACTGTGTATTTGAAATTCTGAGTCACAAGATTCTGCAAAACTGCAAAGCTCCATATATTGCTAATTATGTATTAGAATTTTGTGAGCAATGGAACGTTTCCTCCATAATTTTTCATACACTGCAATAGTTTGTAGTTTTATTTTAAAGAAGTTTAAAACTTCTATAAAAAAATAAAAGGTTCCAAGAACATTAAGATTGTCCGATTTTAATTTTAAGTCAGATGGTAAACAAAATACAGAAACTGTAAATTTATGGCATGCACCATCGACAATGTTTTAGATCTCAATGCCAGTGGAAGACGAACCTCTCTCAATGATTCAGGATATCACATCGCATTTGGAACTAAAGTTCCCGGGGCTCCCACAGCCAGCAAAAACAAGGTGAAACCATAGACTTACATCAGTGTAATGTTAAAAGGCAATGAACAGATGAAATTTAATTTTCTCTTGCTTTTTGGCTAGGTCTGTAGTTTCAGTTCAAAGATATTGTTTTAGATTGTGATAGATGTTAAGTCATGTTTAAAATAGGACGTTTTCTTTTTATATTTGAAGTTATGTAGAAGGAGAACTTTCTCCAATGGACTTGCTTTAGCTGCATCCTTTAACTGGGGGGTAATGAATCAAAAAATGCACAATAGCACTGCATTTAGTGCCTAGCATTTTCACTGAGAGTGGAGTGCCACTCTTCTACAGTATTCGTTCTATACTGATTAATATCTGAGTACTTTTTAGCATGATTTATTTCATTGAATATTGCACAGCACCATGAGGTTGTGAATATTATAAATCTGTTACACTATTCATACATGTAACTTTATTCATGAACTTGTGAAATTCTGTGTGTAATGCACATACATGTATGTGTATATTAAGTATATACAATAGTTCTGACTTACATCAAAACAAATATTGATGAGAAAATGTGCAATCACGTCTCACTGATTTAATGCAGATTATTTGTACATGTAATAAAGTGACCATAAAATGGCTCTCATTCCTGTAATCTTATCTGTATTCCCTTTTTTGTCTTTGGAAATTAAAAGTGCTTTGTGCACAATGTACTTACTAATACATATATATCTTTGTAAGAAATATAAATACAGTGATTTATGAATAAGTACATGTACACTCTTTTATTTACATGTAAGTATGTAGTATGCAAATTTACATGTACTACTGAAAGACAGTCATACCTTGTATAAATTAAATTATCAGAGTATTGATGTGAAAAATGAGGAAGGGGAGGGGGGGATAGTTTTCAGTGGAAAATTGAATGTTTATAGCTTTGTTTTGACTTTCAGGGAAATCTTACAAACAGAAGTAATCGGAGTGCAGTATCTAGAGCTGATGGTATGTACGGAAATGTAAATTAGTGTTGTTACAATAGTCACTGACTATTGAAAAATCATCATTGGAAGTTGGCAACAATCTATCGAAAATATTGAAAATTGATAGTTATTAAATATTCTGGAAGTATTATAAAGAGTAAAAAAAATGAAAATTTTTCAGATGCTGTGAATGAAGAGTCAACATTCAGAGATCTTTCAGACAGTATCTTCCGAGATGGTGGGGGATTTGATCCTGGTGGGGGAGGGGAGAGACCTCCAGAGACAGTACACCGAGCAGTATTACACAGACGACAGCTCTCAGACCCAGCCACACAGCAAGACCTAGAAATGGCCAGTCGAATAGGTATGATAGAGGAACCAGTGATATTGTAAACATTGACCTTTCACCTTCTTTACACTTTAAGACTGGCAGGAGAGAGATGGTTTTAACTTTTAAGTGAGGCAAGTCAGAGGATGGAAACATGTTTTAGTAGATTGTTCCATAGTTATAACATCCTTAACAAAAGTCAATAATTGTGTTATGATATAGTACAGGTGACTCTCGATCTCTCGAAGTTCAAGGGACCGCAAGAAAAGTTCGAGAGATCGAGGGGTTCGAGAGATAGAAAGTGAATAAAATCCGGAATTTTCAGTTCTGATCTTCATTGTTCTACTATTATAAATACCGGAAGTATATGTTGATAATGTCATTGCACATTTTCATTCGTGTTTTACAGGTAATTCACTTGATTTCAACAACAACGATCGTATTTTGAATAAATAAAAAGATTTCTTTAAGTTTCAATATTTATTTGTTTTCATTTCATGATAACATGAAACCTGAATAGCAATCGTCGGTGTGGATACCCCCTGGGTTTGATTGGGTCCTTCACCAGATTTCTCGTATTAAATCAGTATTCAATTCTTGAGCTAGGATTTCTTGTGCAATGTTTGTCTTACTGGGATTATGTAGACTCTAATAAAACTTCATAATCTTTGGAAAATTATTGACACGTCCCTTAAATTATTTTCTAAAAATTATCGTCTCGCTGTCAAGTCAAAATAAGTTGTGAAGCAATTCGTTTATAATTAACCAATCATAACCATTTAATTATATCAACACTCAGATGCTCATAGGTATAGTGTCATCTATGTAAATGCCCAATTAACACCTCCATGCCAGACCCAGGCGTTCACTGTTATCCAGGTAAGTCCAAGCTGCATTAATTTTACGCTTGATTGGCGTTTACACACGCGCATTCAAAACTTCGAGAGATAGAGAGTAAAAAACAATGAAATGTGTATAACGGGACCCATTTCTTGGTTCGAGAGATAGAGAACTTCGAGAGATCGGAAGTTCGAGAGATCAGAAGTAAATTTGCTTAGTTATATAGAGGAAAAAAACGGGACTGAAGGTTCACTTCGAGAGATCGAGAACTTCGAGAGATCGGAGTTCGAGCCATCGAGAGTCACCTGTATGTTAAATGATTAATATACTGTCCAAACCTATGCTTGCAGATTATGAGAAGCCTGACTTGTTGGTGAAACCCCACCCTCCACGGGAACCTTCCACAGATCGACTTCGGAGGCGAATCCGGGTTAAAAATGGGTCCAGCAGCTCAAACAAAGATCGGGGATCCAGTGCAGGGTCATTAAAAGGTTCAGAAATCTTATCTTAAAAATATCAAGATTTATAGACTTGTGTTGTTGTAGAGATGTCTGTAGTTGATATAGTCAAATATCTTCTATACAAATTTTACAATAGTGTTCAGAGACCATTGATACCCACCAAATGAACTTTAAGTTCTACAAAAAAAATATATATTTATAGATGTAAGTTTAGGAGAAATTCAAGGATACTTATTGATTATGCACAGTCTTAAAGTAAAGTACTTACATGTATCAGCTATAGATACCACATTTCTGTATGCAGATGAAGCTACAAGCTCAGTCAGCGGAACAAGTTCAGCTAAGACTACCAGTTCACAGCGGGGAGGGGCAGAAGAGGGGCGTCGCCAGAGACTAGTGTCTGACACAGAGCTGATCAGTAAACACAGGGGTGAAAAAGGGAAATCCCCAGGGAAAGGTAGTGAAGAGGACATCCGTATGTCTGAGTCTGAATCTGGAATATCTTTGTCACAGTCTTATAGAAAAGGTTTGTATTGAGAATTGTTTATATGATACCTTTCTCTTTTAAATTTCAATAAGCTATACATGTATATGCATAACATACCACTTTGTTTTTATCCTCTGGAAAGCATGATTTTTATAAAAGTAATCCACCAATAAAACATTTTGACACAACATGTAGTAATGTACTATTAGAAAAATACACAAAAGCTCAGATGAAATTATATGTATTTACAGAGTATAATCGTGGTGACTATGAGGGAGATGGGGCTGTGATGGATGACTCCTTGATGGGCGTGATCAACATCTTGAACCCTGGCCCCGGGAATCTGGAAGAGGATGAGAGGGAGGATCTGGGAGAGTATGAGGAAAGTGAAGAGTAAGTTGAAGAGAGAGTGAAGAGTGTATGATGAGAGCAATGAACAATTCAAAGAGAGTATGATGAAAGCAATGAGTCAGAGAGAATAAGATGATCTCCTCTCCCAGAGAGGAAAGCAATGAGTATGTCAAAGAGAGATTGAGGAGAGGAATGGGTAAGTCAGAGAGAGTGTGAGGAGTATGTCACAGAGAGCTTGTAGAGAGCAATGAGAGTATATGAGTATTAGGAGAGCTATGGGTAAGTCACAGAAATATGAGGGTTTCAATGAGTAGATCAAAAAGAGAGTGTGAGGAGAGTGATGAGTAAGTCAAACAGGGTTGGGGTCAATTACTTTGAAATGTAATTAATTACTTTCAAATACATTGATAATTTTGTCAATTACTTGCAATTACAATTACATTGATTTTTTCAAATGTAATTAATTACTCTCAATTACTTTGACAAATGTAATTAAATACATTTCAATTACTTATGTTTAATTTTTAAAAAAATCTTGAGAACAAATATATATATATAAATGGCATTGATACACAAAGCATTATGTACTGAAATGTTTTTACAGTTTTGAGTTCATTTTAATCATCATCAGATTTTCAAACACAGCATCACTCAAACGACATCTTTCTGGTCTGAACAGTTTTCCAGCCACGCTGAAAAGTCTTTCAACGGGTGCTGAAGTCACTGGTACAGCTAAATACCTTTGGGCTAACCGAGAAAGACAAGGAAGCGTGGAATGATTTTGACCTTAAAATTATCAGAAACATTTTCTGGGACATTAAATTCATCCAATGCTATTGAATTCATGTTTGGTTCTGAATAAGGTTTTTACTATAGTGAACTTTTATTCAGTGTTTTTGTTCTTGGGTATTAGAGGGGTTCACACCTGGACAAAATTAGACCTCTACCTATTGCCCTGGGCAGTGTTACATGCTGTATATAAAACAAATTAAACATTCTGAGACATTTAATTGTTGCACAAACACAAGCCCATGCCACACAGGTATACTGAACTGTGTATCTTTAAAAGACACCTTTTAAAACTTATAATTTAAAAAAAAGTAATTGAAATGTAATTGAAAAGTAATTGAAAATACATGACATTTTTGGAAATGTATTTAAATACATTCAATTACTTGTAATTGAAGACTGGCTCAAATACAAATTACTTCCAATTACTTTAAAAAATGTAATTAATTACGTTCAATTACAAATACTAATTACAATTACCCCATCCCTGAAGTCAAAGAGAGTATGACATGTGCCATGAGCACATTTGCATACAATAAATGTTTGTAAGAAGAGACCAGTTGAACTTGAGAAAAGACAAGTTTAAGAATTTAGATATTCAGTTGGATTGAAATTAACTTTTATTCAATTTACAGGGAGCCGGAGTCAGACAGTGGAATGTTTCTTTTTGTGTCAAAACCTAAGTCTGCTCCCCGACGCCATGTCTCTCCTAGTCAGCTGGAAACAGAAGAAGAAACACAGGTAATGTTCACACAACCACACATAGGCATTGCTACAACCACAGAGTCAAACAGACATTATCCACACATCCACATAGGCATTGTTACAACCACATGATCAAACAGACACTGTGTCTGTGTCCCACACATAGGCATTGCTAAAACTATACAGTTTATATCAACCAGAGGTACTGTTCACACAACCACACATAGGCATTGCTAAAACCATACGATCATACACAATACACAGATACTGCCCACACAACCACAAAGTTAATCACAAATCAGGCATTGGCCAAACAACTGCAGGATTAAAATCACACAGTGGTTATGATACTGCTTACACAGCCATAGGGTTAATGACAAATCACATCATAACTAACGGGTTTATACCAAAACATAGCTTAAATCAAACCACAGCCTTGAAATAAACAGTTTGCAGGGTTTGACATTAACTTTTACATGTATGACTACTAGATCAGTCGGGCAACTTCCCATAATTTTTACTAGCCCTGACCATGAAATCACTAGCCTGACCAAACCTGAAAATTTAATTCTTATAATGATTTTATCGCTGATTTTAATAAGGATATTTTCAAATCGTCTCTGGTGCATGTCAAGATTTTGAAACACTAGCCAATTGAGTCTTTTTCTTCAAGACATGCGAATAGTGTAAGCTTTAAAGATCATTCAACGAACTTTAATTAAAATTTTTATCCTAAATATTAATAAATTACAGAATATATTTTTTCGGTAACAGTTTATACCATATAGATACTGAAGGATGTTAGTTTCTACCGCTACATGTCTATTAGCTGTATTTTCATGACCAATCTCTAAACGTAAGAAAAAAGTACAGTCTCCTCGCATGAAATGAAATATGGGGGTGATTGACGGGGATATATATAATACTTCTGAAAGTTATAAGCTCTTAATATTTTTTCAATTAATGTGTGAAAGGGGGGGGGGGGGGGTGTTGATGCACACTTCAGGTACCTGTGGCTAAAAATAGCGATTGTTTCATATGGGCTTTTCTTTCTTTACAGAGCCATGGCTGTATTTACAACTGGACAAAAAAGAAAATTTCTTTTAAAGTCTTTAGAATATTTATTTGGAAGACTGAAATGGGGTTTAACAGTTATTTTATCAACGACCAATTGGTCTAGTTCACGTACATTTTACATGACAGGACCACTCATTTACTGGACTAGGTCGGTCTGACGTGCCTTAGTGTCAAACCCTGGTTTGGCAGAAAGCTACTTTATTGCCAATGCAAATAATGGGATAAATTGAATTGTAATACAGTTGAACTTCATTATCTCCAACACTGATATACATGAATAACATTGTTATGTTCAATGTGCATTCACAGTCCCAAACCACTTTTTCCTGGTGTGTTTTTACCCTCATCTGGAATCCCCAGATGTTGTTTAAAGTTTAAACATGGTCTAATCAAGTTCGATATAACAAGGTTTGACTGTATATATATCATTTCATAAACATGTACTAGTACTTAACATTGTTTAATGGATAATGATAGTATTAAGAGAGAAAAATTATTTTGAAGGTCAAGAGTCCATCTTCTTCAAAAGGGAAACAACAGAGGGGACCAAAGCTGGAGAATGACTTTGTCCACAGTAGTGATTCCAGCTTTGAGGATGAGGAGACCCAGAGACGTAAAATAGTGCCTGGATCTCGCCCCACCAGTGGCTCCTCTAGCAGACCCCACAGTGGTTCAACAACCAGTAGACCACAAAGTGGTGCCTCAAGCAGACCCACCAGTGGTACCACCAGTCGACCTCACAGTGGTACCAGTAGACCACATAGTGGGTCCAACCGTCCACTTAATGTCCCAAGGCCCACAAGTGCAAAATCACAGTGCATTTCTAGTGTTAAAAATAGTGCTACAAATCACATTAGTCCCAAGAACTGTAAAAATGTTCCTAAGCCCCAGAGAAAGGATAAAATAGACCTTTTGACCAATCACATGCCAAAAACAGCAGAAAGTCCCGAGCTTCAGATGAGCTCGCAGCTTCCCACTCAGCGCTCGGACATAACCAATGGGAGTCTGTCTAGTAGGAGTGTTTCTAGGATGAGTCGTAAATCTGTGAAAGAGATTCCTAAGGATGATGTTCGTCTGTCTGTGATAAAGTCTTCTGAGGTATGCAGGGGCTTCAATTACAGAAAAATTAATTTTATTTACAAAGGCACTTTTTGCTCAGTAGATGTGTGTGAGGAATATCAATTTTGTCCACTTTTTAACAATCTTGTAAAATGCATTCTCTATTACTCTTTTGTTGAAAGAGTTCAATTAAATTGTCTTGACAATTGACAAATGGTTCATGTAGTGTATTTGATACTAAAACTCAACATTGTATATTATATATATGCAACTTTAAATTTTTTAAAAAATAATTTTTAGGAGTGTCTCATTAATTAAGTAACAACTGTTTTTGTATTTTTTTCCAGAAGCCTTATGATTTTACCAAATACAGTGCAATAAACTATAAAATGGAGGACATTACAGATTCTTTTGAAGCTGGCATGTTCTCTAGCATGAAAAGACAAACTGAAGAAGATTACGAGGACATTTCTGTCAGCGAGTCCCCCCATAAACTTGTTCCTCCAGCTCCAACAGGTGCTATCAGCAATAAAACCCCTCCCAATCCATCTCCCAGAGAAGCGGTCAACAATCACAGAAATTTATACGATTTCTCCCCCACTCTGACCCTAACTAGTGATGAAGACAGCACCTGGCAGGCACCTGTAAGTAAAACAGAGGCTGCTAAGTAGGTAGTGTTAGAATTAGTTCACAGCTGGAGTGGACTTAGTACAAAATTTTATGTAGCAGGTTTGAGCTTTAATAGTGCTAGGCGATGTAATTAAATGTAAATGTAATGGTTGCTGTTTCTGATTTTGTAGCCAACAGAGATGAAGTTAGGAGTCAGTACGGACACACTGACTTCCTCCAACCCACGGTATGTTTACAGGAAATTGTGAAGTTACAGAAAACTTATTAGGATATTTACAGACAAAATTGTAGATTAATTACGGAATTCATATAATGAAGATGAAAACTATTAAGGAAAATAATTTTTTTGAAGAGAATATTTTGATTTCAAGTGATATTGATATAAGCCAGTACATGTATTTTGTGAAAATCAAGTTATTTTTTTCCTTTTCTTTGGCAATGGTTTGAGTGTTGTCTTGTTTACATTACAGAGACTGGAGTGGTGCTTTTAGTCCACCCATTGTGTTCCCTGGGGGCCGCCCATCTGACTCTATAGAAGATCTATCCAGCTGTTCATTATCACCACGCAAAAATGTTACCACACTAGGTAGGCAGATGTATGACTCTCCAGATATTGGCATATATATAATATAGGTCATTAATACCGGTAAATAGGTAGTATATGTAAACATGCAATAACCCAGTGTAAATATGAAATTGTTTAATGGTTTAGTATAAAATTTATAATTCAGAATTCATTTTATTTCACTAGATACAAAGTCACATGAACAGATTTATGCACCGTCCACTCGAGATGATGGGACGGATGAAGACGAGTTGGATTTGTTATACGACTCATGTCTGAACTGTTACTATGATCCACACACTCAAAAGTATTATGAGCTCATCTGAGATATGTCTGAACCCTGAACCACACAGTGATTCAACCACTCAGAAGTATTATGAGCTCATTCTAGATATATCTGAGCCCTGAACAGTAGAATGACTCAGCCTCTTAAGACGAGCTCAACTGAAATCAATCTGAACCCTGAACTGTACAGTGACTCAATCATACAGAAGTATCACAAGCTCATCTGAAATCAGTCTGAATCTGAACCGTACAGGGATTCAGAAAAGGAGACATTATGAGGTCATCTGAAATAAGGTTTTTTTGACTCTTAAATGTTGGTTGAACTCGGTTTCATTACAATGTCATCTAAAATCTAATGGCTTGTGTGCCCAAAGACTTCAGTGTATTGTGGGGTGAATTTAAACCTTTTATCTCAGACTTTCATTGATCTTTCAATTTGTCAAAATATCTTTTCCTGAGGACTAAGTTTCTATATACCAAAATTGATCTGATGCAATATGTGCACTTAAGGAAGCTCTAAATGTAGGGTAGTTTTATTCACTTAGAGTGATCTGCCCTTAAAAATGAGGTAGAGTAACTGGTAATCTACACTTATTATTGACACAAATTGTAATGGATTAAAGTATTCTCACCATTAGACCAAGATAACATAATTTAGTAAAAACAGTGATTTCTGTTCACTAATACTCTATCCTTTTTAACATTTTTCCTGGGAAAATTTGGCAGGTACACTATGATGGAAATGAACCAGATAAACACAATATGTACGTCTTAATATGATATAATTTTCTTAAAGTCCAATAAACATTTTTCATTAGTGTGTAGAGCTTCGTTAACCTCCAGTGTACAACAAGAACATCAGATTTTCAGAAGAAAAAAAAGAAAGATTGGTATGGTCTCCCTTGTCTGATTCAGTGTATGATGTACCATCAGTCCTTGTCTTTAAACAGAAAGCTTTTTTTCAAGATTTTAGCTTGGCTGTGCTGTGTTTATGTGAACAGATACATTCCATCATGGGCCTTTCAGATCTATCTCACTAATGCACCTGATATATCAATGGTATTCTATACCCATGTTATGTTGGAGTAAAGCGATCTGAGGGCCAGTAATAACATAGGCTATGTCAGTGATACTTCTATCTAGAAATCACACAAAAGATAGTCCTCTTTCCTTTAATCATACTTTCATCGTAAGTGCCATGAGCTTCACTAGAAATTGCATGTTATTACAAGTCTTTACCATTTAGAACAATAAGCAGGGTTGGCTGGGAAATACCAGTTGTGGTATTTAATTACTTAATCCTCTTCATGCTACTTAGCACGCAAGGTCTTCACCAGAGACAGTGGTGATATTTACCACTGGTAATTACTGGTATTTCCTGTCCAGGTAAATAAATACTACAGATTTTCTCGAAATGAGAAATATTGGGAAATACAACTTTAAGTTTAATTTTTTTTATTTTTTGATTTATTCAGTGAAATATATAATTGAAAAATCAAAGAAACAAAGTAAATTTTAAAAACACAAGACGAATATGTCTCAAACTTTAAATTCAACATGTTCAGAGTGTCGGCACTGTGTATCACCACTCCAGGTACCCTACCCTCTGTGCATTTTGTAGCAAAAAACAAGTTTCTTTTTAACTGTTTAACAAAATTGAAATTTTTTAGTTAGACTTCTTTTTCACATTTGTTGTATTTTACAGATTATTAATTAAGTAAAGAACAAAATAAACTTGTTTTGGACCTTATATAAACACTAGGTATTACAATCAAACATGATGTTTTAACAAATTGACAGTGGTGTGCTCCTATTTTGAGAGATTTTTACCTTGATTAGAGTTAAAGGCTTTTTAAGTTTGACATCTTTTCCATTCTTTTTCTTAAGCTTTATACAATTATATAGAAAGGAATGTTCCACAAATGGGGTTTTTGGTTCATTATTATGGATTCTGAACTGTATAGACTACATCTGACACAATTATTGAACCAATGACACTGATCTATCAGTAAACTGTATTATGATTATTTACAAAGAGAAGTATTACTGGGTAGTTGGAAATTCTTAACAAAAAGACAATGATAAGATATTTCAGCTAATAATGTGTACTAGGTAGCTCAACAGATAGGATAAAAATTTTGAAAATGTAGCTTTACTTTTAAATTCCCAGCATTTCCCAGAAAATTGTACCAGTAATTCCTGGGAATTACCAGTATTTCCCGCCATCCTGGAAAATGAGTATTTTCCATTTTTTTGCCAACCCTGACTATAACTATAAGCAAATGTTCATAAAAATAATTTTTGCATAAAAATGGAAGGAGTGTGTGTATATGTAAATTAATTCTATTTTTAATGTATGAATATCAGCATTTTAAACCTACATTGTGGAACACTATTTTTGTACCATTCATGAAAACTCTGTGATCAATTGTGATTTAAATATACATATATTTAAAGTGTTGTTATGTAGATTGAACAGTAACTGTTACTGAAGAACATTCATGTTTAATAAACATGTTGATAACTGTAACTTATTTATCTCCTTCTTTTATTTATGTAACCTCTAGAACTGAATGAGAGCAATAGAAGAAGTAAAGGGAGAAAGGAGAGGGAGCCCCCCCCCCCTCCTCCCCTTGAGATTTTCAGAGTCATTAAAAGTATAAAGTAAATAAAGATGACCTTTGAACCCCCTGTACATCTTATATATATACTGCAAGGAAAAAGAAATGCAGGGTAACCGGAAGTTCCATGGTGTCTGTCTACTCACCAAGTAAAGAAAAAGCAGATTGCTGTGCAATTTGTGGGGGATTTTTCCACCATAGAATGTCTTATTTGTCGTTAGAGAGGAACTGGAAGGGTTTCCAAAAGACCGTGACAATAACGTTGATGCGTAGCAACGCCACGTCAAGACTGGGCTATTCATCCTGCCACCTGTATAATCGCCACCTCACTACACTGAAACCGCTATATTTATACAGTAGGCAATCATAATCCTTACATTCACCCCAAAAACAAAGAAATCGATTGCGCGATTTTGGTTTGTGAGCCTGTCAACTTTACGTCGTTGTTCCTCTTACTCAATTTTTTTCCCTTTACAAACCACCATCACAAACAGTCTCTGGATGATTTTAGACCATGCATTAGATCCATTCATTGTAGATAATGTCTTAACAAATCGTGCCTTGTGTACATTCATTTAAAGTAACTATATGGCTGTGCCCTAAACCAAAGCAAATTGGAAACTATACTCCGCCGAGTGACTTTTTATTATGCCCCCGTATCGAAGATTCGGGGGTATATAGTTTTTGCCCTGTCCGTCCGTCCGTCTGTCTACCTGTCTGTCTGTCCGCAAAAACTTTAACATTGCTCATAACTTTTGATTGGTTGGAGCTATGGCTTTCATATTTCACATGTGTATTCCATGTGACAAGACCTTTCTTTAGGTACCAAGATATTTGACCTTTTCACCTTGACCTTGGAGTTTGACCCACTTTTACAAAATTTTACCCAAGATTAACCTTGGCCATAACTTTTGAACATTTGGTGCTAGGGCCTTCACACTTTACATGTGCAATCCTTGTGACAAGATCTTACTTTATACCAACAACTTAGAGCCATTGACCTTGACATAGGATTTCTGACCTACTTTTAAAAACTTTAACCTTGGCCATAACTTTTGAACAGTTGGTGCTAATGCTTTCATACTTCACATATGTAATCCTTGTGACAAGACCTTGCTTTGGATACCAACATCTTTGACCCTTTGACCTTGACCTAAAAGTTAGACCTACTTTTGAAAAACTTTAACCTTGGCCATAACTTTTGAACGGTTGGTGCTAGGGCTTTCATACTTTACATTTGTTATCCTTGTAACAAGATCTTATCTTGGATTGCCAACAACTTTGACCCTTTGACCTTGACCTAAGATTTTTGACTGACTTCTGAAAAACTTTAACCTTGACCATAACTTTTGAGCAGTTGGTGCTAGGGCTTTCATTCTTCACATGTATATTCCTTGTGACAAGTCCTTCATTTAGATACCAATTATAGCCCATTGACCTTGACCTTGGAGTTAGACCTATTTTTGAAAACTTTAAACTTGGCCATAACTTTTGAACAGTTGGTGCTAGGGCTTTCATTTTTCACATGTCTAATCTTTGTGATAAGACCTTACTTTGGATACCAACAACTTTGACCTTGACATTGGAGTTTGACCTACTTTTGAAAACTTTAACTTTGGCCATATCTTTTCAACGGTTGCTGATAGGGCTTTCATATTTTAAATGTATATTTTTTGTGACAAGCTCTTTCCTTGGGCACTATTAATTTTGACCTTGACCTTGATGTTTGACTTACTTTTGAAAAACTTTAACTTTTTCCATATCTTTTCAATGGTTGCAGCTAGGGCTTTCATATTTCACAGGTATATTCCACGGGACAAGACCTTACTTTTGATACCAACATATTTGATTTGCATTTGAGAAATGTTTAACCTTTGCCATAAGTTGCCATACGGGGGCATCAGTGTTTCACAAACACATCTTTTTCGTGAACTCGACAGTATAAGTTATATGTATAGTTTGGTGTTCGTCCCCCTCTCCCTTTTCCATTGATGAAGTAGCCTTTTCCCGTCTAGTCATTAATCCCCAGTCCCTTTTTGAGATTCACTATAATCTTTTTTTGATAACCTACTTCCGTTTGAGGGCGGCTACGCAATTTTGTCTTGCACAGTTTTGACAAGGAGGTCACTTGGTTTCATAATTTTTACGGCTAAAGTGATAAATACATGTGTATTTTGATCGAAAACAAAGGCGTCGGAAGCAAACTGAAAGTGGGGGGGGTAATTGAAAGTGGGGGGGGGGGGCTAAACCAACAAAAAAGGGTACAGGCTGTAAGCCCCAATTTTCAATGCCTATATTATGTCTATCTTTGCAAAAAAGTGGGGGGCTAAGCCCCCCCCCCCTCCGGTTCCGACGCCTATGGAAAATATCTGTCAATGAATGTGTCGGATACGTCTTAGAAAGCAGATTCTTTATTTTCAAAGATGTTGGCTAATCACTCATTTATGATTTATCATGCATAATTCGTGCTTTGCATAACAGGATCTAATAATAACTCAAGAAAACACTAAACCACAGTCAGTATCAGTAACGATTTGATGCGTGGGTAAATTATTCTGTTTTGTTTCATTTTTTTCCGGTGTCATTGGATGTGTTTTTGTTCCCCTCTTTTGCTAGGAATTATAATTTGTGTCTGTCCGTCTGTCTGTCTAGCTTTCATTTTGTCTGTATGTAAAGATTTCATTTATAGTTTCTGGACGATATCTTAATTAAAGATTCTTTAGGTTTTGCAATGGGATTTTTATATCATAAATGAAAACACTACGACCTCAAGAAGACCCTATTAATTTTGAGGCCAAAAGGACAAAAGTCAGAGTTAAAAATTCATATAATACAGAACATGGTTTCCAGGTGATAACTTTACAATGAAATTTTTCATCAGCTTCCTGTGACTTAAAAAGAGTCCAATGATATTATCGATTTTGAGGTCAAAGGTCAAGGTAAGAAATTCATATACTGCATAAAATGGTTTCCAGATGAAACTTTAGTTCTCTTTGAGTTATTGCATATCATAACTCCCTATCTCTTTTGAGGTCAAAGGTCAAGGTCAAAATATTCATGTATTGCATAAAGTTGTTTCGATATGATAATTTTGGTTCTTCTTGATTTTTTGCAATGGAGGATGATATGTCATCTCCATATGACTCAAAGAAGACCCTAATTGATTTTGAGGTCAAAAGATCAAAGCCAGAAATTACTGATCCCAAGAGACAATCCTGGCTTTGTCAGACATAATAGCCGTCTATTACATTCATATCACCCTATGCTTATAGTGCACGTATGTGAAGGAGAACATGAAGGTGTTCTAATCGGAATTTGAGAAATACATTCCCTCATGAACTTTACATTAATGCACTATTCTTTTAGTGAAATATAACTGAATGTTTATAAGTTCAATACCAAAATCAGACTGGGACCAAAATAATTATTTATTTATTAAAAAATAATAATGTAATAATAATTTAATATAATAATAATAATTATTTATTCAGGTCTGGTCAAGAGGAGGGTAAGAGGAGAGAGGGTACGTGTACTAGGATCATTCCAAACTTGGGCTTACTTTAAATATTATTCTCAGTAAACTGACTGGCAAGCAATACCCTCTCCATACAAAAAGTCAAGGTGTACATAATACCCTCTCCATACAAGAAGTCAAGGTGTACATAATACCCTCTCCATACAAGAAGTCAAGGTGTACATATACAATGAACTAAATAAATGTATATATTACAATACGGGTAAACACACACACACCCTCCTCCCCCCCCCCCTCTCAGGTCCAGATCAAAATAAGCATAAATGAGCATAAAAATTAAAAGTATTTAAATAACATATTCAAAAAGAATATCTATTGGCCTTATATAAGCACTTATTTAATTCAGCAATGAACATAATACATTGCTTGTATGGTCGGTGTATTTTTGGCACACTGGTAATAACTTGACACTTTCAGTAGTCAGACAGTACTGATCTATTGAAAATGTCTCAATATTTATTTGAATTTCAGGCACAGAATTTGTGGGATTTCGCACCCCTGTACGTAATACAGCGCCCCAGAAAACAAAAGTGACATTAGATAATTGTTTTCATGTGCTTAAACTATAAAAGTTGTCAGCTTTGCGTCAATATATCACAGAAAACTTGCATCAATTTACGTCAAAAACAAAACAAAACGGTTTGATTATATATACTCGGTGAAAATAGAATTAGCACGTTTACTCCCCACTCGACAAAGTTTTGTATAACGTACAAAATCTTCAGTAATTGAAATTGGCACCATACATATTAATGTGCCACGGAGGATTATCCAGAGTGGAATATTTTTAAAAATAATAACTTCTCCCTGATATGATCCATGGTCAGAATCACTTAGTGGAGATTTCAGTAATATTTGATATTTCTCATGGGGGATGCCTAATAGAATATAATCTAAAGCATCCTGCTCCTATAAAAAGCTGCCTAATTTCCCTTTTAATCGCATGTTTCATTGAAAAGGAATTTTTCAAAACAGGAAGAGACAGCCGTGAGAGGGAATCTGTTTATTTTCTCTCTCTCATTTTGCGTCACGGCTGCTAATCAAAGCGTAACAATAGGCAAAATATATCTCACCCATCCAAAAGTTAAAAGTAACCCCTTTTCTCCCCCAGAGAATCAGAATAATTATTGGCACATTTTCATCTGGGCCCGGCGGGAATGATAACTATAATTAGCTAGATCTCCTTTCTTTGACAGCTGATGAGAGATGCGTCAACTTGCATTGTTGTCTTATTTCTCCGAGACTTCAACATCATCTCGATGTTTTGGCGGTCTGAGATGCATCTCCGTCTATCGGCTGCTGCACGCGCTAACGCGCGCTTTTTGCAAGTCAATAAACGTATAAATATGACAAGGCAACGTTCTTCGCAGCATTTTAACTGAACCCTATTGTTGTGGCAACAGGACGATATCGGTAATCTATATAAAGGAGTTTTTACTCAAACTTTTTTCATTCAGTGCTTGTATAACAACCGAGATAAACTGCAAACCAATATTTGGAGAGGTTCCTTTATTTTTACTTTTGAAAAACCTTTCACTAGGAAAGTGTAATGTTGAAGTGGTTTAACTATCAGTAGATAGTTAATTTTTTTTTAAGAAGAAATTTCGGGGAATTATTTCTGAAAATGTTTTCAGTGATAGCTTCATCTGCTCGGGTATCGTCTCCGTCTCCATCATGCAACAAATCAGGCAAGTGTTGTGTGTAAATTAATGTCCACCAATTGTTATTTATTCAACTAAATCCATTTATATTCATTACTTTCAATGTTTGATGTTTTCAACAATTATAATATACTTAATGTAATTTGATATGTTAGATAATTTTTGATTGATTTAACGTTAACATGGTAAAAGTTGCAGGTACCTCATTGCAATATATCCCACTGTACTCGAAATAAAACATATCATAGAGGCTGTCACATCTGTTTCATATTTGGATGTTTTACTGACTATAGACGATAAGGGCCAACTAACATCTAAATTGTATGACAAACGAGATGACTTCATCAACTTTCCTTATTTATGTTGTAATATTCTGCTATCACCTGCATGTGGTGTTTACGTCTCCCAACTTATTCAACACTCAAGAGCATGCTTTGAGTACGATGAATTTTTATATCGAGGCAGACTGCTGACAGATAAGTTGATGTTACAGGGATTTCAACAATCTCATTTAAAGTCATCGTTTTGTTAATTCTATGGTCGTTATAATGACCTGTTAGCAACTATAACCTATCATTGGGTCGTTTTTTGGCTGACGTGTTTCATAACAATTGTTAGGTTTTTGTTTTATATACTCAATTTGACTACGGAATATTCCGTCTACCTGATCAAAACATAAGGCTCAAGGGAGGTGTGACCGGTCAATAGGGGATGCTTATTTTTCCTAGGCACCTGATTCCACCTCTGGGACTTTCAGGGTCTTTGTTTTATGCCCTGTTCACCGATTTGTATTGTTTGTAGATTTAAAAAAAATTGGTCACCGTTATCTTCAGCTTTTTCATTTATCACATTAACTGTACAATTACTATACAGAAACATTTATCACATTAACTGTACAATTACTATACAGAAATATCTCTTAGCCTCTACTTTGGAATCATTGCTTAAAAAGTCACCATGTCTGCATTAGTTAACTGCAATAAATATTTCTTGAATTTAAAAAAAAAATCAGATGTGACATTTTACTTTTTAAAGTTTTTATACGAATGACTTTTAAAAAGCGACAAATATAATGAATATTGCTTTTGCCATTTACAATGCTTTACATTTTCGTGTGAAATTTTTTATGCACACATAGGTCAACAAATTTTCTTCAGATGATAATTTCTGAAATGTCTAGTGTACTTTCTGAAATCTTAAATGTTTTTTTTTTCTTGCTGATTTGATTATTAAAATGCCACTACTTATATGATATGTCATATTACCCCATTATGTCGTCACCATGTGTATGTCAGGTCACCATTTGTATGTCAACAACAACAAGGAGACATCCAAAACCTTGTCCGTATCCAAATTTCAACAACACTGTGACATTTCTGTTAAATAATTCTTATAAAAAATAGGAGCTGCAACCAGATCGAACTAGCAAGATGTAGCTTAATTGTCAATACTCAGGATGATTACGTTTATGCTAACAGTTTATTTATACTGTTTTGCTTCATATTAACGTGCATCCTAATTATGTTTTCATACAGTCTTTGCAAAAATGGTTTTTTTTTTACCTTACCGCGATCATTAAAGCTTTAGGATATACACACAAACTAGTAATTATCCTGCAAGTCTAGATCGTAAATTTTGAGAAAATGATGGACAGATATAGATTTGTCTTCTTTTGTTTTGTTTGTTTTTATTTTGGTTGTGTGTGTATGTGTGTGTTTTTAAATTTTTAAAAAATATTTTAATTTATGAACATTAATTAATGAACATCATTACCGCAGACAAAACGCTAGTATGGAATTCAGTGGTCTAAACCACTCTTTCTTTAGTGTAGTCTATTGATACCAAATTCTTCCTTGATATTTAATCTTCTCACCTATTCATCCTGTCCAGAAAACTAGGAATATAGACTTAAGTATTTTGCCCCTCGACACAAATACATTGCACGTCATAAATACATTGCACCTTGACATAAATAAATTGCACCTTGACATAAATACATTGCACACTGACATAAATACATTGAACGTCGACATTGTTAATTGAATTTTGACATGATTACATAAATACATTGCACGTAGACATACATTTGTAATAATTTTGTATGTTGACATTAACACGTTTTGTTTTTCATAATACTTCGAACTTCGCCATGAATACGTTGCTTGTTGTACATTCACTTAATTCACCTATCGATTTAAGTAAGCACCACATCAACTTGATCTGAATGTTAGTTCAACGTCAGTAAAGACTTCACTATTTGGAACCGATAAAAACGATTTAAATATTAGCAGCGCTTGCGTAATTTTGTGTTCCAATCTTGCCCTTCTCTTTTTCTTTACGGAAATAGATAATTTAGTGTTAACAAAAACATGTATCATAAGAAACATGTATATGAATTATCCATTCAATGAATATTTTAGAATCAGCAAGTCAATTTCTAGTGTTAACAAAAACATGTATCATAAGAAACATGTATATGAATTATCCATTCAATGAATATTTTAGAATCAGCAAGTCAATTTCTACTGAAAATTTGACCAGCATTTTCAATATTAAATGAGGGATATACTTTTAAGAACTCAATAAATGCAAAAATATCATAAAATCTGAAAAAATAATGATATAAGGTAACACAATTGTGTCACTGTATTTGACATCTGAATGTATGGTGACATATTTCTGTCCTTTGTATGCAACTATTCATAAACAAGTTGCATGAACTCTTCATTACGTTGTACATGTAGGTTTCATTATTTGGAGTTTGATATAGCCAGTGGAAATGATAATTTCTTTATTATCATAATTCGTAGAAATATAAGTTGCATATAGAAGAAACAATAATTTTCACTTGTTTCAACTATGCTGGAAATATTGAAACATAGGCTTGTTGTAAATTTTGAATTTACTAGAGGGAGGTTGATGCAAAAGAACAAGGTTCACTTAGAGCCTTTTTTGGCCCTGTGAATTTCAGAAAAACTGAAACTGCTTGGTTTTAGTTGACAGTGCATTAAATATCATTTAGACCTTTGATGACTGCGTATCTGTCAAAAATGACGTAATCTTCTGGCTAGCCAATGCATTGTGACGTCATGAAATGGGTCATTTTCCTCATATCCTGAAAAATTCTACAAAACGGCCAATTCTTCAAGCTACTTTTCGATATTTAATACAAAGCACAACCTCTCATCTAAAATATGCAACTATTAAATAATAGAACTATTTCTGAGGATTACAAAACGTGTTTTATTTTTTTTTTAGATCAGAGGGTGCGCTCATATTATTTCTCTTCTGTGAAAGTACTCAAATATACTTGTTTTCCTTAAAATTCAAGAACATTGCAATTCCATGAAGCCTGTTTTCCAAGACCTTGGTTTTAAGGAGAAATTTTTTAATAGGAAATGAAAGCACTAACTCTCTACTTTATCTTGATGTTTAAAATGGAACATAAAGTGTTAGCCAATAAATTGGTATATCTACAGGGCCATTTTATGCATAAAGTGAACCTAGCTCTTTAAAACATGATATTTTGCAAATCTAGATAACGCGCCAACGCATTCATTCAATTTGTCATGTAACGCATTCATTCAATTTGTCATGTAACTGCATTTATTAAACTGCAAATGCAAACTGGTTAGAAGAAAAAGAAATATGATAAAAAAAATTTTAAAATGAAAGAATTAGAACATTTCTTAATTTTTTTCATTTTCCATGCTATGGATTACAAATTAAGGTGTATTCACAAAATTTCATAACGAGCAAACGTACTCATTCAATTTGAAGCATAACTAGAAACGCAAACATAATCATTTCATACTACGTTATCTTGGATAACAGGAAAAGAGGAGATCGACAGGGATTTAGAGAGAAAGAATATTAATTTGCAAATAACACCCTTTATCTCTAACACGTGCATTAATTGTGTTTCAATTCTTTTGCAATATGTTTAAATCTTGAGTTTCACAGAGCTACCTTTGTTTTGATGTTAAGCCCGATTTGCTATCTGTTTATGTTTATTTAGAATACCGAGTTTCACTATATATGTGGATATAGCTAGTCTATTGCTGCTATACTGATTTGCTATCTGTGTGTATTAGAGTAGTGAATTTTACTGTATAAGTGGTTAGCTAGTCTATTGCTGCTATACTGATTTGCTGTCTGGTTATATTAGAGTATTACTTTACTTTACTAGTAGATAGCTAGTCTATTGGCGCTATACTGATTTGATACCTGTGTATATAAGTGTATTGAATTTCACTATATAAGTGGATATCTAGTCTATTGCTGCTATACTGATTTGCTATCTGTGTATATAAGCGTATTGAATTTCACTTTATAAGTGGATAGCTAGTCTTTTGCTGCTATGCCTGATTTGCTATACTAGTAGATAGCTAGTCTATTGCTACTATACTGATTTGCTATCTGTGTATATTAGATTGTTGAGTTTCACTGTGTAAGTGGATTGTTAGTCACCGCTGCTATACCTGATTTGCTGTCTGGTTATATTAGAGTGTTTAGAGTGATTTGCTGTCTATATTAGAGTAGTGAGTTTCACTAGCTAGTCTACCGCTGCTATACTGATTTGCTATCTGTGTATATAAGTGTATTGAATTTCCCTTTATAAGTGGTTAGCTAGTCTACAGCTGCTATACTGATTTGCTGTTTATTTTACAGGACATCACCACCAGACCCATCAGATGAACACAGAGATGGAGCATAGTTGTGAGGTTAGCACTGCCAAGAACATTCAGGATAAGGTCGGTGTTTCTCCTCCATTATATTGCTATAATGTTGGTACTTGTAGTGTAAGCTAGCATGATTTCAAATATTCTTGCTTCTCAAGTGCTGTTAATTTTTTTTTTCAAGAATTTCCTCTAGTTTTGAAATTCTGCCTAGAAATACATATTTCCCCGCCATAATCCCAGATACAATTCATTTCCAACTGAAGCAAGTGTCTGAATATTGAGTTCACAAAGCTTAGAACATGAAAAAAACTTAAATGTACTCACCATAAATGTGGGTTAGTGATGCTGTTCCATGTTCTCTAGTTTCTCAATTCTTTGGTTGTCAAAGGCCACGCAAACTTTGGGTCTTTTGACAATTAAAAACAAGGGTCTCGAGTTGTTGGAAAGGTGGTAGCTAACTAGCTGAGAAGGGTATACTTTGTAACAAGCAAAATTAATCAATACAACGAGAATTACAAGTTTGGTACATGTACATACAATTTATTTCAAACTATTGCCTTTTACTCGTGTTAAATCTTTTATGTAACATAAACGTTAACTTTGTATTAGACAACTCACAATTTTAGGGTGGTACTTGTTTACATCCTTTATAGAAATTGACTGCACACGATAATGACAGTTGATTTCATTAGCTTCTTAACATCAGATAAATGGGTTCAAAACACGCTGCATTAACTGCTATCAACTATTTTCGTCGTCAATACAAGTAACATTTTCAATATCAGTTTTTGTTACTCGAGTACTAAACAAGAAAGCTGACTCTAAATCTTTATTTTGATCTCTTCCAGTAATATGTATCAATGCAAATGCAAAATTTTCAACTTCTCATTAAAACTTAGAAGGCCTACTTAATTAGTGTGTCACTGAACATGTATCTGCTCGGTTAGGCTGTTCTTAATTTGACCCACTTGTCTCAAACAACGTAACTTGCATGTTGAAGAAATTATCCAAATATTATACTTCATCAATTTTCATACTTGCCCAGTGATTATCTATACAGCTGAAAATTCATTTTAATCAAGCATGTTTTTGTGAACAAATTAAATACACATTTTTGAAATAAATGTATTGCTTCTAAACAAAGACTCAAACATAAGATATGGTGACTTTTGCAAAATTTTTAATACTAGTAGTTTTTGCATGATTTATATTTTACCTTCTAATATTTAGTTGCTCCTTTTTACAATTATATCATCCTTAAGGCGACTATGTATGCTTTGAAATTTTTTATAGAACATACTTGGAATGGAGTACCATTCTTTCTAGGGCGTTTTCCAAACATCGTTTTTAGAGGTTCGCATGTTCGACCGATTGTCTCTTTAAATTGACCAAAAATGTGTTTATAATTGGTTTTTATGTGGTTTTGTTTTCCGAAAATTAAAGCGTAGAAACGTACTTCATTAAGTTTGAAGAATTGCTAAGAAGGAGATATCTAAAGAAATTAGTATCATGTGTGCTTGTTTAGTATTTCCCAGAAAACGATTTTTAGTTATTAGCATTGAAATTTAAAATTGACTATGCGCTTTGTATTAAATAATGCACCGTTTCATCTCAAAAATTAATCACGAGTTTTTTTTCTCAAAAACATAATGTAGTTGGTACACTTCCATGGCCAGGTAACCGTCTTGATTAAAATCCAACTGAAAACATTTGGAGTTGAATAAAGGAGAACATTTTCAAATTATGGTTACGACTTAAAAGTTATGTGGGAGTGACTCTAAAGAGAATGGTGCTCAATGCAGAAAAAAATTCTTAAAAACTTAATTCATAGCATGCCTAGTAAAAATAAAACCGTTGTTCGTGCAAAAAAAGAGCAACTAAATAAGAAAAAGTAAAGAATCAGCTGTCATTTATATACCAAAAATCCCATACTGTTGCATAATTCATGATATTTTGTGCTTTCCTCTTAGATTTGCTAAGTAGTAATACATGTCTTTCCAAAATGTGGATTTAATTCTTTCACAAAAGCATGTCAGGTTAGAAAGTTTTTGACATCTACATTTGACCCTTTGATGACAAATGCAATATTTACTTACGAAATCAATTCTGTTTAATTCTAAATTCTTAGAGCAACCAATATTTTAACACATTACTTTGAAAAGATCATTGGCTTTGACTCGTAAACAAGACCTTTAAAAATATTCCAGCATCTAGAAAAAAAAAATGTTAAAGCACCTTGACATTTCATCATCTGACCCTCTCTGCATCGTTCGAAATGAATTCATTGCACCAAAACTATTTTTTGTGTTTTAATATCCTAATCTTCATATACAACATGACTTCTCGGGTGACTTCGGCATTAGGTGACATAAAACTCCAGGGCTTTCCTGTCCCTTTAGGGCAAATATTCTGGACTTTCACCCTCGAAGCCATGTGATATATGTATAATAACCGCTAGATGGTACTGTAAAGACCCAGCTATATTTGTAATTATTGGCGCTATTGGATACCACAGTATCCTAGACATGAATCAGACTTTTGCCGACATGTGGGAAATCTATAGTGATGTTATTGGTAACCACTGTGTCCTAGACAGGAATCAGACTGTTGCCGACATGTGAGAAGTCTTTAATGATGAAGGCCTAAAATACCACTGGAACTTGTTCTCCTGGACAACCACCAAGGAAAAACCTTTGTAAATGATTAGAAAATGCACTGAAATGTTTCTGTGGAACACGAAAGATACAGTACCGACAAAAGAAGCCAACCTCTCAGGAAAAAATAAAAAGTCCTAAAATTGTTCTTTGCGTCTTAAAAAAATAAACTGATGATCATGCAGAAATGATGTTGTTAAAAGCTTTGTGCCTCAGCGTACCCGGTTGATTTAAATTATGCTCATCATCAGTGTTTTTAATCTGTTCAATTTTGGCTTTTACATGTAGTCTGATTTGGCGAAATCTCTAGCCCAGAAAATACTAGTACCTCCTATTTTACCCCGTCTTCGCCCTAAGGTGACTATACCTTAAGACGGGGACCATCAGATCCTGTATTTTTCATAAATTTGTTTGAACCCTCCAAAATCTCAAGGATTCTTTCCAGTTCCTTCCATTTCTTCCTTCACTCTCTCTCTTAATCTATCACTATAGCATGTTCAGCGTTAACTGCAATTATTCAGTAGAACAATAAGAAGCAGAATTATACCATTTTATTTATCACAATGACTTAATGCTACTTAGAATCCTTTGTTGTTCTCACTAATTTAAGTTAGTTAATGGTTAATTCTTAAAGAGTGCTATGAATAACCAGATATGTAATAATCCCTCCGAATCATATTCCTGGAAACTTCGATATTTTAAAAGAACAGCGTCCATATGACAGTTGTTCAAAATGTCAACCGTTGCTATGAAAGTATATCAGAACACCAAAATGTTTCTTGTGTGTCACTGCAAGATTGTACAAATTTTCACACCAATCTCATTATATTATATTTATCATTTTGCACAAAGATGTCGACGACAATGACTTAATTTGCACTTTTCTAAAGTATAAGGATCGGGAAAACTGTGAAAAAATATCTATTTGCAGATTTTGTATTGTTTGTAGATTTTTCCAGATCTACCAATGTTCATTATCCCCACCTTTTCCGTTGCTTTTTAAAAAAAACTGTTGAAGTTCCTATGTTCTCCTTTGCATAAAATATGCAATAAAACGATATACGGTTAGCATAAACAGCCTTTAATGAAAATAAGTTCTATGCTACACGGAAACCTGAAAACGACCATCTTCCCGACCCGTCACTTTTGTATGATCCTTGACCAGGTGATGGTGACACAACCATTACCACATCGGCTTCATTTAAGGTTAGAATTGCGAATCCTGTTGCCATTTCTTCTTCATATTGCTGTTCAGTGTCTACATATATGGACCCACGGTACTGGCCATTCTGAAGGAGATGTACTGAAACTTCACCGTATTGTCCAGTTTCTCCATCTAGGTGTTCCCCTGCAGCAAATGCTGTCCAAGAAAATGCGTAGATTCCCTGGCTCGGCGCGGTAAAGGCCCCAGAATGATTATTGTAGGCGTTGCCATGGTTAGTAACGACTGTATCGAAGATGTACACGTGACCATTCCCAACATGTCCAAAGTTTTTGGAGATGTACGCATAGAAAGCAACAGCATTATTACTCTGAGGCAGCGGCAGCAAGAGACGTTTGGATAAATCTTCTGTAAAGTTTATAAAAAAAGATTGTAATGTTTATTATCTTTGAAAGTAAACATTTAAATAGTCTTCCTGTTTAAGACAAATTTCTTTGCCAAAAATCCAGTAAAATATAAGATTTATTTATCGTCTTTCGAAATGTACCTTTGTTATTAAAACTAACCTCTAAAGACCATTGTTGAATACAATTTTCTAACGTTGTGATGAATGATACATGGCATAATTCAGTTGTTATAAAAGCCTTTCACATGTATATTACTTATGAATACTGATTCTTAATCCTAGTATATATATATATGATATAAATGTTATCTTCATCCGATGACAATAGGACAACATGCATCACTTCAAAACTGACTGAGTTAATACTAGTATCCAATGATACTGTTATTAATTCGGTTTACTGAAACTTTTACATGCATAGTATTTAAAACGAGGACTACCTTGAGATCTTCGAATTTCTTTGTTTTTCTCTTGTATTGCACTATTTTCTATACTTTCTGTCTGCTGATTGACTCCCTTCTCAGATTTGCAGAGCTGGTTCATCTCGTTTATAATTTTCTTCAATGTATGAATTTCTTCACTGTGTCTTTGTAATTCTCGATTTTGGCGTTCAATCACGTGGTCCCTCTGTTGTATAATCTTTTCTTGCTTCTGCACGATTCGCAGAACCTCATCCATCTTTCGCTCAATTTCCCGCCTCCATGTTTCATCAACGTCTGCTTTCGTTTCAACTAGAAACAACAATATGATAATTGTCACGACAGAGTTGAACGGTGTCATCGTGGATTTTCAAATAAACAATGTTGAATTGGAAAGATAAGAGAACTCGATTTGTGACCTATGATTATCTTCAGACATAAATAGCAGGAAAGGGAGCAAACATTTCTCGGACAGTGAAAATGCATAAAATTCAGGTGAATGCTTGTGGAATACCGTTAAATAAAAATGATCAGAATGCATCCATTCAAAACTGAGTATTCAAAATATGCATTTATTACTTAACGACGTATATAATCATAATGAAGTTGATATGTCAGTTGATGGTTCTTATGATTATACGAATGCCAAACACAAGCTATTGATCGAAGTTTATAGATTTTTTGACAACCTATTACATTTTTATAGTATAAAGACATGGTCCAAAACAAATATCAAGAAAGTACTAAGCAGGCCAATTTCAAAAAAAATAATCATGATTGAAACTATATTAAATATTAAAATAAATAATAAAAAATAAAATATTAAACTGAATATGAATTTAAAATGTATTCCAATTGCTCCAGTTCATCTGCAGGGAATTCTTGCTCTAAGCCTAATTTGCTTGAATAATTTTTGTTTTATAACTTATTTTCCAAAGGCTTTAAATGCTTTTTAAGATCAGACCTGTCCTAAAGACTAAACGATCAATGAAAAAGAACCACTTTTGGCAAGAGCTGGTGTACTGCTATTTCATATAGAAATAAATCTTCACCATTAAGAAATATTTATAATCGTTGATATTAAGGACAATAAAACAATCGCTAGAAAGTATGTCTGCTCTCTCATGTTATTTGTTAGAATTTTCAAATCATGTTAGTCTTCATCACTATCGTTTTCCAAGAGAGATCCTCTGAAGTATTAAACATTATAGTATTTTAGCACCAGGAAATCCACCAATAGTAGTCCCATGTCAATTCTGTCTTTAAAACAATTAACAGTGGCTAGAGCGATTTAATAATACATGTCAATACATACCAAGGAGGGATTGTTGAACAATACATCATGACGGCGTGTTGTATTTAGAGGGCTTTGTGTTTCTATTGATCAAGTGTTCAAACACAAATTTGAATACCTTATTAATGAAGGTTCAATCTTTAATCGCTATTTACATTTTCAAATATTTAAATTTTGGTATTTATAGACATATCAATTTTGTTTTATAGACATGTCAAAAACCTATTTGTCGAGGGCATAAATTAAAAGGACAAAATAAAGCCTTAGCGGAATTAGTCTGGTTCTTACATCATAAATTCTGAGAAGAGATTTCGGCTTCACATGATCTGAACAACTGACCGATGTGAACACGTGACTGATCTGAACACATGACTAATCTGAACACATGATTGATTTGAGCACGTGACTGATCAAGTTCATTTCCAACTTTGTTCTCAATCCCTCATATGTATCGCATTTCAAAAGATTTAACATATAATTTTGTAATGGCTATAAATCTTCTCACTAAGGACTGATAAAAACATAAAAATAATATTATTCTCCGTAATATGAGAAGACACTGTTTACTGAAACCCCTATCAACACAAGTTCTCAACGATGTTTTATTTTCAGACAGAGCATTGTGTATTAGATGTTACGACGCACATAAGATCGGAAGACGGACGGCTTAATTCTTTATACTATCCAAAAATAGTAGACAATAAAATAATGATATTGTTAGTGTCCTTGGGAGTAAACAATGCTCCTGAATTTATTCATCAAATTAGATCGATTTGTGTCTTTCAATGAAATCTGGGGATAATGAACAGTGGTCCAATGAAAAAATACAAATTATGAGTAGAGCAGTCAAGGGCCTCTGAAAGCATCAGAGGTGGGATCGGGTGCTATGGAAGATTAAACATCCCCTATCGACCGATCGCATCCACCGTTTGCTCTTCGTCATGATCGTGTAAAACGGAAAAATCCGTAGTCAAATTCAATATAAAAAATGGATCAACAATTAATATGAAAGACGTCATTCAACCTAACAAAGATTGTATTTGAAAACAAGGTCATTATGTCAACCATAGAATTTGCGAAATATTGACTTAAAACAAGTCCTGTATGTGCCCTTGTATTATCAAGTTATTTGCCAGTAACCTGTCTCGTTTTACAAATAATTCGTAAGAAGTATGTGCTCATGCGTATCGAGTTAACTGGAAGACATAAACCCTAAATACGGTTTATAATGGAATATTACTACATAAAATTGAGGAAAGTTAGGGAAGACTAGAAAAGTTGAAATCACGTTTATCGTAAAGTTTAGTTGTCAGTTTGCCATCAATGTCTTTCTCAAGTAAAATACCCATATATGAAGTAGTTATTTCAGTAGTTATGTGGTGTCTTTTATTTTGAGTTCAATAGTATACATCGAACCAACATAAACTTGAAAATAAATGTTAATAAAACCTCATTGATATATCTAAATGTCGAATTGAAGGTCACGTCAAGAGACTTTTTTTCATGCAGAAGTTTTTGAAAAAAAATCCTGCTTCTGAAGACTTTAAAACAGTCTGTTAATAATAGAGAGCAATTTGTAACCATGGGAATTCAAACAAAACCGAGTTTCAAAAACTTCATAGGTAATCAATGAGGAACTCCAACATCTTATTCTTTCAATTTCAGAGTACTTGTGTAAAATCAGAATGGTTTTTTTTTTACAAAATAAATTTTTAGATGACCAATAAAAAAAAGAGAGGAAAATTGTAAGTAACATTCTTATTAAAAAGCAGTTATCTATTACCTGGGTATGTCAAAAAGCTTGGTCTTAAATTCATAGTGGGGAATTGTTGCAATAAGTGTTGAAACGTAATACGTTTTGATACTATTGATTTTGGTAAAATTTGGTGATTTCAAATTTTGAGGAATTTTGGAATCCGATAGAGGTATGCAATTCAAAATCGATTTGGTTGATAGGAATATTGAAAGTATTTGAAACTGATTATTGATTTTAAGGAACCTCTTCTTTAGAAATGGCACTATGAGTATAATTGAGATTACCGCTTGTAGAATTTTAATAATGAGCCTCACAAACAAAGACTGTGCTATTCACGTAATATTATTGACATTTTACTAGATAGGTATAATATGCTTTGTGGCATGATTAAAAAGATTTCTTTAAAGTTGCTAAAAAGGGTTTTCTGATATTTCTTCTAGTGTGTGTGTATATACATGAAAGATTCTTTGAATGACTTTCAATAAGTTTTATCGAAAGAAACGAAAATCTTATACATTGCATTCCTCTTATATATTAGATAAACCATATTTTACCCAAAGCCATATGCTAGGGTATGAACAACATAAACTAATTCACTAAGAATGATGAAAGAAGTTTAAGTGTACCGATGTACTTTTATTTGTTTTCAATCATTCAAATTCTGCTTCTATAGACATCCTTAGTTAGCTCATCCCATTTCATCTTATCTGTAGTTTCCATGCGCTCGAGTTCTATTTATTCAAGTAGTATATGTAACAATTCTTAAATATATTCAGAGAAGGATTTTGATATGTTTCAGATAATCTTCTAAAGTTTTACTCTCAATTTTAGATTTAGATGTACCTCAGGGATATACCTCTGTCGAATTAAATGTAAAAAGATTACATTTCTTGACATAAATACATAATACGAGAGTAGATGAAGAACTCCTGATTTGAGTTAGTTTAATTTATAGGCAGATTGCATCTGCTCTCCTTTTGTGAGTAACGATGGAAACACGAACCATTTTACATTTTTTCCGATGTTTGTTTTTTATGTACCTTGAAATCAGAAGCAAGATAAATCACTCATTAGTAGAAGTTAATTAGTCAAAGAAACTGAGATTGAAATGGGTGTACGAGCATAATATACCTCAGGTGAGTCACCAGGTGACTCGAAGAAAAACTGAATATCGGTAAATCGAAAAAAGAAACAAGGTCATGAAAATGAGTTTTGTTGAGACCAAATTAATCTCACGTCATGAGGTAAGGTCTCATTTGTGAAATATGAACTCATAGCACTGATAAAGATGAAGTTAATGTTTCACATTTAATCAATCGTCTGCTGAGAACGTGAGACGGCAAGCAAAGAAGCAGACGATAGCGAGGGCAATCATTTCCTCCATCTTACATTGTCTTAAGTTATTACCTGCCAATACTTGTCATCCATCATTTAAAATTGAAAAATCGATAAAAGTTTGTTTTTGAAATTAGTGAGATATCACGCATATTTTATCGATGTGACGTATGCGCAGCCAAGGAAGCAAATCGGTTTCCGTTCTGGCCTAATTTCAGAAGAGGAAAAAAAAATGACATGTTCGCAGCAAATATTTCAATACATGTTCGTGGCATTTTTTGCTTAGAATATTCCTTACGAAATAAAAAAAATAATACTACATGTATTTTAGAATGATGTAGTAATTACGTTTGATTGTCCTAACAGATAATAACAACTCATTGTATTGTTTAGAGTAACATAATATATAGTTTTTTCTTTAACCCCTTTGTGTAAAATATTTCATTAGCATATTTTAATTCAATCAATAATCAATACCATGTGAAATTGCAAGAGCTTTTTCGCTATGATGCCATCGTATCAATTTTGACATTATTCAAAGATCTTATACATCAACGATGTCACTGTCCAACGACTTGAACATATATGAGTTTTGTGTATTGTTTTCTGTTCGCAATAGATTTTTGCAGCAATGTTCAAATTTTGGTCCCAAAGCCCTATCGTGCCTACTTATCTAGCCAAATTGAATTAAAATCAGCTGTTTTAAGATTTTTTGTATCTTTTTATTTTAAACGTTATAACTATGACCTATTTTTTTGTATTATAGGAAAGGGAGACATTCTTGTCATATGGAATCTTCAATATGGTAGCAGGAAAAAGGACTGCAGAATTGCTTCATAAACAACATAAACATGAACAACATCGTCAATCTCATTCGGATGTATGTGGATTCACGGATTTATTTCACCATGTCAAACAATCAAACGAATCCACTCCCAACCCTTCTCCAAAAGCACGACATCAACGTCCAACGCATGCGCACACCATTGATCTGTCAGAGCATGTGAATGCCTACAAGTCACATGGTCACCATCAGAAAAGTTCCAAATGTGATCTCTCCAAGCCCCAAGACGTGCAAAAACACAAGAAATCCGAGGACCTTCAATCAAGTAGTTCAATGGATTCCATCTTGTATAAATCCGCTGTGAGCTGTCATAAGCCGCTTAAGTGATCTTTGATCAGTTGTTTATTTGGAACACTGCAGAGACAGGTGTTGGAGCTTCAAAACAATGTGCTTTACCGATATATTAATGTTGTTTAAAGGATCAGAAAAAAAGATTTTCCAGTACATTGTACTCGTGGTTGCTTTACAGATCCACTTCTTGCACATGACGTCTGCAATCCCTCCTTTAAAGCAGAAGTACAAAAGGACTTGGAACTCCAGAAAACATTGAACGAAGTTACAATAACTTAAAGAATCATATCATTGTGTATACCATCTCTCTTGTTTGTGAATACTAGTATATATTTCTACTTTTATGCTGAAATCATATAAATATCATTTAGTATATAATTTTTTTTATCATAATTTCATTATCTTTCTTAACCATTCATTCCCCAAGACGGCTAAATTTCAACATAAATGCTCTTCATATAAGCTTTAAGCTTTAAAAATGAATTGTAAGTAAATTATGTAATGAAAAATTGTCCATCACATTTTTCATCTATTGTGGCCAGTGCGAATAAAAAAAAGTTATAAATATTGTAAATCATTGTAAATTTGCATTAACAAAAAATGTCTTTGTAATATGTGATGCTTTGTTTTCATTTACTAAATGAGTTAATTTGCTAAATTTGCTAATGAAACCTACATATGAAAAATATATTTCACAAAATTTAAGTTGGTTGCTGAAATATTCAAATTATTTGAAAAGTTCAAGCAGTAATGTTCTTAATTATGGTCAAATACAGAATTTTTTAAAGATGAAATATGGAGATAACGAACAGTAATCAAGCTCAAAAGTCCATTGAAACAATACAAATCGGGAGAAGAGCAAACACGGACCTCTAAAAAAATCAGCGGTGGGATCACGTGCCATGGGGAGTAAGCATCCCCTGCCGATCAGTCACACTCACCGTGTGTTCATTGTCATGATTGGGCGAACCGAAAAATCAGTAGACAGTGTAATAATAACGGCCCGACAATTAGTATGAAAAACGTCAGTCAACATTCGACGTAATAATAGATTGTATTTGCTGACAAAGTCATTGTATCGACCATAGAAATTACGAAATGTTGACTTAAGTCTATGGCTACATTTCACTTAGCAGGTCAATTTAAAGAGATCATTTTAGTGAAACTAACTATGATAAAAAAAGAGTCAGTCCCAAAATTTGAAGAAGATTATATAGTAATATGAAATGAGAAAGTAAAATACATATTGAAAATAAGATACAAAATTTCTTCTAATACGTCTGACTGTGACCTATAAATAAGTCATTTAAAAAAAGAAGTAGGTTTAAAAATTGCATATATATATCAAGCTGAAAAAGATATTTAAGAAATGAATTTGATTTTTGAAGATCCATGAGGACATGAACAACGACGTTTCAGGTCGGCATATTTCATGAAGCGCGTTACGCAGCACTGTTAAGGCGTACTTCAAAGAAATCAACAGAATATAAACGTGCATAAATACATATCTTTTTAGACTGAATTTATTTTTGTAAAGGTACTATATTATCTTATGACTTTAACATTCCTTGAAATAACATTGTATACCCCGCTCTGTACTGAATTTGGTTTGGTCACGTTATTTGTTAGTCACGTGATAAATGCATGTAATGTGTACTGTATGTAGGTCACAAACAAATTTCAATATCGCAAGGGCATACCCTAGTTAAAATTAAAAATTAAAGTAATAGTTTGTTTCTACATAACTTGTAGTTGATGGAAAGTGCTGCTGCTTTAAATAGAATTCGCATTTTATTAGTTTAAATTTCAAGTTATCTGGCTAATGTTGAAATATGTGTGACCTTTACCAAGTATTTTATGTGTTTATTAAATCATGCTATCGATTTCAGGAAAGCAGCAGCACTTTTCAAGTTAAGGAATACGTCCGTTATGTGTATTCAAAAAATGGTCAAGATCTATTAAGTGTATGCCCTTGCGAAAAGGCGATTTAATGAGGCACCTCGGCGTGAAACATGCACACCCTGTAGACAAAAACACGGTAGAATTAATTCAATACATTCTCTCGATATTTTTTAAATAATGGCACTAAACAAACGTTTCAGATTTGTATTAATGATCTACCTAAGATTTGCAAATAATATTCTGTTTAATAATAAAATGCATTTTTCACTGTGAAAAAATTACTTGATCCGCCTCTCACTGCACATAAAATGCGTCAAACTTTACCATGATGACGTCATGTCGACAAGTGCATTGCGATCAGTGACTTGTTTATATCTTGCTGTGTGGGATTTAACTAGCGACAAAAATGAATGCAGTGGTAAGTTTTGATGTAGTTCATTACTCTTATGCAGCTTAGATTCGCAAATTATTTCATTTTCTGTTATTGTGAGGAATTGCTATATTTGTGTGATGTCACAGTAAACTTTTCCCGTATAAATTAGGCCCCGCCCCCTTTATGCAGCCTTAATAGAGCTGCGTAGCGCTTCATGATAAATATGCCGGCGTGAGGCGTTGTAGTTCATGTACCTCATGAATTTTCAAAAATTAAATTCATTTCTTATATTTACATTATTTCTCTGATGAGTTGCCACATATATTTGTCATTCAACTGTCATTTTTAAAGCAAAACAGTTTGCACTATAGTTTTGACGTCCAGTACGATATTATGACGTAACAATGGAAATATATTCATGCTCATCCATGGTAGTTCATGAGAAAATGAACAGTCTTCTTAATTGCAAAGAATCTTAAGGAAAAATATTTGGAAATGTAAATATTTGTTTGTGACGGACATCATGACAAAATATGTATAATACATGAGTTTGAAAAGTTATTTTGAGCCAAAAGTGGTGATAAAATAGCCCATTTAACACGCACTGTAGCAACCACTAATGATAAAATGCCGCTTTATGATTGAAATATCATTAAGCGTTACAATGTCATAAATTATTGCATAAATAGTTGACATCCTCAACCGCTTCATGATATAATTCTTTCATTAAGCGGCAGCATTACAAAAATTGCTAAATTTATTTATATAAATTTGTATTTCACAGTTTAGCTTGAAATTATTATCTCCAGTTGATTTGAGCACTAACTCTATTCTCTCTGGTGGGTTTGAGGACTTACCCTAATCTTTTCGGTGGGTTCGAGGGCTAACCCTACACTCTCGAGAGATTTCGAAAATTAACCCTTATCCATCAGGTGTGTTTGAGGAATAACCCTAAACTCGGGTGGGATCGATCAATCGAGTGGTTTTACAAGACTTACCGTTAATGTTTTGTGTTTGTTCGCGCAAGACAAAGCTTATAAGTTCGAGAGGATGTTATGAGGGTAAAAAGAATACCGAGAGGTTGTCAACTTTCGACCTGTCAACTTTTGTTTGAGTTATAAAAGAAACCGAACGGGTATCAAATGTTGACTTTTGTTTTAAGGGAAAATAGTATCCCAATTTGGTGTCAACTGTCGACCTTTGTTGTGATAGATAAGATTTAGCAATGTGGTGTCGACCTGTCAACCTTTATTTTGAGGGATAAGAGTTTAGGTGTCAACTGTCGACCTGTCGACCTTTGTGATGACAATACAGATTAAGTGTCAAATTTTCAACCATTTAGGTTATAATTCTTCTTGTGGACTATTTAACGTAATAAGGCAAAACACTCACTTTTTGTGTTATAAAGGGAACCATTTCTTTCCTTGTTTTAAATTTGAAAGATGTTAATAGGTTTTATGGATCTACTTTTACGTATACCCTAGTTGAACCAGGATGAAAATGAAATGAAACAAATTCACATGAGTAATAGCATATAAGAATCCGGCCATTTTGCACCTTAAAGGTTTTGAAAAGTTATCTGCCTTTGATGAAAAGAAGCAAATTTGAATTTTGTCAAAATATCTGTGATATGTGATCCATTCTATTTCATATTTTAATAAAGGGAGTGTATATGCACATTTTCACCAAGAGATTTGTATGAAGTTCAAATTTCTTTTTACAATATATTAAAAACATATGCATTGTCCATATACTTCAGTGTAAAATTCAAGGTGCTGTTAATTGTACAACAATTAAAATTTTCTAAAATCCTTTGGTGGAGTATTTTTTATTAGATAACACTTTCAAATTGCTACCAAGATTATAAATATCGGACTATTCATTTATCAGGTACAAAATATGGCCATTTTACGTTGAATACCTTAAACACATGATTCCCACGTTAACCAGAGATAGAAGGTTCATTTTTTGTAGATTTCATACTGATTATAGCATGTATAAATTTTCCAAGAAGAAAAAATGCATTTAAATACGGAATTAGGGACCTCATGACTTAAAATGAAACTCAGTTTCCTTTAGAAGCCATGATTCACACAACATCTGGTTACTTAGATACTGGATTAAAGTATGAAAAAAACCCTTTTTATGACATTTCAAAAAGTAGTGACTTACTTTTTGTTGAAAAATGCATGAAACTAAAACTGGATTTTTAATTTTTTGATCAAAAACCAAACGCAAAAAGTCATCTGAATCTCGATAGGTACGAGAAAAAAGGTTAATATTACCAATTTCTTAAAGTCCAGGGTCAAGAAAAAAAATTAAACATAGGGCTGAAAATCAGCTAGAGATCTACACGCATTTACAAAAAGAAAGCAAAGTCAGAAAACTAGTATCATTGTGCTGTGATGAAGAGGAAAGATAAAGCTTTCAATATGTACAATCAATTCATAAAACTTCCCATAAAAAGTGATTTTCACGAACAACATTAATGTAAAAATAATTTTCCTACATTCTTAAGTATTGATTCTAAAAATTTTTGGTAAAAGTACACTTAACATTATTCCGTGCTCGTGCTCTAGAAAGCGAAGTTTATCTATCTGTAGGTGGTAATGTTGAGAGATGATGATGAAATTCCCTCTTGTTTATCGTATTGCAATTACAAACATGTTTGTTAAACATTAGAAATTTCTTTGATGATACAAGTAAATAGCTATTTGTGTTTAAAAAGTTAAATTCCTCAATCCTACAACAAATAAAACGTAAAAAGTACATTTTTTTTTACCTAATTATTTATTTTCATACCATTGTGCTGAATTATGCGTTAGTAATAGTATTAGTTTTCCAAATAACTTGTAGTCATCTAATGTATACGTACGTATAGACTTGCTAAAAAAAAGAAGCCAAAGTGTGCTATTAAACAATCATTCCTCCATTATTTTTAAAAGACCCATTTCCCTTTTATAGCATTTGCGAGAACCTCTGGGAACAAGACAACTCCTACAAATTTAAAAACGTCTGTATTTCATATCCTGAAGTGACGTCATCACCGAAAAGTTATCCAACCAGGTTCCAATCTGATTAAAATCAGATCTTTGTTACCCTCCGAAATTCTGATGTCACAGCGACCACCAAAATTTCGGAGCGTAACAAAGATCTGATTTTAATCAGATTGACCAGGTTCAAATAATTATTTATCATACCTAAAATTTGCAAGAATATTGACCAAGCCGTGCACATTTTTGTTTTTCAAAGTGCGTTAATATTGTCGATATTAATGTACTTTGTAATGAAATATTTTTATTTCAAAGTGCGTTAACTTGGTCCCAAAATTAACGCACGAAT